CTCTGGCCTCTCCTGGCCTTCGGGTCGGGATGGGCCCAATAGGAGCCCCGCCCCCCTTCTGTCTCGGCCCCTCTTGGTCCTTCGGGATCAGGAGGGGCCGAGTTACGTTAGATCCCCCCCTCCCCTTCTTCTCTCGGCCTCTCTTAGTCCCCTCGGGGCCAGGAGGGGCTTTATTTGCGTTAGGTCTTCCTCTCCGTCCCCGTTCCTGTCCCTCAAGGAGGGTCTCAATCAATCTCTGGGTGCTGTCCGAGGGGTTGAGTGAGATCTCACCCTCTTTTCTGATCTTTCCTTCCTTTCTTTTGCGTTTTGTCTTCGCCACGCATGTACCGCCACTCAGCAAAAGTGTTCGTGATTTAGTTTTAATGTTACTGCGCGGTGGTCCGCCACGGTTACATATGGAGAAATGTCTCACTCCGAAATCGGAGTCACGAACACTTTTGCAGAGTGGCTGTATGTATGCATGCAAGTGGGTTTCCAACTATAAGAACCCCACCCCAGCTGATCCCGTAAGTAAGCATCTCTTACGCCTGTAAATTGTCTGTATTAAGGTAGGTGTAGTTAGTGAAACGTTTGCCGTCCGTGGATGGATGGAATGATATTCTTGGGTGACATATATATTTAGCGCCAGTAGTTTCCGGTGTGAATTTTCCCAGTTTTGTCTTTACTGGTCACTTCCGGGCTGATATATGAAGGACTGTATATATATGTACGCTGGAAAATTCAGGACCAGTGTTCTCGGCTTTCTTGACAGGGCCCACCCCCAGGAACGTTCCTGAACCGGTCATATCATAAAATGGACGCCTCATAAATATTCAGAAGTTCAATCAATCATTATATATAGGCCAAAACCGGCGTTTATGCCCAGATATTATCGATACTCTGTGACCAGCTCCATGTAATCATGGGATATCACTCGGTTAACATGTCCAAGAGGTGCGGCGCAAATTTTTTTTTTTTGTTTAATTCAGGTGCGGCGCTGGATTTATTTCATGCTCTGTCTTGTGAGAGTATGAACTCGATTAGTATGGTAGGTCGTGGTTAAAGAGGCGATATATAGTACATGGGTGGCGAGAATGGGGAGAGAAGGAGTTCGATAGATACGTCAAAAGGGAATGATACTGATGGCCCGAAGAGAGGTCGAAAATGAGGCCGAGAATGAAGGTCCAATGAGGAGGAATTGTTGTATCTATAGCGATAAAGCTTTTATGAGTTAACCTGTTGGAAAATCTAAGGACGAAAGATTCGAATACAATATTTGTAAGCCATGATGAATCTGTAAATGCATTATCAGCCATGATCCTATACATTTTAGGTTTATTTTTAAACAAGGTCGAGGGATGACTAAACTAAGACGGATGAATTAGGTGCTACCACTCTCCGCACATGTGACGAAACACACCGATAGCAATGCCCCCAACAAGCTCGTGGCCGATCGATGACTTTGGACAAACACACACAGGCCTTCTCTCCACTATACCCTCGAAAGCAGTCCCTTACTATCCAGATCTCCGAGAGGATTATGAGGATAAGGGGCGAATCTGGTAGATGTGGTGTATTGATTAAGATACACCAGCATATATAGTCTCGTCCCCAGAACCATACCGCCTCTCGCCAGGTGGTCGTGGACTGTTTCACGCTGGCGCGGTCCGGAGAAAGTTTGTACCGGGCCTTTTTAAGGCTCAATTGCTACGCCAGGAAGCCCGCCGAGTAATCAAGAAACCCGACCGGCCGCTCCGCTAAAGCAACACCGGCCGCCACGAAAAAGCCCATCTGGCATGTTCTTAGACGACTCACGGGCTAAGTTGTTGCTCCAGACCCTACATACTAGTTCACAAATTAACCGCAACCTGGAAAACACCATAATATAGGGTCTAGTAAGGAGACAAACATCAGCACCATTCGTTTTGAAAGAGATTGGGTAGACGCCAACCTATCTCCTGGGATAGACTCAGAACCGACGTATACTCTGAGGCCGGTATGCGGTCGGGTCCCCCGGAGGGGATACGGAAGCTGTTCTGATGTATGTGTTGAGGAAATCTCAGAGTTTCCGATTGTGAGTACAGACATTATTCCATCGCGCCATCCGAAACCGGTGGTTGAAGATATTGCGTATATATGGATAGTATAAGTTTCGGTAGGTTAGTCCAGAGGGGACGTTTGTAGGTGGAGGAAAAGCGGGGATAGATGCATGCAGTGTTATTATAGTGTTGATTGTGGTCAGTCATTATTGCGGTGGTGGATGTTGTTAACAATTGCATTGTTGAACGTTTTATTATCTAGTCTGGACGTTTCCCCAAACTATCTGTACTTTTGTATTAGAGTTACATGTAGCTTGGCCTCTAAATATTAATTGTAACTACATGTATAAAGAGAGGGCTTTCACCCCTCTCCCTTGTTTCTACTCATCTGCCCATACAATACATTCTCTGCGTTCTCGGTTCTTCACTTTGCTTTACAAAGATCATCTCTGAAAACGAGTAGGTCCTCTGTCAGTCAGTTATGTGATTCATTGAGGAGTTTGCGGTAATGTCTATTTCTTGTTAAAAAGGGCCGGTCCTGCATAAACGCAGATAAGTGCGCTGCTCTTGTAGGACATTGCGAGGACATACATGTATATACCCTTAACCTTGGTGAATAGTACTTGCCATAATAGAGGAGGCTAGCCTATTTAGGTATATGTTGTTATGGGATCACCGCATGTTGGCATTATGATAAGATTGTAGTCTTGAGAAGAGCATGGGTTCTCCTCCTCTCACTCTTACATTATTGGGGGAAGTCTTATTCACTACAGTACTTCATCTTCATGCAGATACCGAGGAGCGACAGATCGCAACCAAATTCAATGAATGCCAAATCTACACTCACATTTATAGCGAGCCACAATATAGGATGAGATGTTACTACATGTATTCTCATGACGTTGTTGGCCCGAGCTTAAAGAGCACATGTCATTACCACCCCCACTAGACCACCCGGGCTAGTCCGATCAGACTAGCCCACCCACTCCCCACCCACTCTTAGCCTTCCATATCATAGACTATCACTCACACGCCCCAGGCCCCCCCCCCGCGCCCCACGAGTGACAGCCCATGACCCCGACAGCACTCCGATATGAAACGGGAGGCTTGGCGACTCTAATCCTGTACCACCCCACATGGCGAGGATGTTTTTTTTTTTCGTTTATAGAAGCTGCAACAGAGGCCTGTTTGGGTAGGTGTAGCCTTTATTGTGGCAGGCCTAACAAGATTGGACGATCATGCTGGTTGGGGTAGCTGGCTAGAGGGTATGTTTGGAGATTGATGCTGATACCGGAAGAGTGAAAAGAGAATAGCAGCAGAGAGATTGTGGGGCGGCCGCCGCTCGCGATAAGCTTGGAGAGAGGGGGGGGGGGGGAGGTTACGGCGTTACGGAGTAGACTTTAGGGTTCGTTCCATGATGGATGGTTTCGCTATTCCCTCATCAATTGATTGGCACGAGCATGAGTGCTGCTACTTACGGTTGACTGAGGGACTGGACGCCAGGGTGTCTTAGTAAGAGCGAGAAATTTTGAATCTATTGTCTTTTTTGTGCCCGTATCGTATGTCTCCGCCTTGCTCACTCTCGCGAGCGAGCGAGGCAGGGCACAGTTTACAAAACCCACCGCGCGCGCTGCAGGGATCATTTCCCAACCAAAACAGAGCAATAGTGTGCAGCAGCAGCGGGTTTTGTGGGTGCAGTTCGTTAGAATGCATGAATGAGCTGCTGCGCCGGGCACAGCAGCAGCATCTAGCAGCGGACGGAGACGCTCAAAAAGCAACAAGTGACAGTTATAATATATGTAATAGTAACAGAGTAAAGAAAGAAAGAGAATGTGTGAATCATGGCATGGTTTGAATGATGGTGCTGAAACGACCGAATCCCCCTGGTTTCAAAACCGACCGATCCGTTTCGGCTCGGGAAGGGGAAGGCGGGGTTGCGGGGAGGGGGTTTGCGTAGTAGGTCGCGGGTTGCGGCGGGTTGGGATGTGCGAAACCGAGTGCGAAGGAATTACATACATAGATGGCATGCTGTGGTTACACCTCTACTTTGGACGTGGAGACGGGTACATGTAGGTGGTAGTATGAGGTGGTGATGAGGTAGGTAGATTGTGCTATGGTGGCAGACGTTTTTTTGCTTTTCATTAAACATCACTCGGAGGGAAGCGATGGAGGTTTTAGTGGTGGGTAGCGGTTACGTCGGGTTGGCTGGCAGGTTGGTTGGCAGCAACCCCCCATCCCCAGCAGGTACAGGCAGCTGCAAAGAAGGAATGCCCTAGATCGACTAAAAATGGGCTGTGTGGTGGTGGTGGTGGTGCACCACTAAGTAAAGGTTTCTACTCTACACGGGCACCGCGGTGGGCCATGGTGGTGCACCGAGGTGACTACAATAGAACTAGACTAGAGTAGATTTCTGCCCCAAGACACTTTACTGCATACAATCATCCCTCTTTGAACGCATCCCCACACACAGCAAGCAAGCAGCAAGCAAGCAGCAAGCAAGCAGCAAGCAAGCAGCAAGCAAGCAGCAAGCAAGCAGCAAGCAAGCAGCAAGCAAGCACCGTTGCTAAGTAGGAACACGTATGTGTTGTTGCCAACGCATTCATAAAACCAATTCTGCTCAGCTCTGGCAACCAATTTCGCTCTCAACCTAACAAATCACAGCCAATAACTGGAGATGATGCGATGTCATGCACAGTACCCCATCCATCCGTCCATCCCTTCATCGCAGCGGAGTGGTAGTAGTAGTCAGCACGGTGGCGGCTCCCAAGGGGAAGAGGGGGGGGTCTCTTTGAGTAGATACATAGATAGGTAGTTGCTTGCTCTTCTTTCGATGCTTGTTTGTTGCAAGGTTGCAGAACAGAACGGAACAGAACAGGACAGAAAAATCTACAGATCACCCCCCCCCCCCCCCCCCCCCACGAACTCGAGAAATCCAGGCAAGAAGCCAAAGAAAGAAAAGAAAGAAAGAAAAAAAAAAACAAGATGAATTCAGATTCAGATGAAAGCTCCTATGAGGACGACTCGCCGCCCAACTTTGCCTTTTCACCCGACTTCAGTGTCCGTGCCTCGCCAATCGTCAATGGTGGTGGTGGGCGTGGGAAGCGAAAAGTAGGCCTCCCGTCGTCGCGATACCACCAGGTTCTGTCGGCACGGGGATTAGCAGGTGGAGGAGGAGTAGGAGGAGGGGGCTGTTTGGATGCTGCTGGGGAGATATATTCGGAGCACCCGCGAAAGAGGAGAAAGGGGCCGCAAACCAACACCCCCGACAACTCGACGTCGACGTCGTCGTCGTCCGATCGCTCGTTTGCGTGCCCGTACTACAAAAACGATCCGGTAAAACACTCGAGCTGTGCCGAGTGGAATAAGAAGGATATCCACAGGGTCAAGTATGTTCATGTTCCTGCTCGCTCCCCTCACGGGCCTTGTTTCAGAAACCTTTAACCTGCACAATGAAATGCTAACCTGCAACCTCCACCGCCAATTGAAGGGAGCACATCAAGAGATCGCATCTGAAGCCTATCCAATGCCCGCGATGCAGCGTCTACCGCGCCGGCGATAACGGACAAATCAACATCCATCTACGGGACGGGGAATGCCAGAAAGCAAAGACCGTCTCCCTGGTGGAGAGCGACGTCCTGAAGAAGGCAAAGGCACTCGAGCGGAGGAACTTGAACTGGCAGCACATCTACCAGATACTGTTTGGCTGTGCCGAAAGCGATATACCATCTCCCAGTAAGGAACCTCCTTCAACTTCCCTCCTCCTCCTCATCCTCCTCTCCACCCCGCTCTCTCCCTGCCCACAAAGGATACAAGACTGAGTTCAAGAAGTTTGGCAGAGTAATATCACACCACCGACACCGCCAACGATAAAGCTTGAGTCATCACCACTGCTGGGAGCCTACTGCACCGACATGTTTGAGGCTCACCTGAATGAAGAATTGAACGACTTTATAGAATACTTCCAGGAACAGGTCCCCAGACTTGTGCGGGAGCTATTTCGCGAGTACCAGACCCTGAAATTCAAAGCCGAGTGTCCCTTGTCTAGCGGGGGTGCCGGCACTGTGTGCAACCAATCGGGCGCCCCACCCCATCCCGGCGCTTCCGCAACCCACCACAACAATAACATAAACATCAACAGTGCTACAGACTACGAGCAGGGTCCCCGCAAGCCAAAGACAACAGCAAAAAACAGCCCCAAGGAGCAAAGAAGGGCTGAAGAGGCCGCCCGGAAACCGACCGAGAATGTCGCCCGGAAAAAGCAAAATGCCTGCGCGGATGTGGCATCATCACCACAACAACGCCCGGACGCTAGGAAGATTGCAACCGACGAAAAACAACAGACGCAGCGGGGAGATCTACTGAGCAAGGCCGACGAGGCTGGCCAGAAGAGACACACGCCTATCTCGCCTCTTACTCCTTCAACCCACCAGCAGCAGCAGCAGCCGCCTAACATTGCCAACCCCACTACCCCGCAGGAGCAGGTGTTTGCCAATAGAAACGAGGCGCCCAGAATGCACGATATCCCGTCCCCGTACATACAACTCCAGCACACCCACGACACCCTGAACCAGAGCTTTGCATCATTACACGACGGCACAAGTAGAGGCATCATTCCAGACCACGCTGCCAGAATACTACACGAACCCCGGGTCACGGACGACAACAGCTCACCCGTGGTCGGGTTCGGGGACCTTGCGCTGAACAATGCCAGGGATGATGCTACGAGCGGTGAGGTAGAAGAGGTTGGGAGCTGTGATCCGGCGATGCTGTGGGTGCTGGATGCTTACGATTGGAGGTTCTGAGAGGATTGCTTTGCGGGCATAGTAGGTTTTCTCTGTTTGAGGGTTGGGTTGTGTTGGGTTTCTTTTTTTCTTTTTCTTTTTTTCTCTTTCGGTCGGGGCGGAGTATTACTTTAAATCTTTTGGTTTTTTTTTTTACATGATCCATGGCCATGATATGATATCCTGCGACGTTTTTTTCTTCTCTTCTTTTTTTTTCTCTTTCGGTTGTTTCTTTTACGATGTTGATGATTGACTGAGCTTGAAATATTGGCTTTGTGTTTTATACCTGTATATAATCGGCCCTCTCCTCTTCACTCCACCATGGGCCAAACGATTCCCACTCCCAATCATTCTTCTTCCTCTTCTGGCTGTTTTGTTGTTTGGTGTGCGGTGTGCGGTGTGCGTGTGGATATACATCTTTCAAAAAGCTTAGCGATAGTTTTTTCATTCTGTTTTTCTTTTTTCATTCTGTTTCTTTTAGGTTATGTTGGAGTGCTGTCTGTCCCATAGTTTTGATTTCTGATACATTTCCTCCTTTTTTGCCAGCGGTTGCTCTTTTTTTTTTTTTTTTTTGGCTTTTTTGTTGTTTCGGGGACCTTGTTTTTATAGCGCAGCGCAAATAAAATAAACACGACGATATGAGACCAGACAGACAGAACACGTAGGTACACACATACATGTATGTAACTGCACGCACCGGTCACGGGATACCACGCCACACGGGATAGATCTAGGCCTGATCCCGGAGGATGATTGGGCCCCGAGAGTCAAACAAAACAACCCTGGCTGTCTGACAAGTCGGAATCGGGCGTCCGAGTGATCGCTGGTGATGGGGCGTGCCGTGTGTATGTTGGCAACCAGACCGCCCCCATGCTTGCCGCCACAATGTGTGTCGTGTGTGTTGTGTGTCGGTGGGTTAGGGTGCCATTGTGGGTTGTTGGGGGAGCCTGTTGCCCTGGGTGGCCAATTGGTGGATGGTGCCCTGATGGTCATGGTGACATTGATTGCGGCGGGGGAGGGGAGGGCGGTAGTATATATACCCACGCGTGCTGCAACCCCCCGAGTAGATTGAGGAGGGGAGAGGAGAGCAGGAGTCAGCTAGCTCCCGTGATTGCAATGGGGCCGGCCCCGTGACGTGGCAGTAGTTGTAGTGTCAGTTTGCTATCGAGGTCGGGCCTCTTATCTCTCTGTACATAGAGGGAGGAATGTGGATGAGAGCTGTGGTTGGAAGCGTCGACATTGGTGTGAGGGAGAGAGAGAGAGAGAGAGCGAGATGTGGTTGGAAGCTAGAAGTGGAGGAGGTTGGTATGTATGCGGGTTGTGGTGCAGTCAGTGGTGGAGGCTGCCGTTGCCATTGCCATTGCCATTGCTACTGCCATTGGGGTTGCCGTTGCTTTCCGTTGCCGTTGGAGGAGGTGGGATGGGGTTGGGTTGGGGCGGCCGGGCAGCCTACCACCACCAGCTAGAGCTAGTGCGGTGGTAGTGGTGGTGGGTACTATTATTACCACCACTGCTACTGCTGCGTTTCCGAACACGACCAATATTGCATGGCATGCAAAAAGGTGGATTTGGCGCTTTTTTGTATGGTACACAATATCAGTCGTGCTCGGAAACGTCATGAAATTAGTAGTACTAGGTATTGGGACACGATTGCCCTTTTATCGTTAATTCTGACTTGCATATCCCGGCGGTTCCAATTTGTAGAGTACCTAGAGTAGAGTAGCATGCGATGCGCAGGCAGGAGACGATCAGTCCCAGTCCCGCACCCACCACCACAGCTTGCTGCACGACGGTCTTGGCAACGACACGCAAGATGACTAAACACGCCGAGTGACACACCATGACGCGCATCCCTGTCTGCCTTGACGTTTGACGTCGCTCCCCGTGCGCTGCTGCCTTGGCGGAGGCAGCTTAGGTACGGCGCAGAAACAGGGTCTGATGAACATAGAGTACAGCTGCACGCTCGTCCGCCGTGGGTTTTTCGGCCCCGGGCAGTGTCTCCAATCATCCGAGCGGTAGGTATTCTCGAGCTAGGTAGAGCAGACTGGTAGATATATTCCCTGTTTCAGATGGAAATCCGGTTACTAGATAGGTCCTAGATATGTACATGTGGGTATTATCCTCAGATCAAACGCACGCGCATGGAGTTATCGGTCGGCTTTAAATTTTACTCTACCAGGGGTTGGAGTGGTGGGATGGGCTAGGATGCATGACATCATTGCCGTTGCATCCGGTGTTTGGGGTGCGTGAGATAAGGGGGGGGGATCTGGGAGTGAGGAGAGTGTATATAACAAGAATCTCGAAATCTTCACTGTCCCAACTCTCGCGACTCGTTCCTCTGTCTCGTTTTTTTCTGATTTTCGTTGTTCATATACCCATTTTCCTCTCTACACTTTCTCTATATACTCTAGATCCATAGACACGAAAATGCCCGGCCTCACCCTCCCCGACCCCGCCGTCTTAAAAGACCGCCGCGCCGCCCAGCTCTACCCCTACGCCTCCGTCTCCACCGACGAATTCAGCAAAGCGTCGCACGCCGCGCAGCGCACCGCCGGCCCCATCGCGCTCTACTCCCCCAAATACTACGCAGCCTGCACCATCGGTGGTCTCTTCGCCTGCGTACCTCCCCCCCCCCCCCCACCACCACCTCCTCCTCCTCCCTCCACAACCCCCCACTAACACACCCTCTAGGGCCTAACCCACGCCGCCGTCACCCCGCTCGACCTGATCAAATGCCGGCGCCAGGTCAACTCCAAGCTCTACCCCTCCAACCTGCAAGCTTTCCTCACCATCACACGCACCTCCGGGTTACGCGGCATCTTCACCGGCTGGTCGCCCACCCTCATCGGCTACAGCGCGCAGGGCGCGCTGAAATACGGCGGGTACGAGTTCTTCAAGAAGACGTACAGCGACGCGGCGGGCGACGCCGCGGCGAGTAGGTACCGCACGGCGATATATCTGGCCGCGAGCGCGAGCGCCGAGTTTATTGCGGATGTGGCGCTGTGTCCGTGGGAGGCGGTCAAGGTGCGCATGCAGACGGAGGAGGGGGGCCCGATCCGGGGGGCGCTGCAGGGGGTGAGGAGTGTGCTGAGGAGTGAGGGGGTGGCGGGGTTGTATAAGGGGTTGTATCCGTTGTGGGGGAGGCAGATTCCTTGTTAGTAGTAGCCTTCCTTGTGTTTGTGTGTAGAGTGAGTGTGTAAGTGGGTCGCTGACAGTAGTGTACTGCGGCAGACACAATGATGAAATTCGCCTCCTTCGAAACCGTCGTCGAAGCCATCTACACCAAGCTCCCGGGCCGCAAAGACGACTACGGCAAAGGCGCCCAGGCCGCCGTCGCCTTCACGGGCGGGTACATCGCGGGCATCCTGTGCGCCGTGGTGTCGCACCCGGCCGACGTGATGGTGAGCAAGCTCAACACGGGCGGGCGCAAGCCCGGCGAGGGCTTTGGCACGGCGGTCGGGAGGATGTATGGGCAGATTGGGTTTGGGGGCCTGTGGAATGGGCTGCCGATGAGGATTGTCATGGTCGGGACGCTGACGGGGTTGCAGTGGCTGCTGTATGATGGGTTTAAGATCTTTTTTGGGCTGCCGACGACGGGGGGGCGGAGGGGGAGAAGAAGTAGTGGGGATGGGATGGGTATGTTGGGGGAGTGGATGGGTGGTGGGCTTGGGTGTTTTTGTTCTGCTCTGTTCTGTTTTGGCTATGTAGAGATGATTTCCTAGTTAGACGGGTGCTGTGTTAATTGAGCGCTCCTCCATGGTAGAACTAGATAGAGTCCGTCCCGTCCTTAGCTGTGACAACAAAAAGCAAAGCGTTCCCTTTCTTGTTCCCTTTCCCTTTCCTTTCCTTTGCTTTCCCTTTGCTTTCCCTTCCCTTTGCTTTCCCTTCCCTTTCCCTCCCTTCTCTTCTTCCCCCACACCGCAGCCAACAAGGGCCCCCCCGCCAAGCCAAGCCATCCGCACCTCACCTCATCTCGCCTAGACACACGTAACCGCAAACCCCACCAAGCAACCAAGCAACGCAACACAACCAAAACACCACCACCACCACCACCAAAACATCACCACTCACTCACGACTCACGATGGCAACAATGGCCGCCCCCGCCCAACCAGCACAAACCGACCCCCCCGCCCCCATCGACGCCAACAAATACCGCGGCGTACCTCTCCCCTCCCCCTCCCTTCCCCCTCCCCCCCCCCCATTCCACCACCAACTAACACCCCGCGCACTTCCAGGCCACCGTCGAAGACCTCGACCTCCCCCCCGCCCTCTCCATCACCCCCACCACCCCCATCGCCACCGCCCTGGCAATGTCCTACGACCGCGACTACTCCCAACTCACCGTCATCTCCCCCAGCACCCGGTCCCTCCTAGGCTACCTATCCGTGCCGCGCCTCAAAGCGCTCCTCGCCTCTCCCACATCCGGGGTGAAGGAGACCGACACGGTGGATAAGGCCATGAATCGCTTTGATAGGAGGAAGGGCGTCAAGGTGTACAAGGTCATCACGCCCAGCACGGGGCTGGAGGAGCTGGAGGAGTTTTTGAAGAGGGAGGAGTTTGCGGTGGTGACGGATGCGGGGAGGAGGTTTGTGTTGGGCGTGGCGACGAGGGGGGATCTGGTGGAGTTTGTGAGGAGGAGGCCGGGGTAGGTGTGTGGAACGGGGAGCGGGAGGGGAGGTGTGGGGGAGGGACTTGCACTTGGATTTGGGAAGGGGGTGGAATTGGGAGTGGGAGCGGGAGAAGGGGACGGGTGTTGTAGCTAATGATATCGAGAGAGCTTTCTCTCTCTCTTAGACTTGCAATTGGGGCGTTAGTTATGTAGACTTCAGAGCTACTCCCTTGGCTTTTATACACCGGTCGTAGCCTCTATCTTCCATCGCAGTCTCCGTAGACATAGTGCTGGCTCTGTAGTCCGATATCAAAGCACCCACCCCCCCCCCCCATCAAGCTCAAACATAATTTCTCCCCATAAAGCACACCCATATAAAAGCCCCCAACAATAGCTATCCCTGAAACAACTGTAGCTAGCTATATGTAGCATGGTCGGATCACAGATTATCACTCGACATTGATATATCTGCACCAGACACCAAGTCCCATTTATCACCCAGGAGTGAGTGGATAGCTAGTGAAGTCATCCCATGCCCCTATTTCGTCTCGCTGTGGGTGTGAGGTTGGGATATGTGAGCATGGGCTGGCTGGGGTGGATCATGGGGTGTCACTCGGTGGGAGGTGGCGAGCGTTTGGTTTTTGTTTTTGTTTTTGTTTTTAATTCATTAATTGCATGGCGAGCGTTTGGTAGTGGGTGGGCTTATTTTTTTTTGTTTAATTCATTAATTGCTTGCAACCTTACAGTTATGGCAATGTCCCCTAAACTACCCATTCTCATCCACCGCCACTCACGTGGTGGGTGGGCTTAGGTTTTTGGGGGGCTGTGGTGTGGTGTATGGCTGGTCGGCTCGTTGGTTGGTGTAGCGTAGATAGAGTCGGGACTGGAGGAGTGTGAGTACCCTTTGTTGTTGTTGTTGTTGTAGTGGAGTATTGTGGTAAGCTACATGTATTAGATATATAAGTCGTTGTGACGTATACATGTGATTGATGGCTGTGCTGGGACTGAGACCGTTGATTGGGGTGTTTTTAGCTGCGGGCTGGTAAGCTATTAATGGCCGCGGCTTTAATTCGTAGGTTTCGAGTTTGGTGGCCATATTGGGGGGGTTGAACGGTTGGTGGCACAATTAATTGGGACAATCTTTCCATATATAATTTCCGCAGGTATCTATAGCTATAATATGGCAACATCGAACTACGCCGGCCGCGGACTTCTCTACCACGTTACGCGAAGCTCAGTACTACATACCCGCGGGGTTGTGGGTAAATAATACTCGTAAGTTCATGACGTTTCCAAACACGACTGCTATTGCATACCATACAAAAAAGCGCCAAACCCACCTTTTTGTATGCCATGCAATATTGGTCGTGTTCGGAAACGCTATGAAGCTACGAGTAGATAGCTAGTGCGATGTATTGGGTGTTCTGGGGTTGGATATGTACGTGGGCATATATATAGGGTGTCTCGTTTACTCGTCTATTCATAGCGTTTGTGAACACCACTGCTATTGCATGCCATACAAAAAGGTTGTCTTGGCTATTTTTTGTGTGTATGTAATGCCGGTTGTGTTCACAAACGCTGTGAAAAAACGAGTATTGGCCATATGTATGTGGTTCCTGGGAGGAAAAGAGCCAAGGCCGGGGGGTGGTTGTTGCGGATTGATCATTGGCAACCTGGGCTGATCATGATACAGCGAGAGGTAAAATTATTGTAGAAACAAGGGTCTAAAAACAGGGTTTCTGTGGCTGGGCAAGCCAATAGGACTTCTCCCATATTTCTACAATAATCTTACCGCAAGCTGTAGCAACAAGTTGGCGGCCCACACATGCATGATACATGCACATACTAGAACCTACGAACGCAGAGCTACTTAGCTACTCGGAGTAGGCAATAAGAACCTGAAAAAGCAAGCTGCAAGTAGGGGCTCAATTTAATGTAGTTTTTCACCAACCACGAATCAGAGGTCGTTACTACTAAAAGTCATTTTCAGGTTCTTCTTACCTGTCCCGAGTAGAGCCCGTATATAGGCCGGGTACAGGTTTCGGACCGTTGTTTCGACCAATCGGTACCCTTCCATCCTTCAAATTTCTAATCCATGTGCTTGAGTATATTGATTAGTTACATATGTACTCGGGTGTAGCAATAAGAACCAGAAATAACCTCATTGCATGCTCTAGTTCTAACCCTTGTACCCGGGTATGTAGCTGATATCGATTAACACATGCAGATATGCATGCGCATCTGCGTGCATATATGTATGTATCTATATTTCAACCTCCTACATACCAAAACCTAACCCCGAACCTTCTATTCCTTCCCTTTCGCTGGCCGTGGGTTCAGCCTGCTAGCTTTTAGGGGGCTATATCTAGATGTAATATACTTAAACGGGTAGTGACGGCGCCCAATTGCAATAGAGGATTCAAACGTTAGGCCATACCGCGTCCGTCCGGTCACGCATGTAATTCAGACTGATCGCCTGCCTAAAGATATCGGGAGCTGGGGATTATGTATAACTGCATGTACAAGGCTCTGGCATTTAGTGAGTGGACGGATCCCCACCTATCAACGCCCCATGTAGTTCGCTCACTTAATGCCAGAGCCTTGTATATAGCATGATAACCTGTGTCCTAGTATTGATGGGCACGAGATACGACGGGACAAGGCCTATCATTATCCACGTATCGTCTCGTCTTGCGATCTTTGAACTAGGCTGACATGATCTTGAATATCCCAAGGCAATGGAATGGAGTGGTCTCAAAACGCCCTTTAAATTGAGAATGTGATGTTCCTATAGGAAAAAGGCCCAGAAATCATGATCACAGCATAGAGAGGAAGATATTTATGCGGTAAAAAAGAAGTCAAAAAGCCTTGAGAGAACTCAATTGTCCCGTACCCATAAACTCGACCTGTCTCGATCCACCGCACATATGTACATGTATATAAGGAGATATCTCTTATATATTTGTTTGGTGTAGGTGCTGCCAACCCTGCATGTAATATAGATATAGGGCTGTGAAATCAAAGAATGATGCATTAATAATTAAAGAGATACCCTGAGCATTGGTTATAATCTTGGTAGAGTATTTTGTTAGACGAAGAAGTAACGCGGCCCAGTGGATATTGTATGTACCCTCAATCGCATCGAATATTTTCGGGATTGCACATATATAGTAGTGTCCTGTTTATCATCATCGTTGCCGTACCTTCAAAACGCATGCATGCAGCTGAGCAATCATTGGCTTAGGGAGGATCAGAGGATCAGAGGGTCGGATTTTTTTATCATTTTTATTTCCTATTTAATTCATTAATTCTCAGAGGGTCAGAGGGACATATTAATACGTGTGCACGTAACGTAACGTAGAAAGATATATTGCGAATAACCAATAACGATAAATCCAAAACGCATAATGCAAATTCCACCCAAGAAAAAAGGGACAAAAAAACAAATCTTACATCATGTAGAAGGCTCCGGACGAGATTACCCTAGGCCCTAGATTTACGATCGTGCAGGTGGTTCTTAGCTAGAGTGTGACTGAATCGGAAAAGATCGAACCTTGATGGTAATGTCCGGGTTGTATTTAGATTCTGCCGTCAAGGATGGCTCAACCTCAAATGCCTTGGTTATCCAATATTGATCGTACTCGACCAGCAGGTTGTCTATCTGCCCTTCGGACTCTGGTTGATATTTGAATAGGCGTGTTCGAAGATGTTCTGCTAAACCTTGTTGGTAGGCTCGTTTATTACAGTGATCCGCGGCGAAGAGACGTAGAGTAAACAGAAGTTCACCCTTTTCGATAGGGGCCATTAGGACTTCTATTTCCTCTTTCCAAACTGGTTTTAATTTTACGTGCTTGTCAGCTGACGGGCAGCGTTAATTACGGTCTTAGACCGGCTAACCAAACTTACAAGGACTTGGTATATTAAAAGAAAACAAAATAGCATAAATCTCCTGCCAAGTGGCGGCCGATTCTATCTTATCTGTCTTTCCTTGGACTACATCTTGCTCGTATGTATCAAGAGCCTCCCCCTTTTTGCAGTCATCGTATCTTAGATGGTTCGTAACTTGCTCATAGTTACCGGCCTTGAATATCTTGCAACGGCCGCACCGAAGGGGTTTAATGTGAATAACCAGAATATGCTTCCTTTCGTTTCAGGGTATGTAAGTAATGGGATCCAGCTAGTATAAAATAATACATGAAATGGTTAGGATATATTCAAGGGTACGTACTTGACTTGGCTAAGTGTTCGATCCCGAAATTGCGAGCATTGCGAATTGACGAGAGGATTATTTTTGTAATATGGACAGGCAAAGGGTTTTTCGGGTGTTTTTTTGCTGGGTGGCCTCGAAAGCTCAAGTTCATCTTGGGCGTCGTTTTCTGATCCGTCGAAATCCTCGGATGCGTGAAACGCCGGCCGCTTTCGTGGGTTATAACTATATCCACTAGAATCGTCGTCAGGTTCAACTTCCCACGGGTGATCCGGGATGAATGGTTCTATGTTTGAGTATATCGCATGGAGATCTTGCGTCGTGTGGTATTTGTCTTCGTATAGAAGATCAGGTAGTTCCGTGACAGTGGGCGGTGTGTCGAGGCCCAGAGGTGTGCTATCTGGGGTGTTTCGAGTCTGCTGTACCGATACATATCTGAACATCGTACAAGTAAAACTTTACACAGATAGGGAGTATTATGCCAAAATTGCTTAATTAAACGTGGGATAGGTGCTGACCGGTTTACTTGGAGCTCAGCCGGAAGAAATCTAATTTATAGAGAAAGACTCTCCTCTAGCTTAGCAAAAATCTAGAGCTAGTATAATGTATGCTGTTACACGAATATACATGTATTCAATAAGGCCCGACATAAGTTTGATTCTGAAATGAGGCTCTGGTTTAGGCCCAAGCCGAATTTGGAATCAGGCGTTAACGCTGACGCAGATTGTATTTTTTTTCGTGAGGATGATAGTCACGTGATCATTCTGACGTCCTGTCACGTGATAGATCAAGTATTTGCTCGCCCTACACGGTTTAGTCTGCGGCTATGCAAGACCTATGATCATATATAGTTGATGTTTATATCAAACACAGGACACCGGGCGCCCATATTAATTGCCAAACTGACGAGGGCCCGCTATAGACAAACTTCGCCTCCCCGGGCGCTCGTACGTACTTTATTAACGCACATTATACTACTAAGAATTCCGACCATTTAGTGAATGCATGAGTACATAGTATAAAGCACATAAATATACATAGGTGTGCACTAATCAATATGGACCTTGTGAAATCTTGAATTCAGTGTCTTCTGTTTTGTTCTCTGGCATGCGCATGCGTGTGTATGTGACTTGTAATATTATGTTAGAATTACATACATGTATGGCTCGAGAACTACATGTAGGTATGGCTCGAGAAGCTATGGAGGGTAGGTGTGTAAACTTCGGCGTTTGCAGCCAATCAATCTATAGAAATTGGGAGATCTACCCATAATGGTACTAGCGCCTAGCTATAGCCCAACGGTGGAATTTTCTCTAATTCCCATACAAAAAAAGTTCCTCTGAAGTTGACACACCCACCCCCTAAGCCTTCTCGCGCCATAGCTCCATGTATATATACTGTTACAGGAACTACGGAACACTGTTCTAGAGACTTAGGACAATGAGGAATACGAGTGACGGGTTGTGATGCGAGGACGGTCGGGTAACAAGGACAAGCATAGAAAAGTATCGGGTAGTGTGGGGGCACGCGGTGTTACCACACTAGTACTATACTATTATGACGGCACGCTTACTATTGGGTGTCTCACCCGGAATAGAATGGGGAGCAGGGCTTATGGTTGCAGGCTGTTCTACTTAGGGAAGTAGGTCTAGGATGATAGTATGGTACAGCCCGATGACTGGCAATTGCAAGGTTCATGGTTACGTGTCGGAATTAGAATGGAGGACGGAACTATGCGGGGGCGCTTTTCTATCTGGGTTATCTTCGGGAGCATTATCTTATTCTATTATCGTTGTGTCAGTTAGTATTAGAAAGCGGGCCTTGGCATAGGTTCCAACATGTATAAATAGGGCTTGATTCTGCGAAGACTTGAGGGTATCATCAACCATCAAGTCAAGGGAATCCGGTTTACAATATCATCAGTTTAAACGCTACAGAATTATCGCTTAGTACTAGCCATCTCCCTAAACACTATATTGTACCTTATCCCTAGCTTTTTATTCTTTACCTATCGCATACACTACCAAAGTCTCGATAAAACAACTACTCGCTTAAACCAATACTCTGAGTATTTTGCTTAGTGACGGATAGTCACCGTGCTCTCAGTAGAAGAATAAGCGCTTAGTCTATTAGAAAGACCAAGGTACTATATGCACCCCCGAGTGGCAACAGCAGCCATCAACAACTACCTTTGCGCTACATCCTTCATCGTAAGAAGAGGAAGCGCCGAACATCTATACTGCGGATACCTCCACTAAACAGGTTTCTTCGCAGAAGCAGGAACCACCGCCACCTTCGAGGAACACGATCCCGAAATTCTCAACTACCCAGAACTCTTCCCGATCAAGATCACCCTCTCCCAACAGTCTTTCGGACTTGCTCACCCAGCCCCCTGGTTCATCGCTCAACCCTGGTGCAGAAGGCATCCACAGCTCAAACCCGAGCAACTTAGCAATGTCAAGGGCTCATCAGCAACGGTCGGAGGAAGACTACAACATGGAGAGTTCAATCGCCTTGAGAGATCGAGGTATATTGGAAACCCAGGCGAAGAGGCGCCACAGGAAAGAGAGAGATGTGCCGATAGGCTCCCTCTTCACATCGACGAGGCAGGAAGAATCCTATGGGCAGGCGAGGAGGCGGCAGGTGGACCACCGGGAGTTCTCCCCATACGTCACCCCAATCAGAGAGAGATCCTCTACTCAGAGGCCCTCGGTGCCTCGGGTAATGGACGAAGACGAGGATACCAACATGGACGTAGAGGAACGGCGGGTGGAGAACCCTTTTGGCGACCTTATTGGGCAAGAAGTCCAGCGACAAGGGGCCCCCGTGGTACAACAGCTCAGCCGCGGGATCGAGGAACTCAGCATGCACGTGCGGGATATCCCCATACTCAGGGAACTCACCCGGCAGCAGCAGGAGTATACCAACAAGATCGTCGAGGACCTCCACGCCAAGTTCGCTGGGGACAGAGCCGAACGCGACAATCAGCTCAACCAGGTTATGGCTCAGCTACGAGCGGAATCCACCGCCGCTACCAGCAACCTCGGACAGGTCCTTGGGCAGATCGTGGAAGCTACTAGGGCGCATCAGGAAAGGCAGGAGCGACAGGATCAGCACATAAATGCGCTGACCAACTTCGTTCAGCAACTCCCGAAAGATGGCCCTGTGCAGATACCCGCGGAGGTTATGGCTGCCCTTGAAAAGATGGAACGGGACAGACAAGCTGCGATGGAAGACCAGTTCGCAGGTACAAAGAAGAACCTGGAGGAGATTATTGAGCAAATGCGGGTAGCAGCCAATAGAACGGCAGCAGCCCCCGAAGGCTCAGGAGGCGGAGGCGTAGTACCCCCCCAACCCCCACAGAACCCCCCTAGCAATTCCAGAGAGAGACCGGAAGGATCAGGAAGCCAACCCCCCGTACCCTCTCACTCCGAGGCAAGGAGTCAACACAGTGAGCAAGGAGGCAGGGGAGGAAATGGCAATAACGGCAATGGCGGAAACCGCGCGAGACCACGAGACCCATCCCCCTCCGACTCGTCCAGCTCCTCAGACTCAGAAGACGATCGTCGAGCACGCGAACAAAGGCAAAGGAGACGGGAGGAGCGAAGGCGCCGTAATAGGCAGCAAAAGGTAGATCTCATGCACCCCCCTCGCGCCACCTTGGGTGATACGCCAAAACAGGCAAAGATCCCCTTCTCCGGAAAAGCCGACGAAGATGTGCGGCACTGGATCGACCAAATGGAAGTCTTAATTGAACTTCAGAGGAAGGTTCGGTGGGACGACCAGACCAAAATCTTGTGGGCATCCCTGGAACTCACCGAAAGTGCGGCAAAATTCTGGCGAAACTTAGTGGAACGACTATCGGTGGATCCCAGCATTGGGACATGGGAAAATTTCAAAAATGAATTACGGATTCAATATGGCAATCGAACAAGTCAAGAACAAGCCAAGCAGAAGATGGATAAGCTCCGTCAAACTGGCATGATCGATGACTACATCAACGAGATGCAGAATCTAGAATGGGACGCGAAGGTCGGGCCCATCGTGATGAAATCCATGATCCTAACAGGAATAAACTCCTCGCTGGAACAACGCCTCTCGAACGCGATCGAGGAACCAGAAGATTTCGCGGAATGGCTAGCCTGGGTTAGGAAGGTCGGACGCAAGGACCACGAGGTGAAGGCCCGAAAAGAAATCTTACGCGGCAGGGATGTCGTGAAACCTCGCGAGGAAAAGTCGGAAAGGCGAAAATCGCGCAACCCCGCACCTCGGAAAACTTTCTCCGCACCAGCACAAAACTCCAAGGCCTCGGATGACTTAGGTGTCACCAAGGACGAGAAGGAGAAATGGCAAAAAGAAGGAAAGTGTTTCCGTTGTGGTAGAGATAACCACTTCGCGAAAAATTGCGTGGCGACGAGTAAAGTCAGGTTAACGGACCTGAAGAGGAAACGGTATCCTTCCGGGGGAAAGGACCACGGAAGGGAGGGTGAAAAGAAGCGGAAATTGGGCCCTCAGAATGAGGCTTTTAGGGCAAGGATTACAACTCTGGAGGATCAAAATTGATTGGGTATTTCTATTTTTCGGCATCTCATGTTGCGTTACGGTTTTCTTTTCTATTTTTGGGTTACGGAAACAAGGGTCTTATGTATTACGGATTTTCTATATTTGTTGTTACAGGCGCAGAAATTCAATTCTCTTTACACACACTATGAGGATGGGGTTACACCCTGAAACGCCCGGCGCGTAAAGTGTTGTACCATGATCTTCATCAAACAAACACTCGAACTCTCTAAAAAAAACCCCTCACCCCGCGCTCAATAAGAAAAAACCCATCGAACCAACCCACATCCAAAAAACCAATACAAAATCTTTTTATTAAACCAACACACAAACATGTCTTCCAACACACAAGAAACTCGCCTCGAGATCGAAATCCCTTGGGATCACCCCGCAACTAGTACCAAACATGTTGCTACAGTCAACGCACTCCTAGACAGTGGCACTGAAGATTGGATCATATCCTGGGACTGCATCCATCGTGCAAGAATACCCACTCAACCTCGACCAAAGCCTCTCATTATCAGACAGGCCGATGGTACCCCTATGCCCAACTCCGGCACCCACACCACTCAACCCCTTACCCTCCGCATCGGCAACCATCTAGACAGGGCTATTACCTGCGAGGTTGGCTCGTTTGCAGGAGAGGACCTCGTCATACCACATCGATGGCTCAAGAAGCATCAACCAACCATCCATTGGAGACGGAACAGTGTTAGCTTCCATAGTAACAACTGTATAGTCAATGGATGTTTCGTATCAGTCGAGGACATATACGATCAAGACCCAGAAGAGCTGGTCATCAGGCTGTTGAGGGCGTCACCCAAGAAGCAGACGACGATCGAGCAACACCCCTTTTGGGCAAGAGCATCGGTAAACGAGGCTCTCGTTAGTGCTATACCGGTGGAGTTTCGGGAATACGCCGACGTGTTCTCCAAGAAAGGAGCCGCTCGACTACCTGACCACTCTGAATGGGATCATACCATTCCTCTTATGGAAGGAAAGCAGCCGCCGTGGGGACCGATCTATTCGCTCTGCCCACCTGAAGATAAGGCACTCCGGGAGTACTTGGACGAAAATTTGCCCTCCGGCAAAGTAGTCCCCTCCACTAGCCCAGCAGCGGCACCCATCCTGTTCGTCCCGAAAGCTAATGGTAAGCTTCGGTTATGTGTCGACTTTCGCGGCTTGAATGGAATTACGATCAAGAACCGCTATCCACTGCCGCTTATGAATGAGCTGGCCGATGCAACGAAAGGAGCACTCTACTTCACGAAGATAGACCTGAAAAACGGCTATAATCTGATTAGGATTGCTAAGGGCGAAGAATGGAAAACAGCTTTCCGAACGAAATACGGCCTCTTCGAATATAGGGTAATGCCTTTCGGCTTGACCAATGCTCCTGCGTCGTTTCAGGTCATGGTCAATACCATATTCAAGGATCTTCTAGATCAAGGCGTAGTAGTCTACTTGGATGACATCTTAATGTATTCAAAGACTAGAGAAGAGCATACGACTCTTGTACGAGAAGTTTTGGAGCGACTGCGACGACACCATCTATACGGAAACCTCGAGAAAATGGAATGGTATCAACAGGAGGTAGAATTCCTGGGATTTATACTATCAGGAAAAGGGAACCAGGTATCACCGAAGAAAGTCCAGGCGATCGAGGGTTGGTTAGCCCCAACTAAGGTCGAGGAACTTCAGTGCTTCCTCGGGTTCGCCAACTTCCTACGACGGTTTATCCACCGATATTCTGAGGTTTGCAGACCCATGACCGATCTCCTGAAGAAAGGTTCCGTATGGAAATGGGGCAGGGAACAGCAGAACGCGTTCGACGAACTCAAGAGGAGATTCACGTCTGCTCCAATACTCCGACACTATGACGAACACCGCGAAGCAATCGTGGAAACTGATGCGAGTGACTGGGCCGAGGCCGCAGTACTTTCTCAGGTGTTCGAGGACGGTATTCTACATCCGGTAGCTTACCACTCTCGCAAGTTCAACGAGGCAGAGGTCAACTATGAGATCTATGACAAGGAGATGCTCGCAATAGTTTCTGCTCTCTTGACTTGGAGACATTGGCTGGAAGGAACGGACATCCCTATCCAGATACATTCGGATCACCAAAACCTGCAGTATTTCACAACGACCAAGAAGTTGTCGAGAAGACAAGCCAGATGGGCCGGAAAGATAGCACCTTTTCGCTTCAAGATCCATTACCGACCAGGCGAAAAGAACGGCAAGCCAGATGCACTCACAAGGCGTCCGGAGTTCGCGATGGAAGGGGGAGTAATGCGTGAGCAGCCAGTAAAACAGCTACTCAGTGCAGAACAATTTGTCAGGAAATCACGGACCAGCGTAGAAACTGGGTCTGAAGTGATTGGCAACCCCGAAGAGGAATGGAGTCAGTTGGATCAGTGGTACGACATACCAAGCGTAGAGCTGCCCCAGCCACTACAGGGTTGGTATGAACAGGAAAGACGATGGGTTCGGAGGATGGTTCCGGATGAACACCTCCCTGACTCAAACCTTGAGATCTTTGGACCACCGGAGGCTGCTATCGTAAAAGTAGAGCCTGCCGCTGAATGGAGTCCCGATTCGAATGACCCCACCCACGATGGTCGATGGGTAGTACCGGGCTACGCGGTTAAGCAGGTCATTGAGGAACATCATGACCGACCCGTAGCGGGGCATTTAGGAAGGGATAAAACCCTTGAGTTGATTGATAGGAACTACTGGTGGCCAGGAATGTCCACGGATGTAGCCAACTTTGTCAAGACTTGCGATGTATGCCAGAGAGCCAAGCAACGTCGGAGACACTTGTCACTCCCTCAACCCCTAGAGTTAGCCACCACACCTTGGACTGATATCTCGATGGATTTCATAGTAGAAATGCCTAAGGAGAAATCAGGATTCCGTAACGTATTGGTAGTCGTGGACCATTTTACGAAGATGGCTCATTTCATTCCAATGACGGGGATCAACGCGGAGCAGACCGCTAACGCATTTGTCAAAGACATCTGGCGTTTCCACGGACTTCCTAGGAGCATCGTCTCTGATAGAGGAACACAGTTCGTGTCAGCATTCTGGACGGCAATCACGGAAAGATTGGGGATTCGTAGGAGACTCTCTACTTCATTCCACCCGCAAACCGATGGCCAGACAGAACGAACCAACCAACACCTGGAAGGTTATATTCGGGTATATACGGCAGGAACAGGCAAGAAATGGAAGGACCTGTTATCTATCTGCGAATACGCCTACAACAACGCGAAGCATACGTCGACTGGACAATCACCGTTCTATTGCAACTATGGCTTCCACCCCCGAACGGACTGGCCTACGGATGCAGAGATCGAGCGATTAGATGCCAATGGAAACAACTACTTGGACGAGATCATCACGGCTCACGAGTTAGCGAGAGATACACTACAGAAGACTTTCGACAGGATGGCGTCAAAGCCAGGACCAGCAGCACAGCAGTTCAATATCGGTCAGAAAGTCTTGCTGGATACTCGGAACCTTGGAGGGTACTCCAAGTGGTCAGACAAGTTCACGGGACCATTCACAGTGTCGGCAGTGGTGGGCAATCGGGCTTACCGCCTTGAGCTTCCGGTAGAATGGAAGGTTCATGACGTCTTTCACGAGATGTTGCTGCGACCCTATCGTGAGGACCCGGATCCCACCAGAAAACAGAATACACGAAAGCGACTGGCAACACCCGAGCCACAGGAGGCATTGGCAGACGAGAATTTCCAGCCAACCTCGAACATACGACCCCATACGCGAAGTCAAGGCCCAGCGATCGATAATGACCGGGCTCATAAACGACAACGGAACAGGCGAGACTAAGCTCGATACCTTTCCCTACTCTATGACTTTTCCCACAGGGTTTTTATCATAGAAAGGGTTTTAACGGTCGAGGGCGACGTCTAGGAGGGGGGAGTAGTGTTACAGGAACTACGGAACACTGTTCTAGAGACTTAGGACAGGGAGGAATACGAGTGACAGGTTGTGATGCGAGGACGGTCGGGTAACAAGGACAAGCATAGAAAGATATCGGGTAGTGTGGGGGCACGCGGTGTTACCACACTAGTACTATACTATTATGACGGCACGCTTACTATTGGGTGTCTCACCCGGAATAGAATGGGGAGCAGGGCTTACGGTTGCAGGCTGTTCTACTTAGGGAAGTAGGTCTAGGATGATAGTATGGTACAGCCCGATGACTGGCAATTGCAAGGTTCATGGTTACGTGTCGGAATTAGAATGGAGGACGGAACTATGCGGGGGCGCTTTTCTATCTGGGTTATCTTCGGGAGCATTATCTTATTCTATTATCGTTGTGTCAGTTAGTATTAGAAAGCGGGCCTTGGCATAGGTTCCAACATGTATAAATAGGGCTTGATTCTGCGAAGACTTGAGGGTATCATCAACCATCAAGTCAAGGGAATCCGGTTTACAATATCATCAGTTTAAACGCTACAGAATTATCGCTTAGTACTAGCCATCTCCCTAAACATATACATTGTAATATGGCTTGTACACTATACGACTTTCCTTAATTAAAAGCTCCTAGATGTCGACATGTCATATAGCTGAACATATACACTCTACATTGTATACAGTTATCATACGGTCCAATAAAAGATCCTCCGCGGGCCCAAAACAACATAGAAAAATTTGCAAGGAAAGAGTGGGACCCAGCATGATTTATTTCATTTGCAGCCATTGTCCTAGCTGTACGAGCACCTAAGCCCACGCGTCAAATGAGACGACGAAAAGAAAAGAAAAAGAATCGTAGAAAAAGCTGCATACAAACACATCAACAAACCCCACACTATTCCTGGGATTTAAGTCTGCCATGAATTATAGTTAGAGGATGAGCCACATTGAGGGTTTGTGTAGGGATCGACGACATATTCCATGTTTAAGTCGAACACCTCAAGTTCATGAGAATACTCAACAGCACGATTTTGGTCTTGTATGTTTCCTGATCCTGCGCCAAGGTGACTCCATAGATCATCCGGAAGGGCTTCAGAATCATTCAGAGATAGTGACGCACTGGGTAATGTTGGTAGTGCTAGGTGATCTAGATCAGCAGGAGTTACATGTGACACCGGAGTCAACATTGAAACCCGTGAAGGTGGCGCTAGCATTATGGCTGTTGCTTGCGTTGTTGCTGATGCAGGTGCTGATGCTGGTGCTGGTGATGGTGCTGTTGTATAAGGTGCGGGTGCTGCTGGTGCTGTAACTGGTGTTGCTGCTGGAGTTGTTGCTGGAGTTGTTACTGCTGCTGACGTTAGGGGGGTTGGCGCTGATGTTGGTGATGCCGGAAGGGTTCGCATTATTGTAGAAATTATATTGCTTTCTCTCCAAACTATATCCTTAATATTAGGTAAAGAAATTCCATATAATTTTGCTGGTTAACAAATAAACTCACGTACATTGGTCGGGCACATCAATAGGAAACAACAACCTGTATATTTTATCCCAAGTTTGTGCTTTGGTTATAAGATCTGATATTCTCCCAGCCTCGATTCCTGATGGGTCCAGAGCGTCTACTAAATCGCAATCGTCTTTTTCTAAGTGTCTGTTTATCTCCCCTTCATGGCCCATTTGGAATGTCTTGCATCGGCCGCAACGGAATGGCTTCAGGTGGTGTTCCTTGCAGTGATCTCTAATCGAATTCATTCAATATTAGCAAACGACCTCGCTAATCAGAGTTTACGTTTTACCAGCGACAGGATGGTTATGGTATTGAGTATACGCTACCCATTATATTTGAATTGCTTAGCTAGCAGCCAAATATGACGCTGATGGCGGCCTCATATATACCAGAACCAAATTGTTGCTACCAAGTCGAACCCAGAGGAGATATAATGACGTTTGGTATAACATTAAAAAGTTCTAATATAAGGTGGAACACATACTTCACCTTAGGAAGACTGGTATTCTTCCATTGAGCGCATTCAGGGTATAGGTGTCTAACTGCCGTATTTTTGGAGTACGGACAAGCGAAGGGGAGGTCGAAATTGATACGACTTTTTTTGATGACCCGTTTGTGGGGCCCTGGGGCATTATCATCCTGATCGCGGTCTTCGTTAGGATCTAAGGGGCGTTTCAAACCAAGCCCCCCCCTTCCGGCTCCTCTACCTCTACCGTTTAGGTTTCCATTTTGAAAGCCGGTACCCCGAGTAGCTCCCCCGCTTTGAGATCTTGTGGTATGCCCTCCACCACTAGTGCACTGGTAGAAATATATGTATAGCTGTCCAAATAGAGAAAAATGGCAGAGAGGTGGTCGTGGTTTATCTGCCATCAAAACTTCCAATCTTAGGTCGAGCTCCCTTGATTTTGGCCAACTTAATGGGATGTTATCCAACATATTTCTAGTTCTGTTGAGATTATCGAACGACTCATGATGTGAATATTGATACATATTTCGATTTAGGATGGGCTTCTGGACGCTGCCGAGGGCAGGCGCTTGATCGCTTCTTTGCTTGCGTTCGAATTCCCGGATGTAATCTGTAACAACAGTACTAGACATGATCGATATATTCTTACGAGCGTTATAAGAGGCTGCCAAATGTTAAAGAATACACAGCTGTACAGAATCTCATATATATGCGGCGAGTTCGTACGTACGTACAGTATTCAACGTTCTAGGTGTGGTAAAGGTGGGGTACGTATACTAGTACTGCGTACCGTATACCGATGCGCATAGAACAAGTTTTTGAGCTGAGCTTCGTCGATAGAGGGTGCGACCCATATATGTAATAGAGCGGCTTAATTCTAAGACATCAAGCATACTTAAAAGAAACTACAAGAGTCTGTATCCATTTGCTTATACGCATAGTACAGGGATCGGAGCGTGACTCTACCAATGTGGAGTTTACGTTCTGCACAGAATGAGATGCGGTGCCTAACACTTTTGTACCCAAAATATTCACACAATGATACATTAGAGTGTGTATAGGATCCACCGAAGTATTTTGTACTTTTGTATTTCCTAAGTTTTAGAGGTGCTATGTGGTACATGTACCATATGTGCATATTGGTTATTGTGAACATTCGAAAGAACTCAAACAATAACCAATCATCACGTGATCATCATATCGAGAACATGCTAGATTGGACAACAAAATTTGAAACTGAAACGTCTCCACAAGAAACACAAATAATATATATCCCACACATTCGGTGGATCTCAATGTTCCTCCGCTCAGTCTTATCTGGTGAGGTACTTTCCGGTGCGCACATACGTGCAGTGCACGTGCTGTGCGAATTAAGGGCTTCATCGCGAAGTCCAAAATCCGGATTTCAGACGTTATATAATTAGTACAGCATATCACAAGTATAGTGGCTAGTACCGTAACTATGTATAAAATTAGATGAATAGGCGTATGATAGAAAGAATTACGTTTATCAAGGACCTACCTGACCCCCAGGCCCCCTCCAGCGTTAACATCCCAAGAAGGACTAAGCTCGCCCCCAACCCATCTACTTTCATTCTTCCAGCAGACGTGCTGGTGCTATATCTCCCCGACTTGGGTGAGATCTTTTTGTATGGGGTGTCGGGCTGTCGGGCTCAATTTAGATACAAAAGGTTTATTCTGACCCCGATATCACATTTCGGGCTTTTATATAATTATATCACAAGTCGGGCTCCTACATCACAATTCAGAGCCCGATATCAGATTTCAGAGGCCGACGAGAGTGTCGGCCGACATTTGGCGGGGATATAATGTTCCAGAACCTACTGCAGCTGGCGAGCAGCTTGCTGCTAAGTAGGGGAGGGGTACGAGACTAAGGCCGAGGTATGTACAGCTTGCGGTAAGATTATTGTAGAAATATGGGAGGAGTCCTATTGGCTTGCCCAGCCATAGAAACCCTGTTTTTAGACCCCTCTTTCTACAATAATTTTACCTCTCGCTATACCCGGGGTGCCGGAAAGTGATGCAATGATCAAATAATCCATATTCCTCAACCAAACTAGCTAATAGAATCTGGAGCGAATCTATGGTAATTTAGAAGCTGGAGATCCTAGCTATGGTAAGAGTTATTATGAATAGCCATTAGAGCGTATTTACTAAGTGTCGTTTCTGACAATTGACACTTCGGAATTGACGGTTGCAAGAGGAAAAATTGACACTTCCGCTCCATAGAGACATGAAATGCACAAGCTGCAAGAGCAGGATGATAATTACTACGGCATCTCCTAAGTGTATTTGGTATACTTTTAACGTATTTCACAGCATAGCAAGTGGCTCCACCCAAAAATGACACTTGTGGATGCCGCTTTCATAAAGAGTGCATGCATATGGCGAAGTGTCAATTGTCAGAATTGACGGTTAGTAAATACGCTCTATCCTGAGCGCCTTTCCGTGTTGCTAGGTCAAACGTTGCATCACTTTCCGGCACCTCCAGGCATATGAGGACTCGGACTTTTGTTTAGACCAATCGGCACCCTCCCATTCTTCAACTGCTAATTCATGTACTCGCGACTAGCAAGAAGAACCCGAAAATGCACGTCCTAATCTGCAATTTCCATTGGAGTAGAAGTCAAAAATACACCAAAGACTTGCAGCTGCATATTCGGGTTCTTGTTGCTGGTCGCGAGTACCTACTTCTATATATATATATTGATGGTAGCTGACCATGCAGATATGGTGCGAACACTCTTAAAAGTGACACAGCGGTATTTGGAAGTGGAACAATCGTGGCTGCAAGATGACTCCCAGGCCAATGAGAGGGCCTGCTGTTTCTTTTTTTTTTTTTTTTGTTTAATTCATTAATTGCATGCAACTTTACAGTTATGGCAATGCCCCTGAACTATCCCTTCTCCTCCGCCCCCTCTCACATATTTCTAACATAGGAAAAACGCCCCGAACTCTTTTTCTCATTCTATTCCTCGTTTCTGGGCCTGCTGTTTCTGGCCACTTTGCTGCGTTGCTGCCGCAATTCGCTTTTGAGGAGGTATAAATGGGTATAATAGAGCGTATTTGCCAACCGTCAATTTCAAGAATTTACAAATTATGGGGCTCCAAAATGGCAGCCGGGGCTGTTAATTTTCAATTTCGGCAGGGCGGCGCGCTGTGGGGTATACCAGGAGGATCACAAGTACCCAGTTGTGTTACTACCGAAGCTAGCATCATGGATACGAATTTTTAGTTCTAATAGCGTATTTTACAGGTAGCGTGATGAATCGTCTGATTTTCGGGGTTATTTTGTCATACCATTGTCCAGATCGATTTTGGTCACTGAGGGGAACTGTCAATTTTGCCTCCCGGAACTGTCAAGTTTGAAGTGTCAATAGTTGAAATTGACGATTGGCAAATTATATACGCTCTAATCTCTGAAGTTGGGAGGTTTTGTTAGTAGAATTCATTAATTTTGATACTCGCTCAGCGTTTTTCTTTTCTTTTTCCTTTTAGCACGCCCGGAACCCCTGTTTTCGCAATAATTCCACCGGGATTTGTATATCTTGTCCGCATCACAATCGATCATTCGGACTCCGAACGAGCTGTCCAGCTCATCACTTTCCCTAAAAGGGGTCACAAACAAAACCTCAAATATAGTGTGGTTAAATGATCGCCATATAATTATTAATACGTGCTTATACACAGGCTAATACAGGAAAACTAAAAAGCAGACACCTAGAAGTTAGATTTCGTAAACATACGAAATCCAACCCTAGATCGATCGAAAGGGCCACTATTACTATGGATCTCCGGCCAGTACAGTTCAACCGTGCGAAATAACAAATCCAAGAGAAAGAAATATGGGCAGCAGGAAAATCCTAGTTCTAGTGTTCCAGCTGAGAGTTCCGGTAGTCGAATGCAAGTTCTAGTGTTCGAGCTGAGAGTTCCAATAGTCGATGCAAGTTCTAGTGTACGTGTTCCAGCCGAGAGCCCCGGACGCGATGTACAGAACAAGGGCTCAAGGCTACGTATTTGCGATGTTTCGAGTCGGAGATCGAGAGGCACGCCACCAATCCACATCATCTTAGACTTCCCAGACTGGCACTAAATGTTAGTATATTACAGTTTCATACCTTATATCAGGGACAAGTCCCCTTGTCTTACATTTATTAGGAATGCGTTGTGGGAACAGAAACATATAAATTTCCTGCCAAGTTTTCGCCGATTCCAAGTCCAGATTAAAAGCCCGTTCTTCGCCCGAATTCATATCCTGTGAATTAGAACCGTTTTGATTTGGGGTGCCGGCCTCAGATATGTTACCGGAACGATCGCATAGATGGGGCCTGAGATGTACCCTCTTGATATGATCCCTTTTATTTATGAAAATCAGCAACTCATATCACACAGGGTATAATGACGAAAACTAGTACTTCACGTGACTGATATCATAATTATGCCACTTCTGGCAACCTGTATAAGATTGCGGACTATTCTTGTAATAGGGACAAGCGAATGCTCTTTTCAATCTCTTAGTCGAATGGCTGCTGTCTCCCGATTCATCTTCAAGCACCTCCGAAGCGGAACGCTTCCTGGACGTCTCACCCGCCCGTTCCTCTCTCATATGGATCTGGCCACTGGGTCAATACACTTTATGCTAACGCTACGGATTCGCACCATGTGTCTTCTTAGGCTTATACTAAGACCGCCACTTGTATAGTTTACATTGGGTTTACGAGTGTAGTTTCGGCAGGTGTATCGGGACGTGGGCCAAATGGTTAAGCAGTTCCGTCTTGTCGTATATATATATTCCACCCGGCGACCATGGGTCGTCGTGATAACACCTGTGAGGATTTTCGTTGGGATAAGTATAATCAATGAAGAGGGATAAAGAAAAAGACGTACAAAAATGAGCGATACCAAACTCTATCCCTTCCCTGATAAAAATGACGGCAAATGTATGGGTTACCATTTCCCTAGATATAGGCTGGAGCATGGCTCTTGTAATTTGTGCAGTTGAACTCACGAAGTTGAATTTTCTTTTTCGTACGGTATGTTTGAATGACTATGTTTCGTAACGGATGTTACAATTTTAAGGGACAGACCACATATATATATACCTGGTGCATACGCACATGTGGTGCAGACCAACGTGTCCGTAAGTTCGTGAACATTTGTCTGATAGACCAAAACAGATTTTGAGAATACTGCACTTTCATTGGATCAGATTTAGTGATCGGAGACTGACTTGGGAATATTGCACTTCTGAATCATAGTCTATGCATTGACTCCGTCTCCGCCTCTCAGCTTCTAAACCGTGCAGTCATTCTATAGCCACTTCTCCGGAGGGGAGGAATCTCTAACTTCTCCTTGAAAATATGTAATCACGTGATCACTTTATTGAAATTGTATTGTTAGACCTCATGTGCGCCTGATCGAACAGTCTCCAACGACCGACAGGACCAGCAAGGCTGGCAATTGCGAGGCTAGCGAGAGATACGTCAATGTGCAGGGTTTTACGCACATTCGAAACGCCTCTCAGCTGATCAGGTTTAATTTTATGGCCTACTGCTAGTGATCTGTATTGTAGGTACATAAAGCAAAGTACATAGGTATTCGTAGTTAAAAGGTGAGGCTCGGCCTCATCCAATATTTAGCCAATAAAAGAATTGGCTGAGGTGTGTACAAGGTTGACGGGGACACGCCCTCTACTTGCTTACCAGCAAAAGAACCAAGTGATTATTTGTATGAGAGAACGGCGCCACTCCATACAAACTATCCTTGCCCTGAGCAACCGCATTTTCTGGGTAAGCAAGTACTCCCTCTTGCATCATAGGTACAAGTATGTCGACCCTCAAGCGGGAAACTAATTAAAAAGCGGGAGAAACTCTGCTTGAATAGGATATATTACTATAGTATACTATTTATTATTATTAGGATTAATTATATAATTATGTAATGAAGGCATAAAATTATTATTCCATACCAAGCCGATTCGTTTCAACCATTTTCAACCAGATTTTATAGAAACCTATTCATTCGGGCATTTAGAACTAATAGGTAACAGAACCATTTTACAAAAAAAATTCCACAAAATTGCAATGCCGCCGGTTCGACATCATGTGATGATGTTCAATCAGCAGCATATAACTCTCACCGAATCAACTGGTGACGGCGCGGCGAGTCTTCTCCTCACACACTAGCGTATTATTTATCAGTCGAAGTGCATACGAGTACTCTGAGAAAGGAAGCCTTAAGATAAATCACATTCCTTGCTTGTACCAAACTGATCTTAAGCGTGCTCTCTTCAAACGTTGCCCTGAAGTAAATACGTACGCATCCCGCTCTCTTTGTACCCCTCATTTTTACTTCAAACTCCTCTCCAATTCCATTTGAGGCTCACCCGATTATAGGATACGTGTGGAGATTCTTGTGGGAACCGCTCGCACCACTACGCTGCAGGTCTAGAAAGCTCTTTAATCCCTAGGACTTGTTTATAAGCTCGGATAACTCTGAGCCTAGAATAAACGTCACAAAATACGAAGTGCTCTCGATCCAGAGCACCTTCATAGCTTTACATTTTCTATTATAGCTCGCCTACGTAGCTACCCTAACCTATTCACGGTTCGTACTCTTCGACAATCATATCTAGTTTGGTGATTTAATTATCTAACGTATATATTCGACGTCAAATAGAGTATTGAAACTCGCATAGATCTGTAATGTCAAGTCCCGATGGCTCTAGATCTCACCCCGAACCCAATCATGGGGAACGGCTAAAGAATAGAGGAACAACGGATGAGAAGGCTTCACGGCAACGTGGACTATCTACAGGCAACAATGATATCGTCAAATTGGCATCTAATCATAAAAAACTAATACCTCGTCAGAGGCTATCTAAAGTCTCCGAGTCCTCCTCTCAAGGTGGAGGGCGCATGCACAGCGGGGGGAAAGAAGATAAAAGACCTCGACTAGCTCAAGCTCTAGCCCTAACCGCCAGCGCACCCATAAAGCGAAAGAAAGAATACGGAAAGAATTCCTCGGTAAAACAGCAAGAAACTCAAGTCGATGAAAACGGGGAGGAAAGCTCGCCCGATCAGCCCAGCAAAAAGAGGCGGCCGCGTGCTAAAAACCAAGAGCCAAATAAAGCTTTTCTACAACCTTTTGCTTGTCCTTCTTTCCAACACAACAAAACTCAAAACACAGAATGTAGATCTTGGCATAGTCCCAAAATTCTTCTAGTCAAGTATGATTTTCATTTCAAAGATATCATCACGGATTAGGGGCTAGTTCCAGTAAAGCGCCGTGGCTTTAGGCTTTAAACTCTCATGGAAGCTTACGCTACTGAGAACTATGAGGGGCTTGGCCTTCCATACACTATAGCTGAAAAAGAACTGCCCAGCGTTCTCAAGTTTGTTGACTGACGTTTGCGATAGGCAGCACTGCATAGAGGAACACGTGAAACCACTCCGATGCGGTCGGTGTAGGATGTTCAAAGCTGGCACGCCAGATGAAATCGAGAGGCACCTGAAGGAGAGCGACTGCAAGAAATCCTGTACTCCAGACCCATCAGAAAAGGATGCTCGTGCAAAGGCTAGTGAGATAGATAAAGCAAAAACATGGGAGAGAATCTACGAAGTGATGCACCCACAGACTATACCAGACCCATGTAAGTTATCCTCCGTGGCCGCCATGTGTATATTTTTGTCTAAGATTGTGCGAATAGTTTATGAGGAACAAGCTCAAAACGATGTGGCCGATCATATGCATAATCAGCAAACAGTCAATTCTTATACTGATGCTACCCTCACTGAATATGATAGTAGTGCTATCGTTTCATCTCAGGGATTTGAGTGTCTTGGGGAAGATTTATATTTAATCCAAGATCAAATCGCCTCTCCAGTGAGAAATTACACCTCAACTGACCAATACCCTCAAGATCAATCCCAAACCAGTGTCTCGAACGAAAATTTGAACGGTCCGGGATGGCAGTCGCTAGTGGAGTACTGGTCGGTTGTGGAACAGGAATAAGGAATAAGGTAAGGAATGGCAGGATCAAGAAGCTGGGTAATTGAACCTAGTAGGCTCTCAATATCCAAATTAAATGGCCCGTTTACAGAGGGCCAATGTGAGTCTTACGGATCTGCTCCATGACACCTGAGAGGACAAGAATATTTCAGGGCCCGCGCGCACAGGTGAAGGAAAGAAAATAAAACGGGTCCCTCACCTTGTGTCACAGCGCTTTTTCCCCAGACCCCATGCATCGCCATTCCACTGAACACCTTCCTTCATATACCTAAAGTCTTCTTTTCTTCAACTCGATTTTCCTTTTCTTATTTGTACTTAAAGTGGGTCTGCACCGAAACCCAAAGGTATTTCTTAGACTGGTGATCCGCATCACTCAACCTAGGAAGGATGATGGGGGCAACAGGGGCAGCAAAATTTCAACCTGCATTTTTCAAAGCGCTAGCATCATAGGTACACAATATATAGCTATAGTATACTTTAACAAATCTCCAAACAATTCTACTTCTATTCTAGATCTCTCGTGTTTTTTCCCCAGGAGCATCCTTTTAGATAGTTCCAGAAAATGCTTTTTTGGGTGGATTAAATTCTGACAGACACCTAACCCCCACAAGGCTCACTAATCATTGAACGCAATTAGAACCGGGTACAGTGGTGGGTGGTTGTATTTAGGCGAATTTTGGTTCCTTCCCAAAGAGCGACAAAAGTCATCACATGATCATATCTTCGGTCAATGTGGGACTTCTCAACATGCGGCTATCTTAGACCGAGCTCTCGAGCTCGCTCACGCAAAGATTTCGTACGTACGAAGAAACGGTCCATAAACATTATATTTCATTCAAGGCATGCTGACCCCAGCGATATCCGCAGCTAGAAACCATCTAAGCTGCAAGCTAGAGCTGTTAAAGGGGGTTCAGAACGATATACCATACACTACTTCAGAGGGGCCTGTTTATGATTCAGCTCTGGTGACAACTTCGCCGCATTTTTCACAGAAAATGAATGTTAAAATCGTTCATTATGGAATAGGTACCTTTGTTCTGAATCTCCTCTAATCCACGGCCGTTTGTATCTATATCCCTTTTGATCTCCTCAGACCGCTGGGAAGCTAGCTAGCTGTAGAGTAGCTACCTATACTAGTTAACACCTATGGCCCTTCCCGTGAGAATCCTTCCTATATATCAAAGGCTTTCTGTCTTATCCGTCGCCTGTAACCCCTATGAAAAATCTCCAGAGCCCTTCAACTTGATCTTGTTCTGGCGGCTTATTGTTTGTGGTCTTTAGGCGCCGAGTACCAAAATACCCCGCCTAGATACCCAGCACCTAGAAGTCTCCGCTCTCGGGTGGCAGCAGCGCCGCCTTCGACAGACGACCTACCAGTCGCGCGATCGTACGGCGGTGAGGCATCCAACGATGAACATCCTGTTGGTATTTGGCACAAAGGCTGTTCGCTACGAGTTTCTCATTCCGCGGACAACGCAGAGCTGGGATGGATTACCGAGGACGGAGTAAAAGCTGAACGTGGATATGAAGATGAAGATGAAGATGAAGATTTAGATCAAGAGGAGGATGATGATTTGACGGAAGCATGTCTAAACGGTACCGACAGTCGTTTTGATCGTCGAATCTTGTCCGCATCGCTAGATGCCGATAATGTTCAAAGTCATGTTTCTGGTCGTGGGGAGAAGGGGAAAGGCAAGTTGTCTACTCCCCGGAAACGTTCGGCGCCGCTCGGATTTTCTGCAAACCCGCAAGATGATATCCAAGACGATGACGAGTCCGCTGGGAAGCCGTCCAAGAGACCGAAAGAGCATAAAGGGGCGAAAGATGTGTTGCACCATCAATCAAAAAGGCCGTTTGCCTGCCCCTACTTCAAAAAGAACCCTTTAAAATATGTCAGTTGTGCCGACTGGCGTAATACTAAACTCTCCCTAGTGAAGTATGGTTTAACTCCTCCTCAGACATGTCAGATTTTTCCTAACTTTTAATGACAAATAAAAGAACGCATTGTATGTCAGAGCACCTAAAGTCCCGATGTCCACGATGCAAGGTCTATAGGGGCGTTCAATCCGAAATCATTAGACACCTAGAAGATGAGGATTGCAAGAAGCCAGAGACCTACGATCCATCTGAAGAAAAGACAACTGAAGAAAAGGTCCAGGAATTGAACAAGGCAAAAACATGGAGAAGGATTTACGAGATATTGTTCCCCCTATACATACCAGATCAATGTAAGTCCACATCATCAAACTCAGTTTACGTACTATACCTGAGATAGAGAGGAACAGTCTGGCAGAACACTATTGAAACTTTGGTTGCCCCCAACGACGAAGACGAGTTGTCTTTCATGGATAGAGTTCAACTTGCCGTTTCAATTAGGGAGCAGACGTATAGAGTGGCGATATCAGAGTTCTTGAGGGAACGTGCAGGTGCTGGAGTCGTAGATGACCTCTTGGACCAATTCGATAAAGTTTTAGAATCAAAAACTTGGAATCAGGATCCACTTGACGATTTAAATAACTCTAGGGCTATAACACACGAGACTCAAATTCATGAGAGTTTATCAAGAGAGCCGCCAAAAGCCGAACTACCAAGTACCTCGAGTTCAATCCACAACTCTAAAACTCTGAAATATGAGCCCCAGTCAAAAACACCCGCAAGCGCCGGTAAAGACAATGCTGAACAGCACCTTCATGACATGACTGACCTCAACCACTTCCCGAACCAATGCCAGTACTCGGTTGAGCATCTAATGCCAACCCAGGATTCCGGCCACTCGCGAGTTGACATTTCGAATTTTTCAAAGTTCCAACCAGATCTACTCGGTCAGAGTTTCACCAACGATCCTAGCTCACAGGACATGCATGATTATGTGAATGTTGATGACGATATGTTTGAATACGGGGGGGAGGAAGGATTTGAAGAAATTGGGGATGATTTCCTTGAGCCGGGTGGAATGGGCTATTCGTTGTAAGGGTGTACGATTGACGCGTAGATTTATAGATCTTAAGAGGTGGAGCATATGTATTGTTCAGAAATCTTAGCAGGCTGTATTTGTTTTCTTCAAACAACATAATAAACTATCTGTCAAGTGTTGAAGGGGCCTAAACGTTTGAAACATGAAACTTCGTGTCTTTCTAAACTATATAGTCTTCCTCATCGTCACCAGGAACGTTTTCTATTGGTTGCGGGTTAATTACGTATCACCAGCCAAAGAACTACTCCCGAGATGGAAGGGAATTGGCATCCCATACTCTTTTGTTCACAACATCTGCGTATAAAGTCGGCGAGCAAGGAGGGGTCGGTGTGCCGCACAGCGGCACCCGACCCCGATTGTGAGCTACTCATATGAATTGAAAGAACTGACTTAGAGTGCATTTATTTAACATATACATGTAGTTCTTAGTACGTACATACGTACTTGAGCTAATACCACAGATTACAAGGAGAGATGAAGCTTAGTGCCTATACGTATATACATTTCGACAATCCAATGGTCCAAAAATACCGTACCGTACCCCCGTTTCTGTCTCACTATATTTGGGCAGCCGGAGGCCGCACTCCGCTTGTTAAGTATATACATGTAGATACTAAATTGCCATCGTTTCAACCATGCGACATGCAGGTACTTTTCCAGGGTTGCTTTCAATATCAGGGACAATGTCAACAGCAGAGCACATGATATTTAAGTTCAAATCATAAGTAATTGCGCAATCCTTTCTTCACATGCACAGGAACCAACCACGGGCCACGGATAGGGCCAGTTGTGCCAAGATATGATAAGACAAGATCATCGTTAGCGCAAACATTTGGATTATCGATTGTGCACAGACGTAACCTTAGCTTAGGAAGCTTTTTTAGCTCCAGGGGTCTGTGGGCTAATGTCACTAGCCAGTTGTGGCTAATACAAACCTTATTTCAACCTCTCGATGCTAGTTTAAGTCTAGCCAGGGAAATACTAGCTCATACTCTAAAACTAACCTACGCTGCCTACGTTTTCACAACATGTGGCGATTGGTGGCTTACCGTACAAATTGTAGAAGCTAACTGCAAATGTCGGCTCGCGGTGCAAGACAGACCCACTTGTCACGCAAAAAAATTCTAAAAGGTAGTGGAATATTGTTTTTTCGTTAAAATTGTGTCTATCACGACGCCGTCCACGCGTGGGCCTAACATGTTGTGATTACCGGAGCGGGCGGAGGAATAGGATTTTTGGTGATGATTGACAAGTACATATGGTACTAAGAACATTAGGTACGTGTAGTATTGAGTCTCTTATACAGGTCGTGACCAAAAATAATACTAATACAAGTTTCCAAAACAAGAATACATAAACCCATCCACCTAACTCTTCCCAACGACCCTTTGGACTCCATTATAATTAGCCAGGTATATCAAGAGCGACTCAAATAAAAAGGCATAGACTTGGTATTATCTGAGACTAGAGGTAGAAATACGAAGCTTTGAGACGTCTTTTATCTGCCAATAGAGCTTAGGAGAATATTTGCTACTGATATTACTTGTTTGCTTCTGCAAGTGCCCGACCAAATGCGCAGCTTACTCGGAACTGTACGGCGAATCAACACCGACTGATATCAGTAAATACTGAATTTTATACCCCCAGTTTATAATGCTTATTCCCAACTGCAAGGTTACATTCACGACCGTTCAGCTCAAAATTACCAGCGCAGCCCCAACCACTATCAGAACCAAAGGCATTCGGAGGACATATATATACCTACATCAGTTCTAGACTCTCGTAATGCTATTAGCAAAGAAGTAATTGAGCTCTCCAACTCATGTGTTCACTTTCTGGCATCATAGTAGAAGGACTGGGTCGGTCAAGAGACCACAGTACCCGGAGATTATGCATCTTTACTGGCATATACCAAGGAATAGAGCCATCCCTCTTCGCCCTACAAGACAATGCTCGCCAGACCACCCCATAAGTTCTGTCTTGTGATACTATACCTGCTTGGAGATGAGAGGTGGTGGAGGCAGAAGGGTAGTTCTGGGGCTGTTTGATATCGCCATAACTGTAAGGTTGCATGCAATTAATGAATTAAACAAAAAAAAAAAAAAAAACTATACCTGTTCGGGGTTCTGGGTGAGTGATAAGCTGTGATGCTACCAAAGCATATCCTCCACTCTTGCCTGCTGTCCACCTAACAGTACTCAAGAAGCAGCACCGCACTCTAATCTCACATGCAAAGTTGCTTTTAAACTGTGATCCACAAGTGGATGAGAAGTGGGTGTATTGAACATAGTTCAATTAACCTTGAGGGGCAGCCTTGCAATGGGCTGCCAAGATATGCATGTCTCTAGTTGTTTCCAAGTTTTTGACGTGAGACAGCAGGAGTTCTGAGTAGATATAGAATGTCTCAAGATGATTGATGGCGACTAGTTCCTGACTTCTGTGCGTTCTAGTTGCCGGGCTGGGGGCTCTTTGCTTCTAGAACATCGTTCTCGAACCTCGAGAGGGGCCGGCCTATATATGCCGATGCAAGGCACGAAGCACCTTAGCATTGAGCACCACACCACAAGAAATACGGTCCCTCTTTAGCTCTTTAAGCTTTACTTTAGTTTCACTCGCAGATCTAGATCTTAGTAGTGCTTAGACCCACCCAGTGCGGTCACAGTACTAATAGTAATAGTAATAGTAATAATGTGAATGATACTGCTTCGGTACAGAAAGCAAGAAAGCAAGAAAGGAGCCAGGTCTGCAGAAATTAAGTGCTATAATAATAGGATACCGAGGTAATTCAGAAAAAAGAAATGAAAAGAAAAAGAAAGAAAATTTTAAGTTATAGTTAATGGTTGTAAGAAATCTTGCAGTTGAGGCGAAGATATTCCCATAAAAAGGAAAGAAGAAAAAAATGTAGCTTCCAGTGATATGTGTTGAATAGTTTAGCACCACGTGGTTGCCAATTCTTTACATAGGAAAAGCTCAATCTAACTCGTCCCGTTCAAGATTCAATCTCATGGGTTTGAGGGGATAAAAAAAAATGTGAATCCAACATAAATAGAAATCATCACAATGAAAATCGTAAAGGACAAAGGACAGCTTGAAATGATCGATAAAATGGCAAAGAAATGTTCACAAAGCTAACCAGGAATGCGGCCTATACCGGCGTCCTTGAAGTAATACCAGCCGCATCATATACCCCCTATGTCTGAAATCCGAGGGAACTTTGGGCTCAATATAATGGACAAGTTTTTTCGACCTATCGAACGCTTCTCGGCCTGCGTCGTTCTTTATTGTTGCGTCCGCGCCCATTGCGAGCAGTGTCTCAACACTTTGCATATTCGGATCAGTAAAGTCAAATATTGTCTGTGCTGTTTGCGCTGCTAGGTGCAATGGTGTGTTCCCAAAGGAATCTTGAGCATTGGTATCGGCACCCCATTCCAACAATAGCGGGATTATCTCTGGCCAGCTAGGTGCTGCAAGGTGGAGTGCAGTGTGGCCGTATGTATCGCAAACATTTATATCCGCACCTCCTCTCAGCAGCAATATTAAGATCTTCTCATATGCAACCATTGCCGTTTTAAACTCTATCGAGTACGATACTTTCCTAAGGCATTCAATGGTACAATGTAGAAGACTTCCGCACTTGAACTCCCACACGCTTACATCGGCCCCGTTTTCGATGATTATCTCAACAATCTCCGCGTTCCCTTTGAGGATGGCATGGTCGATCGCCTTTCCGCCGGTTTTGGGATCTCGGTATTCGATATCAGCGCCTTGGAAGATGAGGTATCGGATCATTGAGAGTTTCTCATTCATGATTGCCCAGTGGAGTGCTCGCTGGGTGACAGTCTTGTCTTGGAACATTGAGAGTTCGTCTGGGACAATGACGTCCCAGACAAGGTTGGGACCTTGCGAGATGATGGATTCAACGTCGGTAGTGATATCTGGGTCCCATTTTCTAACTTCTTCGAGGTGAGACTTGACCCTTTGAGCGTTACGGGAGGCGGCGAAGCAGAAGAGGGCGGGGATAGCGTATGGTGGAGTAGAAGCATATTTAGCGAGGACAGGGGTAATGAACACTGCGAGGCCACGGTGAGCTAGAAGAAGATGGTTGAGGTCGCATGGAGATGTGATATATTCAGCAATGAGGAAGTAAAGTTCCGCAGGAAGATCGAGGATTGACATCCTGTTATTGCGAATTAATAGTGGTTTCGGACACAGAGTCTATGGTGATAATGATGATGTGGGAATTTGTTATGATGGGGGGTAGGTGGTAGGTAGCCGGCGAACAAGAGAAGGTGAGGATCTCCAGACAGACGACAGCATGTGTGTACCTGGAGTACATACAGTACAGGTCGATGTACTAGGTACCTCCCCCAGGAATCATCTGTCCAATCGATATGCACATAGGGCTAAATCTGGTGTAGGTGCGGAATATAGAATGGAGCTAGACAAAGTGGTACAAAAGTCAAAGGACCCGGCGATGCCCGGAAGGCAACCGGGGTTGTTGCACCTTACCGCCTCATAATCATATTGTTGTGTAACGACAGATCATGTCCTATCACTCGAGTTGTTTCCTGTGCCAGCGCTTCTACTCAGTTCTAAGTCACAGACACACTATGAGGTGAAGCATGGGTAATCCTCCATAGCTCGCTAGGTACTCTGCTAGCTGTAATGCTGATACTGCCCAGTGAGAATCGTGTTGATGTTGGTTTATTTCGCATCTAATTTCCCCCACAACCTCTAAGCAGGATTCCCAGCACCCGCCTCGGCTAATATTCGTTTCTTTCTGAACTGCCACTCGGATAGCTTTCCCACACCTCGCTAGAACGCTTCCCGCCTGCATTGGCTTTAAATGATGCAACGGACGCGAGGCTGTGCTTCTAGGTTGAATCATTGGCCATGACGGACATGACAAGAGAAGTCTGTGGCTTGATGGGGACAAGGCTGGAGTCCAAGTCTTGGCGATATTGTACCTACGGAACATGCCACACGAGATTATTGTCAAAATCCTCATAGGCCCAACTTAATCAATTCCAAAGTTCCGGAGACAGCTATGATTGAGTGAAGGTCTGCTCCTGACAGTTTCAGAGTATTCTTTCGCCGCTCATAGCCTGATTCGACAGAAATGCCTTCCTTTGCATGCTGTGTCTAGCTACATACATGTAGGCCGGGAGGTGTCCGATTCGATTGTCAAGTTGTCCTGTGCAACCGCTATCTGCCGGGAACTTCGTCAGTGACATTTCGTGCTGTGAGTAATTCGATCTGTTCTCATGATCAGCATTGGGCCCCCTCCGGCAAGCGCGCTCACCAAATGGCGACAACGCTCGAGCATTCGTGCTTGCATACACATGCAGTGGATGCATGCATGATTGTACTCTATCAGGCATTGGCGGAGCCCTAACAAAGCCTTCGCTAGGCCCGGGCGCTCTTTGCAGCACCACTGTCATTCAATACGTTTGGGTACAGGATATATCAATATCCGAGTCAGCCGTAATCCATACGGGAGATATGCCAAAGCTAGCTAGACCTACACCCCGCTTCGTTACAGAGGTGCTCTCGGACGCTATTATTATACCTTTACAGGTATAAAATATATACATATTATAGCATGTAGTCCATATGTCCTCTTAACTGCCAAGACACAAAGTTGAGACCACATGCTTAAGCTTCCTAGAAATCTCGATTGACGAAAGCCAAGATGGACGGTGGGGGTTACACTCGATATCATAGCCGGAGTTTCTCTATTCCTTGGGCATCATTCAGCGAGGATCAACCCCTTCCCCGACCTTAAAAGCTTGATAGGGTCTAGACAACCGATTAAGCGTAGCTGGTCATAACCGCATTCAAGGGATCCGGTTTATAGAAAGTTTCTAATGAACAAAAGCGCCGCAGTCATCAGCACGTTTAACTCGTGTCCCCGAGTCAACTCCAAGGGGTTGCCCCTACACCATTGTTCTAGTATTGTTCATCAAACTATATAGTCACAAGTGATAAGGTTTCCCTGTGGATGTCCCAACCAAATACCATTAGCTTGGATTTTCTTGTTCCACATGCTCCAATGAACGGTGACCTCAAATGGGCAGCCAGAGCAGACTAGAGTGGAGTAATTATATTAGGCATGAGCTGGATCAGGGATTGTATAATAACCTGACCCTGGGTTAAGTATAGTCGAAGAGTAAAGATTATCTACATAACTCAAGGATCAAAAGTTAAAGTATATTTTAGTGAAGGCAGTCGTTTCCTTTTTTTCTTGATACTTGTAATTTATTAATATGAATCATAAGGTATCACTCGGACCCGCAAACCACAGTACGCTCACTACAAGTAGTTTGGCCTGATCATGAAACCAGTCAAGTGACGAGACTCTTCCCGCCCTGGGAAATCAATTCATTGAGAGGAGATTAATACATTTATGGAAAGGATGTAGAAAGACTCTTCCATATATTCTACATACGGTATTCCACAACCCCCAAAGTCTAGTGATTGAAAGAGTATGTTTTGGGTGGTGTACGTTAATAAGGCGCTTGGGGTATGACACAGTTCCAAACATATTTAGGTGCTAAATTATTTATGTATACCTACTTGTTGGTACTAGCTAAAGAAGCTGTGCATATTATCTACTAGGGTACTCCAAGACAGAGGAGGTACCTCGGGCCGTTTGCTTCTGCTCGCCTCAAGCAGTCAGAAACATCACAGCTGTATGTGGCGGGCTCTGTGTCCGGGGCTCGGAAATGAAGAGGAGATCTGTACTTGATCTTCTAGATGACCTAGATACTAATATATTGTAAAGTTCAGCTATGCCCAAACATATTACTCTCCGTTTACAGAATAGACTGCCGGAGGTAAATATAAATACACTTCACTTCTGGACTACAACAGTTAACTCGCGGAGTAGTTGATCCAATCACAAATGTTTCTGCCCTGACTGGGGCAAAGAAGGGCCAGATCGGAAGTGCGTCGTATCTTCTAATAGATTCTTTTAGCTGCAAGAGCTGTTGGACAGAATTAAAGTCGGGCACTTCGACAAAAAGTCCTGACACCTTATTGGTTGAACGACTGCAAGTCTCTTCCTAAAACAGCTAGACTTCCTGTCCAACCTGCTCGACTTTCTGTTCAACTCGCGCAGCTAAAAGACTAATGTCCTTCAAAAAAAAGTATGTACAGCCGTGGTTGGTGGGTTCCCCAGGAGAGCTGAACCTGTGCAGATCCACTCTAATTTCAGGTGGACCTTTTAGTTCCACTGGGGGAATACCCACAACGACCGAGCTTATCGCTCTAGAAGTGCACTTTGGATACAGAATCACAGTATACGTATTGCCAATAAATTAAAAATTACTACCATAAAACTAGCCACTACATGCCACGCTGCAGGTGCTTCATGAATAATAAAGCCACAAAACCACAAAACCACAAACCCACCATCTCCGACAACCGCTCCCCCGCCCTCCTCCATCTCCCACCAACAAACACCCAACCCCGGCCCTCCCCCCCCTCTACCCTACAAACTCACCATCCACATCCACCAGTTTTTACGGGGAAGAATCAGCAAAACTCTCTCTGAGAAACCGTGAACCCAGCCGGGCCCTAGCCAGATAATAGTCTCCGACAGCTAATGCTAATTCCATCCCGTAAATGGCATGATACGGATGATCGGTGAGGATAAGGGGGGGGGGGGGGGCTTTGGAGAGTGGGTATGCTAGCGGGAGAGGGGGGGGGGGGGAAAGGAGTGGAACGAAGTATGAATATGTAGAAGTGGTAGTGGGGGTATGTGTTATATGTCATGAAGCCAATTAACCCGTAAAAAAAAAGAAAGAAAAAAGAAAAAACTCCGCGCAAAGGCAACAAAAGAATCAGAGGAAGAAGGAGAAAAACGAAACTGGTTTGCGCCGCCTAGACCTTTCCCTCAACCTCCTCGCCGCTCAATCCTGTTCATACTCCAGTTCCGGACGGAACAGCTCAATAAACTATATCCGCCCCACCACATATTAGCATCCGCATCATCACTAATCATCACTCATAGAAAATCACTCACCACTTGATACTCCGTTTGCATCGTTACAAACTCCAGTACAATAGAGACCTTTAACATACAATCCACAAAGCCTCAACCCACTCACAACCCCCCGCCCTTCTCCCCTCTCACCAACAAACATCCAACCCCGGCCCGCTCACTCCTCCCACAGACTCACCATCCACATCCGCCATATTATAAGAGTGGGATAGCAACGATTTCTCTCCGCCTTGGAGAGACCGTGAACCCAGCCGGGCCCTTACCGGATAATAGTCTCCCTCTTTCTCCTTTATTGCTACGTCACTCTTATAATGGCATGATACGGATGATCGGTAGGAAAGGTGAGCTGGCTTTGGGGAGTGGGTGTGCTAGTGGGAGAGGGGGAGGACGGGAACGGAGCAGAGCGGAGGTTTATATGGATAGGTAGGTGTATGTGATATGCCGCGAAGCAGACCCGTAGAGAAAGCTCCCATCAAGAAAGAATAGAGAGATAAGTAAAAGAAAAAAACAGAATCAATTGTCAGCTAGATGATCAATTTATAGCACCTGTAGCCTTCTTAGGTCCTTCCCTTAACCACCTCGGCGCCCACTCCTCTTCGTAAGTCAGCTCCGGATTAAATAGCTCAATGAACTGCCATCCCCCACCACACATTAGCATCCACCCGCATCACCACCAATCACTCCCTCACAGGAAATCACTCACCTCTAAATCCGCCTCTCCTTTCTCACCCGCATATCTGCCATACTCCGCATGCGTTGCTGCAAGACTCCATCCCTGCAGCACCCGCCTCATGCACCCGACTAGCACCCCAGCCCGATGCTTCCCTTTATTCGAGTGAACAAGCACCGGATGGTTCCTGCGGTCGAGCAGGATGGTGAGTGCCTCGCTGATGTAGGTTGGGTCGTTGGAGACAAAGGGTTCACGAACGGCAGGCTGGCGGTAGTGGTACAGCTTGATGTTGTGAGACGAGCACCAGGCAAGGTTCTCAGGGAGGTAGTCCTGATCGCCGAGGTAGCTGCTGGGTTGTTAGTGGATGCGGGGAAGAGAAGATTGGAGGAAAGGGAGGTTGGTACATGATGGTCTTGAGGCAGAGGCGCTCGAGCATGGGAAAGTTGATCTCGAGAGGGTAGCCGCTGCGGTAGACGCCGGTTGCGACAAGCTGGAACGAGAGCGGGGGAACTATGAATTGTTTCTGGGGTGAACGACGTGGTGGCGCATCTTGGGTGTTATTGTGGTGGTGGTGGTGAGTGTGATTGCAGGTGCAGGGTTGTCTTGGGGCTATCACAGTGGTGGCCATCTTTGTTTGTGGTTGGTTTCGGTGTCGTCGATTCGATGAACTATGGTGGGAGACGTGGGTTGTGGTGTTGCGGATACCCTAGGTACTAAGTATACTCACTCATGTGTAATCGGTGCACGCTTGTATGGTATGACGTGGGTGCCAAGGGTGGCATGTAAGACAACAACATCGCGTGAAGACTCAAGAGTGTCTGTGATATATATACCTGACGATAAAATGCTGTAGCAGAGAAGAATAGACACTCGTTAGAAGAGAAGAAAGGAGCCAAAGAACTAGGAAACTCTCGCTAAAGTGTCACCCTAGTTAGCAGCTACATGCCTCTCCTTCCCTGCTCTCTTATATAACTTGGTCCCAAAACCCAGGGTACTATATCAATGATCATGATACCAGTTCCACCCTTCAAAACCTACCAATTGACAATTAAATAGCGTGTATGCACATAACCGCCCACTCTTCATGCTCCTCTTATCGCCAACTCTGTGATCCTACCCCGCCCGTGAAAAAAAACGATCTTCAAACTAGTTACGGCTATTCACTCCCCACGCGGTCCATGCGCGGCCAGTATCGTGGTGTTGCTACTGGATCGTCGGTTGTCCCGTGCATGGCCTTGTGCGTGGGACAAGGAAGGAGGGACAACAACGCCCCCAGCGCATACAGTAACCACGTATGAGGAACCGCCCACCGCACGACTCTACATACATAAGACTTCATTGACCACCACCACAACCACTACCACACTTTTTGACAATTCTGAGAGTCTCTGCGGTTACCCATCATTTTGTTTTTTTCGAATGAAAAGGCTGCAGCAATTGATTGATTGATTATTATCTCGAGATATCGTCTTATCAGCATATACGACCTGCACGCATATATATATCTGCACGAAGCTTCGAAGCTGCCTTCTTGATTTGATTATTTTCCTGCAATCATATCTATCAATTCGGGGGGTCTCTTAATTGACCACTACTATCCGGTACAGTTATCAATAACGTCCAGGTGTCCACCACTCAGGAATACTCATAATTCATCAATTACCCAACAGGTATCAAATTGATAATTATCGAGCTACCTGATTGCCTACACTTCCATACCTATCCATCAACCTGAACAAATAGTTTGCTCGAGCACACCTACACTCCGGGCCAATACCACCATCCCAATGTCCGAAATCTACAACCCCCACACCCGCACCTGGGAATATATCCCCTCCGAGCCTACCCACGGCCTCTATAGCGGCTCCCGAGGCCTTCAAACCTACTCGCCCCCGAGCCCCGCCGAGAGTGAGAGCGACCCCTACGCCGATGGCCTCGAGATGCGGTCAACCCGGCCAACCACCACCTCCTCAACCTTCGGCCTCAGCACACGGAAACCACGGCGCTCCCCTCCGCGAGCCCCCTTTGGAGGTTCCGAGACTGCTACCCACAATTCACACTCATCAGAGCAGAGCTGCTGTGGGTCTAGACACACCGAGGAGCACCTCCGGACACCACCCAAACCGGCGCCGCGGTATGATGAGGAGGGCCCGGAGATGCAGCACTCATTGTCCCCGCGGCCGAACGCCGCAAAGAGGAATAGTAGTGGGAGCTCGGCGGGACGGCCGGTCATGAAGAATACGAGGACTTCGTTTACAGCCAATGGGGACCGGGTCGAGGAGTATTCGGGGGAAGGAAGCTTGAGGATCGGGACACATTGGGTTGATGATCAGGATGAGGTTGCGGTGGAAGGGTTGGGGACAAGGCCGGGTGGTAGGAGAGGGAGTGGGTATGGGAGGAGTTTGTGGTAGGAAGGCACAAAACAAAAATTATGGGGGGTAATACTTATGCAGTAATCAAGGGACTTTGGGTATTTCCTTTGGGAGGAGTTTTTTATTTTTATTTTTTATTGGGTGGACGAGTAACGAAAAACGCAAAAACGAGTATACGAATTTACTTTTATTTATCAAAACACTAATTAATGGTTGCGATTGCGGTACGAGTGATACAAACCATACTCACGGTTACCTACTGCTTCTTGTGTATTGTACTACTGTCATGCAACTCCCTGATACGGCCCGTACTAACCAACAATCATTGACTGCCAGGGTCAATGATCGACCACAATATTCCAATGACAAACTCTCGCCAAGCTACTTTTAGCCAATCATTAATTTGACTAGCTTACTATTCAAGTACAAACCCGGACTATCTCGCCACTCTAGCCAAGTTTTTCAATAGTAGGTTATAATTATATTATTTGATACTTACATGTATCTACCAATGAAGTGTTGTAATTAGTAGGACAGCCAGGATCAGCGACATTGTCGATTGCAAGGATGATAGAATGAGAGAGTGGTACTAGGTATGTACTTAAGAAAAGCGTTGGTTTTGGCCTTAATTTTGGTTTCAGTCTTCGGTGTTATGTGTGTATTATGATGTTAATGTTTGTGTCAATTTTAGTACAGTTTTTAAACGTGAACTAGCACAATAATACATGTATTTATATACCTAGATGGTTGTTGGTATAAATGATATATAGAAAGAAAGAAAAAAAATTCAACCATAATAAGTAACTTTTCAAATAAACAAAGAAAACCCTTCAATGAGAAGAAATGTCCTTAAGTACATCCAGTCATATCAGATGTACCACCACACCGACATGACTTTGTTCTATCAACCCTGACAAGTATTTGATTTTACTCGCGAATTCATTCAGCCCATCCTGGTAAAGGGTTTTAAGTTAGTTCATTAAAGAAATAAAAAGGTTTTCAACATACCAATTTGGTTTAGGCCAGGGAAGTTGCGCGCCCGCTGATCCCAAATCCCAAGATTCTCCGTTATATTGATAGGATTCGCTCCCACTTTGAGTAGTGTCTGCTGTAGTCTCTTCCTGGTTGTCGGGAGTGTCAATGCTAAAGGTTTCTGTAGTTCTATATCCATTATACCGAGGTACGTTGACTTCTCTCCCGCCCCGGCCAGTGTTTGTTGTGGCTTCCTCTTGACTATTGCCTGCCTCAACAGTATAGGTTTGAATGACGTTATGGCTTGAGAAAGGATTTTCTTCCTGCATCTGTGAAGATGCATTCCTGGAACTTGTTTCTGTAAATGATTCAAAACCAAACAGCTCATTGTCGTCGCTCACTCCAATCCCCTGGTTTGCTTGTGGCTGAGACTGGCGGGCTTCTTCGAGAAACCTGTCATAATAGCTCTGGATATCAGTATTCCTTCCGAGCCATAGTATAAATTCGAAGATTTGAATCGGTTGGCTGGTGGCGATCCCGGATGTTCCAGATGTAGCGGGTGTCACGGCGGTAATGGGATCATCCCAGTCTGTTTCTTTCAGAGGATATTTCGAAGACATATGGGGATAAACTTACAAGGGCTTGGTACGTTGTTCTCACAATCAGGAAATAAGATCACATATATTCGTCTCCAAACCAAATTTCTTGTCTCGAGAGCTTTTGCTTTGGCAATATCCTCGCTTCCAACGGGGATGACTTCCCAGTTCTTTACGCAATCTGAAAATCTTGAATGTGCGTTTATCTGACCTTGGTCGCCAGCCCGAAAATTTCCGCATCGCTGACACTGGAGGGGTTTGATATGAACTCTCCTGCAATGCTCTCTTCAATAGAATACCAAGAAATCAAATTAGTTATATGTATATGTGAAGTCTAGGTTTATTGAATTGTATACGTACTTTACTCTGTGCACCTCCGGGGCGCTCCACCCCGCACAGCGCGGATGCGCCTGTGCGTTATTCTTATAGTAAGGACACGCATATAATCGAGGCGAATCATTGATGCCGTTTAAATTGGTTGTGACCGTGGGTGCTGAACCTCCATCCTTCCTTCTTCGTTTTCGGCCCAGTGCATCATCCAGACCCGTGCTCGAAATACCTAAAGGTGTACTCTCCTGTTTAGGGGCGTTTGCTTGTGAGTCGACAGCTTTTCGCTTCCCCTTATCATTATTGCCATTTGTGTAATGTACGATGTCCCAGCCTGAGCTGCGATCGGATGAGTTAGAGCACGAGTCCTCTTCCTCCTCTGTTATAAAAAACTCTTCCCCATCATTTGTATAGTATAGATTAACATTGTTACTAGTCTGGGTCGGAGCACGAGGTGTCGAACATGATTGAGTCGAGCAACTGGAAACAAAACTAGGCGACAGGCTGCATTCCGGATCGTCCCAACGTCGTGGGGGCCAATGATTGGGTTCGAGGTTTGTAGGCATAACATTTCCAACGTAGGGTATCAATGCAAGTGTCCTACACCGCTCAATTATTGGCTCATGATGTATATTTATCTGGGCATCGGTATGGTTCCATGGTAGTTCCCCAACGCTTGCCTCATTACCCTCCGCGAATGATGGGACTAATATCCATTCTTCATCGCCAACAGTAGCAGAAGTATTCTCGATGATATCCTTTGCAATATCGTGGTATCCCCTCGATACTGCCCAGCAAAGAGCTGCATTCCTGTTTATATCCAAAGCCAAGAGATTTCCTTTGTATTCGAGAAGGGTTCTGATCACTGATTCATGACCTGCAAATGCAGCCCCGTGAAGAGCTGTTTTCCCCTCTTTGTCGGGGGCCAAAGGATCTAGCCCCTTATCAAGTAGTAGCTGAACTATATCGGTATGACCTTCTGACGCTGCGATATGTAGTGCTGTTTGTCCTAGATCATCTTTTTCGAAAATGTCTTTATCGTCCTCCTTGATTAATAATCTTGCCACTGACTCGTTTTCTAGGTTTTTTTTAGCCAAACAAAGTACCTTCCACCCATTATTCTTGATTGTAAGGTTAGCACCCTCTAATAGTAACTGGACAACGGAAAGATTTCCTATGGAAGATGCCACATGTAAACGTAAATACTCTCCACGCTTACTGTTCCAGAATGTCCTTTTGCTACCCCGACTATCATATAGTCCTTTTTGAGTATATAAAAGCTTTAAATAGGCGGTTACATTTCTGGAATTCATAAGGAACTTTAGAATTGCCAAGGATAATATTGCAGAAGCGTCTGTCGAAGCAATATCATCGTAAGATTTGAGATGAGATGATAGATAACAGGCTGAATATTTAAAGAAAGGGCACAATTCTTGACCTTCTTTGAATGAAACTCTTGGATGAAAAGTGTCGAATGAGAGATATGTGGCGCACGTCAAAGCCAACTCGTATGCAGGATCCCCTGAGCTTGTAAGAATAGGATTTCTTAAGAGATACTCCAGTACAGTGTAATGGGTAAGCCGAACGGTGTTGCTGTATTCGCCTATGGTCACCAAGCTATCGCAAACTTCGAGTAGTTTGGCTCGGTCTGGTAAATCAGACTCGTTGAGTCGATATGTGTTCGGTTTTACTGATACTGCTATTCGAAGCTCATCCAAGGTGAGTGTCCGTCGTGTCCTAGCGAGCCATGAGAAGATCTTTGCTGCTAGATTCACGGAGCTTTTTCTTTGGTTATAGATATTCATCATGGCTCTATCATAGCTTTGATCCAAAAATCTCTCCGGAGTAGAAGATTTCTCGTCCCGAATTTTCTCAAGTGTAAATAGTATCTTTTCGGTGGATGTTTGTTTACAGATATGCATCAATTGGAGCCTGGCCCATAGGAACCTGGTTCTGGTTAGTTAATGAGTACACTAAAATAAAGGCTCTAAATACCACTTACACTCCCTTGGAACCATTGACAAGATGGGTGATAATTTCATCTCGGAAATTGCCTTGCCTTAAAAGAAGTTTTGCTCTCGGGTCCTCCTCAATCCTTTGTTGGATATACATGCCAATATCCTCCCTATTAGCCGATATCTCAATTTTCATGGTTAGATGGAGAGAGTCCCTGATATCTTCGTAAGGGCGGCTGGTCAGGAAAACGCCGAAGCAGTCTTCGCCCATGCGTTTGAATAAGGGAAGAAGAAACCTCCGCTGGCTTGGGTAGCACTCATCTAACGCGTCGAAAACGAGGAACGTTCGGTCGAAGTCCCTGGAAGCTTCAAGAAGGATATTATATAGCTCATTGATTGAGGGTTTTCGTCCCTTTATGTTTAGCTTATTCAAGTTGTTGGTAATTTCGATTTTTCTAGATAGGCTTGGGTGTTGGCGAAATAGTTGTTCAATCAAGCTAGCTAGAACGTATATAGGATCTTGCTGCTCCTGATCCTGATAGCTGAAATAAATGTAGGCTATGCCAAAGTTTTTCGCATAGGCTTGAGATTGTAGATGATCAATGACGATAGAGCTAGATTCGATATTGGTGTAAGTAAATAAGAATACATGAGTGCACCTCGCAAAGTAAGAGATAAGATATATACCTCAGAAACGTTTTGCCAGCTCCAGCTATGCACCCAGAGAACACCATCATTATTAACTGTATATAAAATCAACTGGTGGTGAAGCTTAAAATGCGTACCTAGCCCATGGCCCCAAACCAACCGAAAGTCCCTCTGTTCTCTCCATTTCTGGAACCTGATGTCCCTTAAAATCCAGATGCCAGTCTTCGCAATTCGTTGTTGACGTATATCAAGGTGCCTTTGGTAATCACCATGGCGTAGCCAACTGAAGACTTGCTTAAGGTTCTCATCTGATGGTTTTATATTAGTAATGTTTGGGTTGAATATGTGTGATTGTTCAATACCCTCACCCGTATCCGGGGTGATCTCCTTGTTTGAAGGTTCTAATATAGGAGACTCGGCTTGTAGAAGGCCCAGTGTATTCCCGAAGGCGTCCTTGGTAAGATGTCCTCTGTGGAATCGGAGTTGGATCTAGATCTAGCCATAAAAAAGTCAGTGTATTCAAATCGTATGTTGTTGGTTGGATCGATCTTACTCTTTATCGAAAATGATGATAGGAAGGTAAAACTTTCTTTGTTTTTGTATGTTAGACGTATGGTAGGGGGCCTCCTTCATGTTCGGCAGCCACTTCGTGCCTCCAAGCACGCTAGCAAACCTCGCACTTTTTGTCGGCTTTAGCCTTGAAGCAAGGCCCTGGAGGCATTCATTGGTTTTCCGGTTGAGGTCATTCAATTGCTGCAACCTTGATTGGATAGTACTAGTAACCGATGGCGACGATAACAGATTGCGTAGTTGCAATATCATAGTAAGTGTCTTTTCGAGTGCGCGAAGTTCGTCGAGGAGCGTCAATATATCAGGGGGCACACGTCTTAAATGGGCAGCATATGTATAAATAGATGACGCAATCTGTGCATTAAGTTGTATAAGGTATGTAATGCTTTTATATAAACTGGACAATCCAATATCTTCCGGCATGTAGATAGCTGGGGATGGTATATATATCTTTGTTTGACCAGAAAGTCAAGGTTCCTAGAAGGCTGCGTAGAATCAATATGTTTGGAGAACGAAGGCCCTAAACTAACACGCAAGATGAACGTTAAGAACCCGCAGTTTTAGAGCTATTTGCTAAAACCAAGAACTAGTATTCATGGATGTCACTTGACACATATATTTCTTATGTTACGTCTACGTATGGGTATCTAGTGCGGATTCAATAGTCGATCTAGCCCCGTCGTATGCATGTCAAAGCAACAATTGTCCGTCCTCTATTTTGTGCGCAAAATTGCGTGCAGTATTTTATAGATGATAAATGTACATGAAAGTTTATAAACAATTACGTGTTGCTATCTGTGGTAAAATACAATTTATGTGTGCTTCAATTAACGACGTCGGCAAGAATCGTGTGGACTGCATTCACATACAAGACGTATACAGCTGCGTGCGTATATTCATGAATTCATTTAAGTGGCCACATACATGCAATCATAACAGAAATAACTACGTATATCCTATCTATTGGTTCGGATATAAGCCGTGTAAACCAAGTAGAAAGGGAGGTTGTGATAAAAGAAACGCTCACGGGGAGGTGATGTAATACGGTAGCTCCCAAACAGATCTTGTGGATAGCTAATTAGATGACAGCAGTCTGTGAGAAGTTGTTGGTTTTGGTATTATAGATCCCTTAATGATCATGAGCTAATTGCAAGCTAATCATTCGCATCCGGCCTAAAGGATCGGTATCCTGAGAAAAACACTGTTCCAGCCTTTGCTGAGCGATAAATACGACTCCCGCAACTTTGCCTTGAAGCTGCGTAGATTCATGTTTCATAAACCCCGCACCTGCGCACAATCTTGCGAGTCATGAAAGTTCCGTGCGGGGTAGCCCTTATTTTTTTTTAATCCAGGGAACCGAAATGCTTTATACCGTGCCTGACATCCAGGGACACAAAATATCACTCGCATACAAGAGGCGTGGTTACTACCAAGCCAAATAATCTGGACTATCCTAAAGGCACAAATACCAAACCTGGGCATGTGAGATGTACGTATGTAGTACTGACCTCTCCTGATAGATGATCGCTCGCAATAGATGATCGCTCGCTGTTACACCACCACATGAGTGTCTCAAAACCTCCACATGTAGTAACTAGTATGAAGTTGGTGCCAAAGATGTGGTTCATGCTTATAATTCAATCTAATTCATAGACCTCTATTATTATAACCCGTCGGTTCTAGCCCCTTCCAGCAGAAATAATATAGGGACTTCTAGGACGGTTTCGTAGTCGATGGAGAACAGTGGAGTTCTCAATCATGTGGGACATGTTTTAAAATAGAGGCGTTCAAATGGACTTGCTCCCAGCCTTCGCTGAGATACATACAAGCCCTTTACCAACATGTACAACCATGGGCCAGTTTGATATATGTCTAAGACAGTAGTTACCTGGATGAATATGAAGAATTCAACTTTTGATCCGAGGCGACTACCAACCTGAAAGTCGCAATATATAACAGAAACATCGATTGACCACATGAATGTACTTTATGACCGCCTCTCCGAAAGTTAAACGGGTATTATCACAACGACTTCGAGGGCAGGCGGGTAGGAACTATAGTATAGGATAACAAAATCGAGCCGTACGAACATAATCGGATCACCGGTAGGCATTCTAGTTAATCAACGTGTACGTGTACGTGTACGACTCGAGAATTATGCGCACAAGGGGTGGAGCCGGCTAGTTGGAGATATCTTGCGTGAGTATTTGCGCACAGTACACTCTAAAGCCTCACCTAGCTATAGATAATTGTGTCACAAGAGACAGCGGGCTCATATTTTAGTAGAGTAGTAGTACTAGTGTGTCGCGTGGCATTCTGTTTTTGTATTTGTAAAAAGTACCCCTCAAAATCCCAATTTGTCCAGCCCTTTGAGAATATCATATATCGTCGGGGTTTAGAAGGCAGAGGCGAAAATTAAGTACACACCCAAGCTCCTCAAGCTGGTCTGCACGAGCCGAAACATCATAATGAGAACTGGTGGGAGGCAGGTGTGTAAACCGGAAAAACAAATTAAAAAGTGGAAGAATCTGTCCGACGTAAAACTACGCTGTGGTCTTAACATTGATATTCTGTGTGGCGTATGAGTGTTACTTGCGTGCGAATCGTATTGAAGGACGTTAATTACACACCTGCTCGGCCATCCTTTTTTTTTTTTTGTTTAATTCATTAATTGCATTACTCGGCCATCCTAGTCTACGTACAGCTGCAACTCGCTATGCTGATAGTAGGATCTTTTTCTCTTACAGTAAAATGAACTTGCAATGCTACTTTTCCGCATGATATTGAGTTGGTCTTGAAATTTTCAACCGGTGGATCAGACACCGATCTGGGAGCAAAACGAGTGCTATTTGGTGATTGACAGGGTTCTTTTGTTGGATTTCAACAAATCTACTCAAGCGCTTCCAAGTTAATTTTGCAGTAGACCTACTCTCCGTTGATTCTCTACGAATCTATGGGCTCTACTGGTAATATCTGTGTTGTTGAGAAATAGATTCGGCGTTCATGTCTGCTTTTACCGACCCCGCCCACGTGCACAAGTCGAGGACAGGACTGTGCTTTACGTGTGCTTTATATTGTATTGGTGGGCGGGGTTCTGTTTCTTTTTCTTTTTTCTTTTCTTTTTTATTTTTTTCCTTTCTTTGACGGACCGAAGGCCCATCCAAAATCTATCTCGAAATCTCTAACTAGTTATACTTAGGATACACTCTAGACTTTTGTTTCCTGTTGACTTTGAGTGACCCCAAACTGATGTTCTTTCTCATGCAGGGCCTGGGGGCAGTATGCATCAATATTATTGCACTTTGAAGCCTGGCTAAGAAAAAACCACAAACTTTTCAGTCCAAGAAATTATTATTTAACTTGAAATGAAAAGAAAAAAGTGAACAGTTGCCTGTTCTGCCCTTTCCTCGCAATCACCATAACATAACCGCCGCCGGAATACACCAAAACCATATCACGCCTTAAAAATATCAAAATAACAAATAAGAATCCCTTGGACAGTCAAATGGAAAACAAAAGAGAAAAAGACACCCAATAAACAGACGAAGAGAAAACCACGAAATAAACAAACCGACTAAACCCCAATACTCAAATGAAAATGACGGCACCATTCATTGTCCCCCTTAGACGAAAACATTACTCATATCATGCCCTAGTCGCTTATACCGTCTTTTATCGTAATATCTGCCCCTTTTCCTCAAATCCAGCTCCTCCCTGGCGTCTTCATCCTCTTCTTCTTCCATTGGCTCCTCGTCCGAGGATGTCGTTGATTCCGAATCATCATCTGAAGAGGCGATGAAAGCGCTTCTTTTGCGCCGCCTCTGCCTTACACGCTTCTCCGTGCGGTAACGCTGCTGTACCTTCTGGCAATGATAGTCTTCGTAATATACTGAACCTTTCGTCCTTGAAAATTCCATGATCCCACCAACAGACCGATCCGCGTTCGCGATGTAAAATTCTTCACCAGACGGGTCAAAGTCCATTCCTCCTACCTCACCCCAGAAATCAATCTGTTGTAATGAGTCCCACGAAACGGCATCCACTATCTGCACGACATCTGCGGGTTCCGCCATTGCCAACACCCGTTTACCTCCAGAACCAATAGGTGAAAATCGCAACGTCCTCACACCCGCCATTACGGCAGGTAAAACCTTTACAGTCTTGCTTAAGTTTCTTGCGTCCCAGATGCGTACAGTCTTATCCTGGTTTCCGGTAGCAACAGTGTACCCATCGTCGCTCCAAGCAGCCGCAAACCCGAAATCCCGGTGGCCTTTCAAAACAAATTCGGTTGTCCCTCGTTCTGCATCGCAAACCAAGACTTCGGTATCATCACCAACCACAATTCTAAGCCGCGAATCGGGACTAGTGACAGAGCAATTTACCGGCCACAAGTATTCGTGCTCGATGATAAATCTCATACCCTCTCCGCAGTTCAAAACCCGAATGTAGTGATCATTAGATGAGAACACTGCATTGGGTGTACCTGTAGTCCGGTTTCTAATCATCTGCACATGGTTCGTGATACCGCTTTCATTCTGCGTTACAATTCCCGTGATTGGTTTAGCATCGGCAGGTGCATGGAGTGGTTTCATCGCGTATTCCCCATAGAAGCACCCCGCAATCACAACACCATTAGACCCCCCGCAGGTACCAAGTGTCGAGATCCTTATCGGATTCCCAGTCCAACTGTCCGGTGTCCGTAGATCCATCATCGTTCTTGACTTACCCGTCAGCGGGTTGGTACGCACAACTATCCCATCGCCGGCGTAGAAGACATCATTTCTCGAGATGACACCAATAAGGTTTCTCAATTGGAAATGTATTAAACGACAACGTTGCTCGTTGTCCATTCGTCTGAAGTTGAAAAAATTACGGTTTTCCGGAATCCTTATCTACTCTATGAGTCAGTCACCAGCAACCTTCAAGCTAAAAAAAAAAGGAACGTTTGCGAGACAATGCAGTAGGGGAGATGTAAGGAAATGGGTGCAGAAAAAACGATTCTAAATCGGAAGGGGAAGGAAACATTTCCAACATACAGGGTTTTCCTCATACTCAAGACCTTTGATGTTTTCATAATTGTTGTACTCCTTCCTTCTAATTCCTCTCGCTACCTCACGACTGATCCCAAGACGGTCCCATGGGATCGCCTGATAATCCCACCCATTCTCTTCCATTTCGGTTCTCATCACTTGCTCGGGTCGCCGCAGGTTCTTGACGTCGGCTGCAGCTACTGATAGCTTTGGATACTTCGTAGGATTCATTCGGTGTCGGTAGTAAGCATGCAGACAGAATTTCGCAAAATCCTTGTTGTAGTTTTCAATGTCTTCGAGGAGCAGATTACGATCAAACGGATGATTAGTTATGTCATCAAAGTCACTTTCATCACTGGAGTCACCTTCACTGAGGTCCCCCGCCTCGTATTCATATACAGGAATTAAAGCGCCTGTTGAAACATGAAAAGGAAGGGACGGATCAAAAGGCAGTGGGGGGGGCAGTGTGGGTGAATGAAGTGAATCACGGACAGGAGGGGGAACAAATCCTCCAACACCAGCTGCTGCCGCCATGATCTCCGCCGCGGCGACTGCAAAAGTAGCCTGGGGTATGGGAACTGCGGCTGCTGTTGGAGGAGATTGAGAAGATGATTGAGAATGCATACTCTCTTGTAGGTTTGCCGAATGGTTCAACTCTGACTCGGCCTCCCCTGCAGCGATTTCAAGACCATCCGTGCCCCGGGAGACAGAAAGCTGGGCGTCAGGTGACGACGAATCGATGAGGATATCAGCGGGTGTGCTTGGAGTAGTGGGCGTCTGTAGATTGCTTTCTAGGAAAATCGATTGGACCGATGTTTCCTCGACGTTTGGTTGCGAATCAAAGTCATCATCTAGTGGGGGGTTCAGTTGCATGTGAAAGCTTGGGTCCCCCTCCAGTGGATTTTGATTTTCAAGAGAAGGGGAAGAAAATATATCCATGAAGAAAGAAGAGCCGGCACCCATCGGAGACGGTGGGCGGGTGACCAAGTTGTTCGGAGAAAAGTCGTCCTCGTCTTCATCCATGACTGTGGCGTGAAGAGCGGAGGATGAATAAATCACCTCAACAGGACCTGAAGAAGCCATGTCACAACCAAAAAGGTCTATGCCTCCGTCTGAATCTTCCTCGTTCTCGTCACACTCGTTGATAGCTAGAGTGTAGGGGACCCTATTCCTAGTGAAGCTGTTATCAGGTGGTGAGTGGTGTTTGTTTCGTAGTGTATCATCAACGCCTTCGGGAGTTATTAGGGCACCGCCGAACTCAGTGTCAGAGGATAGATTAGAGCTATGAGTGCTTGACAGAGAGCCGAATGAGGTAGCGGGAGAAGGACGATTGTTCCAGGTATCCGGTAGGGTCGATGCAAAAGAGAGGGAATCTTGGTCAGCAATAGCGGCGGCGGCGGGAGAAGACGCAATGGCTTGCTGTTGCGCGGAGGGACTACAATGGGGGTGATCTTCATAGTTTTGGGTGGGGTCCCAAGGATCCCACGGTGCGTAGAAGGGGAGTCCCGGGAGAGGGGTGGCCGCTCGAGGGGGAGCCAGACCGGTTGACAGGTCAAATTGGTGGAGGGGGTAGTGCTGCTGGTGCCGCTGGGGAGGGTGGTTGAGGAAGTGGAGGCGGCAGTCAAGATGATAATTTGGATCGCAGCTGTGGCTTGGTTCTGCAGCAGATTCGGTGTTGCAGGCATATCCCGTCAACCCAGGCAAATGATTATCATTTGATGGGGGGTGAGGTGTCAGGGAAGTAGAGGAAGTTGATGTTGACGAATTCGAAAAAGGGTATGGTGATCTCCGACTGGCGAAGGGCAGTTGCGGTGCTACATTCCTACTTCCATGACCGCCGCCACGGCCAGCAACCCCACCAAAGACGTCTGAATTATGCGAATCGGACATAATTATCGCATGCGTGTATCTGCACGAGTCCTTTCCTTTTTTTCTTTTTTCTCTTTCTAGGGAACCTGAATGTATGATGGGAGTTGATGGGTTGGAGAAAGACAGATGACAGCCGGTGCCAGTGTTTCTAACAACTGTTTTTGGCTGTTGTTGGCTTGGTGGAGGGTGGGGAACTGAGCAATAGCCGCCACCTCTTGAACTGCTGTTTGCAGCAGCTGCCTTTGCCTGCTCTTCCTACTATTACTGACTGCCGTCCTTTATCTTCTCTCAGCCAATCACTGCGGTCTCGAATCGACTTTCCTGAATCCGATATTGCTGTTCTTCTAGCCTTTCAGCTTTCTCTCTGATGCGGTTACGATCTACAACAGACCCTTGGTTAGTGGCACTACTATTTTCGTATTTATCAAAATTCCACGGGCTGCCGAGCGTGAGAAACATGCATACTCTTTACCGTTGGTAGGACGAAAGGGCGCAATACTGTATGTACTCACTTTAAGTATGCGCGTACTTATGTGTCTGTATGTAAATATTTACATACTCTAGCCTTATGTGTTAGGTATCGGTGGGTGGTGGGTGAAATGTGGTGGTGGGGTACATACCTCACTGTCTTTTGTCCTCTCTTCAAATCAGATAGGGCGATATATAACCTATTAAATGGGTGGTTAGCCTGCTCTGCGTGAAATGGCAAGTTAATATCAAAGCAGTCGATATGTTATTGTGTAGAATATTGTGGGATAACTACATATTATATAGGCTATGTAATCTTGATGAGGTGGCGATGTGCGAATATTGAAATCATAAACATCTGAAGAAGGAAAATCGTTAAGGCAACTTACAGGTATGGGCTGGAGTCTGTAACTGTAAAGTTTTGAGGATAAAGCACAGTAAAGTGCGGGGAGGAAGGAAAAGACGTCAAGTGAGGCTGGACTGGGGTCTAGGGAGGCTTATTCCTTATCGATTGCAACGACTTGTTTCGCCCTCCAGTTATAAGTATTAAAGACAGGCATTTTTTCTGGCCTTAATTCGAGGGTTAAGGTTGAGAGTCACGGGACCCGGAGACTTTGCGTCTTCACTAGTATTTACGATGTACCCGGGGGTACCGGAAAGTGATGCAGCGGTCAAATAGTCCACACTTCTCAACAACCAAACTAGCTAACAGAATGTGGAGCAAATCTATGGTAATTTAGAAGCTGGAGACCATAGTTATGGCGAGAGTTGATGTGGTTGACTGTTGCTTCTCCTTTTATTACTGTCTCTTGTCACAAGTTGTCCTTCCCCAGGCTAAAAACCCCAAACCAATGACCTGAAAAATTGCAGACTCTGTTCTAGGGACTCATTTATCATGGGTATGACTAAAATATCTATCCTGCCCAAGCATTGTGTTGTGTTAAAAGTTGAAGTTCTGAGTACATTTCGGCGTTGCTAGGTCAAGCGTTGCATCACTTTCCGGCACCCCCGGGTACACTGACGTCGCAAATGGTGGACCGCTACAACAATTATGAAAAGCTATACAGACGGCATCAAACCACGGGGCCAGAAGAAAAGAAGCTCTATGGCTAGCCTAGACTAAATTCCATGGACCCAACATCTTGAAAGAAGCAAAGATCAGTAAGTACGACGTGGCCAAGGGAGCTCAGACTTCAAACGCTACATGTACTTACATGTTATATAAACAAAAATAGGAGTAAAAGGTTTCCAATATTATTATCGGCAGGCAACAATTAAAATACATACATATATAATTCGCATTTACAATAGAGTACTCTCTCTACGTCCATACATACATACCTTGACGCCCAATTAAGTTCAAGTTTAGAATATCGGAATCTTTTCGCCTTCGCGGCTGGATAGCTGTGATGAGCTGAAAGTAGGAAGCAAAAGATTATTTCAGATATCCCTCGGGAATAATTTCTCTGTCTCACGGGAATTCAGTTAAGCAACAAAGTCCCCACGCTGCAGGCTCAAAGTCAAGCGCGTACTATTCCTGATATCAATCGAGCCGTAACTATAACCTTCCCCCCACACTGCACACTCCCGCAAGGAATATCCACCGCCTATTAAGGTTGAGTTTCTGATGAAACACAGCCGTTCTGGTGTGTATGTGGTTACGCTGATATTAGTAGAACCCGATCATCTCTCCCTCCTGCTCCCCGCGAGGGATCTAGAGCGCAAAAATTGAATCAGCGATAACGGTTACCCCTGTTTGTGTCCGATGAGATTCTTGGGAGTCTTTCTAGGCACGCGATGCCCTACTCCCCATGCTGCATAGGTACGTATACATGTATGTATGTAGTATCTACTGCGGTGGCTCTCGGACCAACAGCTGCTGTGAAAGAAAGCCTAGTGCCTCCAACAGTAACGCAGACTGCAACGCCATCTTTTTCTTTGTCTCGGTGGTAGTGCTAACTTGTGTGTAGTTAAATCCCAATGGGTTCTATACTCATCCCCTCCTCCATCTTTCCGAGGCCAATTGCATTGTTATTTCTTGCCCTTCGAAACCACCCATTGTATCTCCTTTCCTCCAGCCCTACAAGTAGAGATGCGCTGCTTCGCCAGAATGAATCACGGGGGGCGGCGTGTTGTCCTACGGGGAGCTTTAATTTAGTGCTTCTGATATATGTCCTTCCAGCTGGTTTCAAATCAAAGATTCAGCCCACCCAGTATGTAAACACTAGGGCCGATCTCCAATCTAATAAAAACAGGGTGAACATGGTAGGTATGCCATGTAGCTAGCCAGATATCAACGCGCTCAATCGCTCATCGTCCCTCCACCCCACTCGAGGATCTACCTTCGCCTAAGTTCAATCTAGGAAAAAAAATCCATAACTAGGCAGTATACAAATAATTTCCAGCATATCTAGGGTAATTGGGAAATAAGTTTCTCATGAAAGGAGAAAAAGATTTCCGTCGAATTAGTGTTTTCGACAAAGTTAATTCGATAAAATCGCAAACTAAGGATCGATAAACGAATTTTCGATAGGAATCACGATTCCTAATACGAATCCCAGAAAGGTTTGATAGGGCCGGGTCTATCCAGATGGAAGTGAACTCCATAATAAGCCTGCAGAAAACCCCCTCAACAGATACATGGTTACCAACATCACTACAAAACCTCGTTTTTAAATTACAACTCCTCCGCAGCATGTAGCGTTACAAAATGTTAACAGGTACACAGCGTGATACATATTTTGCCCCGTGTCTCCGGATCCCAGCACAACATCCTCTTTGCCGCCCTATCTCATCAAAAGAAGAAAATAAAACAAAACGAATACCACAAGAAAGATACAGAGAACAAAACAACCCGTTGCACAAAGCAAATAAGCAGCGATATAAAGACATAAGGAACAGACAAAAAGAACCCAGACAACTCGTGAATCTGACCACCGCCTGATTAACGGCAAAACATTTTGTTGCCGGCTAGATACCACCCATATCTACATCCTTTACAGAGTGGTTCCCTTCCTTCAAAAACCTGTCCCACTCCTCTTTCTTTCGATCCACCTCTTCCTTCTCTAGCCCTTTCATCCAAGCTGCATCTCCCAAAATTTTCTCCCTCCATCTCCTCTTCCTTTTCTCTTTTACCCTTTCCAACTGCTCTGACCCCATTGCCATCCGTTCCTTCCTTGTCCTTACTATGAAATCTTCGGTGTTCTGCATGAAGAAGAGACGATACGTGTTGACGCAAATCCGCACTTCCATATTCTCCTCATTGCATGCACCATCTGCAATGGCATTATTGGCGGCCTCACGAGGAGACCCAGTTGACTCTGGGAGATCTTCTTCTGAGGGGTGGTTGCGACGGAGGAACACCTTTTTACATTTCTCAAGCGGAATTCCCTCCGTGGGAGAAACCATCATATAGGTTTGGATGTAGTAGTTCCAGCGCTCATCTTTGTCAAGATCATTGTTGACCGTAACTTCGTTCCGGGGGACGAAGCGGATCGTTGCTTCTTTTGTATCCTCATGCTTTTTAGGTGTCAGTATTTATTCCAAACTCTATTATATAGGGAAGGAAAAACACATACCCAATCAATTCGGTAAACATTATCATCTGGGCCAAGCATCCCCTCAATATTACGTCTATAAGCAATCAACTCCTGGTATTCCCTTTCTCCTTGGTAAATTCCCTGCGCTCTCTATCCCGCTGAAATCTCAATATTATGTCCGCATTCTTTTCTTTTTCTGGGTTCTTCTCCTTCGTATCATTTGGCACAATAGTTTGAATAAACTTCAGTATAGCAAGAAGCAATTTGTCGATTGTGTAAAGCTGCCATCCTCTTTGGACATACACTGATCTGAGCCCTTCCTCGAAAGTATTGGAGTCGATGTCACCCTCAATGAATTTCTCACACATATCCAGAACCTGGGAGTAATAATTTGCGTTTGGACCAGTGTCTGCGAATAGATCCTCAATACGCTGGTTCGCAATATTGAGCTCATTTGCAACCTTATGATGCTTGCGAATTTCAATGTCTTTTCGGATGTCTGCCTCCGACGCTTTGATGTCGGCTAAACGGCTACAAAGGATCTGAAAGGTTCTAAAGAATCCATAAATGGTTGTGTTGCAGTAAAGTGAGTAGATGTTTCTTTTGATAGGCAACATCGGCTCATCAGCATGAGAGGTAGGGGTTCCGGGCTTCATATCGGGGAGATGCTTTAACGGCCTTGCAATCCAATTTCCTTCCTCCTTAATCGGGCGATCTGCGGGTCCGTCAATGCTCATCTCGATGTCCGCATCATGCTGTCCAATCTCCGGAGTAGATTCTTTACTTCCGCGCGAGGGCACACTCCCTTCTTTCTCTTTCCTGGAAGCTTTGCCATTCTTTCCCCGCTTAAGAACATCTCTAAGAAGGTCTTGATCTTGTCTTTGAGCACGTCGACCGCTGCGGGTTGAGGTACCTTCACCAGCTGCCGGAGAATGTGCATCGTCTTGGTCTTCATCCGGCGTTTTCCGGGCGATGCTATTGACGGTGTCTTCCACATCCCGCGAATTCATACCAAAGAAAAGGGGAATGAAGGATTTGATGAAGCCGTCGATTTTTTCGCGATCGTTTAGGCTGAAGATGTTATTGTGCTCCAATGAAACAGCCAGCAACCTGCTAGCGTCTAAGATGATGCCAAAGTCGGAAAAAGAATATTGGAACTGGTACTCGGGTATAGGTGTTGTGGCACTAACCCGCTTGTTCACCTGTTCTCTGTGCTTGGCCTGAATCTCGTTTACCAAGGACTTAATCGTGAACGCTTTCTTATCGTTACCCTTGATCGTAATTCCTTGGTGGTCTAAGCTCTTCCAGAATACCCTTGCAGTTTGGTCTCGCCAGACTTTCTGCCATTCGCGCTGAGCAGCCTTCCATTCTTCATCCTTCGATTTCAGGCGTTTCAACACAATTGGAACAGTGGCAACTGGGTTATTGTGTAACATTTCGATTACTTCGAGACCCTTCTCTTTATCGTAAACTTTCTTGATTATCCGTTGGTAAATCGTCTTGCTCTGACCGCCAAGGCCCGACTGCAGTTTATAAGTCGCCTTTTCCTCCGGCGTCATTCCCGCAATTCTCTGAGCAATCGGCTCAAGGAGTTGAATTGTTCGAAGGTTAGCCTCAATGTTGAAATCATAATCGTGGCGTTCTTCCTCAATACGATGGAGGATGTCTTCGTATTGATTTTTCTTGTGCGCAACGAATCCGGAATCCTCAGATGCCCAGGTGGGATGTGATGCCCATTGATCATTAAGGACTTCCCAACACATTTCATCTCGCCCACTGCAAGGTTTCTGAGCCTCCTAATTGCAAAGAAAAAGAAAAGAAACTCATTAATTCCTGATTATCAAATATAGGCAGCTGTACTTACTAGCTTAGGCAATAAACGATAACTTGGTCCCAGTCCACGACAAACGCTCAGTCTAACTTTACTGAGAGATCGTGGGATATTGTCTATCATTTCTTCTCTACTCTCCCATCCCACAAATCGCTTAAACCAGTCCATTAATTCCTTGTTGCCACCAATGAAGTTTGCTACTTTATCAACAAGCATATCTTTACCGATAAGGTCTTGCGAGAACAAATTGAGCAATTTCAGGAACTCGTTATAAGTTTGCTTATTACCAATAAACTTTTTTACGCGGTCAAAGAATGCCAACTCCTCGGTCGATGCCATAGGTTGTGGCGATGGCCCTAATGGTTCAGGTTGAAATGGAATTAGAGTTGGCGAAACGGCTGCCAATTGTTCTGTTACTGAAGGTTTATTTACGCCAGTTTTATGCCTCTAAATATGACGAGTTTGTTAGCAATGAGCTTTCTTCACGGGCTAGACCAAAACCCAGGGTTATCACACTCAGGATTCGCTCCATATGCATGTCTTCTCGAAAGGGATTTATGCGGGGCACGGGATTGGAATATTGAGAATGTGAAATATCTTAATCTACCTTGGCCGCGCCTCTACTTGTCAAAACACTACTGCCAGCTGCAGCTGCGTCAGTTTTCTGTTCCTGGATTGGGACCTGTGGGCCTCTTTTCTTCCCTTTGTTTTCTTTCCCAACGCTCGGTGGCGGTGCAAAATTTCCGACAGGTGGTAACCTAGTTTGTGCTGCCGCTGTAGGTCCCGTCGGCCCTAAACCTCCAGATGGATATACTGCGTCTTGCTCTGCAAGCGCTGCCTTCGCTGCGGCTGCTGCCCGAGCTTGAGCAGCAGATTCAGGAAGGAATTGCTTAAAATCCTCAAGAAGATCTTGAGCAGTCTTGAAAAGCTCTGTAACCTGCGAATAAACATCTTGGATTGGCTTTGACTCCCGTTGGTATGTCTGAAGAATTTCAAGAAATTGCTTATAGATTTCCGGTTGTTGTGCAAATCGATTCTAGGAAGCTGTGAGTGGATTTTTCACAAGAGGAGTGAATTTAACCAAATTTAACATGTGAAGCGAGAAAGGTTTACCTTGATCTTGTTCACGTAGCTAATGGCATGGTTGAACTCGACGGGACCTTTTCCTGCTTTGGCATCGCTAGCACCAGAAGGTGTTCCGGGACCTTGAGGGACAATTAATCCAGCCGGCACCTTTACAGTGGCCCCATTAGTATGAGCAGCTGCGGATTGTAGTTGATTTACACCTTGTTGCACACTAGCTTGGTGCTGCGCCTGTCGCTGTTGCGCTTGCTGCTGTGCCTGCGCATGTTGCGCCAACTGTTGTTGGTGCAGTTGATGTGCTGAAAGTGGCTCTGACTGCTGAGGCGGCTGTTGTTGCTGCTGTTGCTGCTGTTGTTGCTGTTGTTGCTGCTGCTGCCCAGGACCAGGAACCCCGGGACCGTAGGAACCGTACATGACATTATCCACACCACCACCGCCCCATCTACTGCCTTGCTGTTCGTAAAATCGTGAGTGAGCAGGTTGTCCGGGGCCATTCCCATTACCATTGAGGGAAGCGCTAGACAAGGGTATCCCATTTCCACCGCCAATTGAGACTTCACCCCCCGATGAGGCGTGATGAATTCCAGATGGGGTGGTAACAGTTATTTTAGTGTCCCTTGGGTCTTGGGAGCACTCGATACGGTACCCAGGAGGTAAAAAGGTATTAAAACCCTGTATCAGGCTCGGATGACCGCTAAATAGGGTAGAAACACGGTCAATAACCCCAGGGGTATCGATTCTAGAAGACCAACTTTGTCAACATCACCAACTTTTCAATTACCATTGTGTTCCTTTCTCCACAAGTAGAAAGGGAAGAAAATTAAGAGACGTTTGGGGTTACATACGCCTGACTCTTGAAATCTTTCATGATATCCAGAAAGTTGTTATACACATCCGGCTCTTCCTGGAATTGATATTTGACCTGATCGAGATATGACAAAGCATCCTTCACATTCAACTGACCATGAGTACCCTGCAAAGCTAAAGAAGACGAAGAGGAAGACATCCTGCGGCGGTCCACATCGTGCGCCGCAACGGTGCTATAGGGAAGGGGAGCGAAAGAACGGGGAGGAGTAAGGGCTGTTGGTAGGGGGCCTCCTACATTAAGAATAGGGCCCCCGGGCCCATTTCCGGGTCCGGTTGCGGATGGGGGCATTTGAGAGGCCGCCGCCTGGGCTTGACTCTGAGCCTGATTAACCGCCTGATTCATTCCTCCTTGGTGCTGTTGCTGTTGTTGTTGTTGCACGGAGATAGAATTCTGAATGCTTGATAATGCGTGAGTGGGAGGTCCCCCGGGGCCTTGTTGTTGCTGCTGCTGTTGACCTAGATGAGGTCCCTGGGACGAATTCAAAAGAGGCATTTGTGTAACTACCGGTGGAGATGTCTGCATGACGAGTGCAGTCTGTGCAGGGCTATTTGAAGGCAATCCAGAGCGTTGTAGTTGCTGTTGCTGTTGCTGTTGAGCTTGCTGCTGTTGTTGTTGCTGTTGCTGCGAATTTTGAGGCTGCTGTGGGGGCCCCTGGGAGGCTTGTTGGGACTCCCTTTGCTGTTGGGGGCCCATATTACCTCCGGAAGGCGGTGGTCCAGACATCGATTGCATAGATGGTAAAGAATAAGACGGGTGAGAACCTGTTGATAATGTAGGAAGTGACATAGGATGCGATGCTGCTTGATTAAAAAAAGTTGCTATCATCCCAACGCACATCAGAATTTAAGCCCTTCTAGTTCAATGGAAAGGGAAACTTACACCCGCCCGAGCTCATGGAAGGAGGAGGGGGTAAAACAGGAGGTTGTGTCTGTCCAGCTCCACTTCTAGAATCAAGCGCGTCAGTCTCCAGTATACACACGCACACCAACAGTTCATCTGGCGAAGTATCCCCGGAAGTGAAGAAGACGAGCAAAAACAATACTTACGTATATGGATGAGGTCTATGTTGCTGCTGTTGGGATGATGATGATGGAGGAAGAGGCCCGCCCGAGGGCTGCTGCTGAGGCTGCTGCTGTTGAGAGGACTGTTGCTGAGGCTGTTCTTGCGGTGGGGGAGGGGGCCAGCTATCTTTGCTAGACATGACGGCGAGTGCTGATTGTTCTCCTAATATGCTTGAGTAAAAGGCCAAATCAACACCACGCCGACCGCGACACCTTTTAAGATAAGATCTGAGGGATAATCAACCTATTCGACGGCACGCAATAATAGGTCGAAGTGCGCCGATGCGCACTCTGTCACGACGAAAATACGGCAAATACGGGATTCCCCTTTCGTGTTGACCTCGTGTACTATAGATATCGCAGGTAGCAGCAGCAATAAAGGTAAGGCTGATGGGCAGGACAGAAAACACACACAAAATAGCGCGACTGGTAGAGTAGTTGGCTGTGATAGATGACGTCTAGCGACTGGTGTGCTGCAGCTGGGGAGGATGTATCGAACGAGGCGGGAAGGAAGAAAAAGAGAGACTCTGTTGATGGGGCAGAGGGCAAGCCATAAGAACCACGCCGAGCAACTCTGTTTCGCGCTATGGATGCATGTGCCCAACATGGTAACTAAACCGACACATGATGATTTGCAGCCTCATCGCACATACAATCCTATTGTATAGTTCTGCTATTCTCAACCCACGCATATTACATGTATGTATAATATGCACCCGAATCATATATTAGTTAGACATATCAATCCACTTTATGTAATAATGAAAATTTATGAGATATCTACGGTACGCATGATGGGATGCAATAGAAAATGTACCTGCATCTACCTTATCAATCTAATATTGTACGTACATACACGTACAATAGAGTCAAGATGCAACAACAGCTGCATATATGTATTCCTCCAGATGTAGCCCTGGGGTCATTTTTATTGAATTTCTGGAGACTGGGAATATCCCGGGCTCAATGGTAAAGCTTTAATTATAGTTCCGGAAGCACCGGATGTCATTTGGGATGTGTTGTGCGCGAGTGTTGCATTAAGTTGGAATATTGCTCTTCGACGAGTGATCTTTTGTGATCTCTGCCATTGATCTAAAGCTTGGCTGTGTTGGAATACAATGTATATATATACCGCTACTAATGCCATCAGGCACATACCGCAAGGAGCACTACCTGTGGTAACAACCGTACCCTAGATCAAATATTTGATAACACAGTTCACAATCACAGTTCCGGGTGCATGTAATTATCATATTGTCAAGAAAAGATGATTTTCTTGAGACTCTTCTGTTCACCTGACGGTTGCCCTATACCCCGAACAAAAATAAACAGCAGCAGCACGAAATCATGTAGTAACATTAGAAGCAGACAAAAATAAAATGGGGGTATAAAGTAAAAAGTCCGTTGCAAGTACAAAAACCCAATCATCAGCTACATGTAAGCAACAACGCCAATCACCCATGATAAAAAGAGACTAAATGAACACCAAACCCCAAAGAAACTTGTTTACGCCTCTCCCAGTACAATTAAAGGTTTTCCCTCGATAACATCATAATTTCTAGGGAATTTCCCTGTGTTTGTCCAGCTGGTGAATATTTCGCTGAGATACTCCAACTTCTCCCGTAATCCAAACTCCAAGAGTACTCTATTTCTGACGATGAACACCTCTCTGTGTGCTTCTTCGAGGGACATGACGATAAATTGATGATGTTTGGTGATCATTCTGAGCGTTCTCCCCCCAGATGAGACCATCAATTTTGAGTGGTCGATAAAGTTAAGCTATGTAAAATCTTAGTATATGCCCGGAAGACAACCGAGGTGTAAACCAACCTGAAAGCCACCATCCGAGAAACGGAACATAGCACATCGTCTTAATCTGGCATAGTGTGTAACAAATACCATACCTCCTTCGGGATCCTGTGCGCTTTGCTCGCTGTGATCCCGTTCCCTTGTGAAAGACCATTCTGCTTCCGACCCAAGATTGGTTTTCATATAATTTCCAAACCTTTTCCACATTGTAACTTTGCTCGCCAAACCTCTGCTCGATTTCTTTTTCTGGTTCATTATTGTCATCGTAGTTGATAATCTCCTGTAAGTCACTTCTTGTTTATTATTTCTTCGACTCGTAGGAACGTCGACAATTGACTGGGTGATAAACTCCACCCTTTGCCCACCGACACTGTCTACAACTAACGATGTGTTGTCGTTGTACATGGCGACACAGGTACCATCAGTAAGAATATAAGCAACTCCATACTTGTTTGTGTAGTCCACCCACTTGGTGATAAATAAACTGGTGTTCTTTTCGCCCCTTTTAAATGATCTGACAGCCTCAATAGTGGCCGGAGGTTGGGGGGGGAGAAGATGCAGCTTCCCGGCCGTGAAGGCGCTAAAATTTTGAATATAAGGTTGCAGCGATGCAATTATTGCGGACGTTGTAGTCGAAGGGATGGAATTGCCAATCTTGGAGTTGAGAACTGGCGTAAAGGGTATTACCGGACCAGTGCTCTCCGAAGCCGGCTCCTTTACGTCTTCTTTTGGAGTCTTCTCTCGAAATTCTGCGGATGACACTAGACGTTCAGGCCGCGCTTCTAGAGTCGTTTGTTTTCTGGGAAGAGCAGCCATGGTCGGTGGTGGTGGTGGTGGTACAGGTTTATCTGCCTCTAGACCTGCGCAAGCAGCACGCATCTCCGCGGCATGGGATCTCACCAATCCTCTTCTTGCTGGAAATACACTCCTGGCTGGTGCTGGCGCGAGCGTGGGCGTTGGTGCATTTATCGTTGAAGTAGTCGTAGTAGTTGCGGTGGCAGCCGCAGCGGCAGCAATAGCCGCACTTCTACGTATTGGTTGCTGTCGCAATTGCCTGGGCGGAGGACGTGCGGGCTCTTCGTCCTCACTCACCTCTTCTTCCTCCTCCACCTCCTCCTCATCCTCTTCCTCGACGTCGTCCATTGGTTTTTGCGCCGCAATAGACCCCGATCCCAAGAGCCCGCCTCTCGAAGGCCCTAGAATGCTTGGAATTTTCTTTAAAACACCCACACCTCTCATTCGAGCATGGCCGTCTCTGGGACTCAATGTCTCGGGGAGGAGATATGCCTTCTCCTTTACTGACTTTTTTTTTTCTTCGACATCTTCTTCCACAGCTTCCACTTTCTCTGGGGCTTTGTTGTTTTGATTCGAAGCGGCGGATGCCGGTCTAGAGGTGGGAAGTGTCAAAAGATCCACAACTTCTCCAGGATGGTCACCCACAGGACTATACCGCCCCTCAGATATTTTCCCAATTCCACAGATCCTAGCAACCTCCTCGTAGTTTCTGATCCAGTCCTCTCGATTCGTAGTTAGAGTTCCTACGCCTTGCCCGGTTGTTCCTCGCCATATAGGCTCCTGCTTGGTTGCACTCGACGGAATAGACCTGGGGAAGAAACCAGATTTGAAGAATCGGTGATTTGCAACATCGTCTAGGGAAGGACGAGCCTCTGGGTCGTGTTCCAAAATGGAGTTTACAAGTGATTTCGCTGCGGAGCTCACGGGTACATCTTCTGGCCATGTGAAGGTATTATGCCGGATTTTTCTGATCGAAAGTCAACATTTGTGGTAACCTTGCATTGATATTCTCACATACCTATAGATAGAATCCACATCATTGGCTTGAAATGGGGTTCTCCCAACGAGCATGGCATACCTAACCCAATCAGATCCAGCGTTCATCGTGAGTTGTTGGAACTTACATAATAACTCCAACGCCCCAAAGGTCTACCTCAAAACTATGCCCTTGACCTTCTTTTCCACCCCCAAACAAAACTTCCGGGGCAATATAGTTTGGCGTTCCGCAGATTGTTTTTTTGCGATCGTTTTCATCAACCAAGAGGGCTGCTAAACCAAAATCTCCAAGCTTAACGTTCATGTTCTCATCTAGGAAAATATTTCCAAGTTTCAGGTCACGATGGATGACTCTTTTTCCATGCATGTATTTCAAAGCTCCTAGAAGCTGTAAAACGAAGAAACGTGTCTCGGGTTCTGTAAACCTTTTCCGAGCGCGTAACATGTCCATCAGGGATTTGTTAGGGCAGAGTTCCAGAATCATGTAGATATTATCCGGGTCCTCGAAGCACTCTATAAACTTAACGATGTTAGGATGGATCATAGTTTTATGGACTTGAATCTCCCCAAAGAACTGTAAATTTTCGAATCAGTCATTTCTTGAAACAAATACAATAGCGGGAGGGGGGCGGAAGAACCTTTGCTCTTTTCTTCTGGCTCTGCAAACTCTTCTTAGCTACAGTCTTTGCAGCGAACAACCCGCCCTCTTTGTTCTGTACCAAAAAACATCTTGCGAAACCCCCTTCGCCGAGTTGGCGCCCTCGACCATACTCGGTCTTCCCTCTAGTATCCTGGAGCACTGTGGGCGGGGTAGCGCAAAGGAACTTCTTGTTCCGTTCTTTGCTTGTTTGCTTGGGTGTCTTTGGCGCACCTGTATGTTGCGACCTTTTAGATGGGCCGGCAAGTGCCGACGGGACTAGCGATTTTGTGGCAGCAGCCTTCAGAGGGGCGACGAGGTGATAGTCGGATTGTTTCTTCAGGGGAGATGGTGCTGTTAATTTAAGGGCAGCTGTCCGTTGCCTTCGAGCCGGGCGTTGATTGGGGTCCATTGATGCTAGTATTTTAGTTCCACCTTGAATATTTTCCATTAGATACAAGGAAGATTTCTCTTCGTCCTTTGTTGAAGAATCGCAAACACGTGGACAAGGGGCCGGAATTGCAAATATAAAGGTTTAGTGGGTTGATATATTCTAGACTCCTGCGCCCGCCAGTTATACTGGTATAGTGGCACAGCCTATTGACCGGAAGTTGTTGTTGGTGTTTGGAGGGATTGAAGGGAAAGGGGATGTACCAAGAAGGTAGATACACGCCAACTTCGTGGTGAGAATGTGGTGGTCCGTGCGGGAGATAAACATTGTGTTGCTACGACAACCGTTATTTCGCCAGCAACCTGGAACATCACGATCATTTGTATGAGGTGCATACATGTATATGATGATATATCTCGAACTGCCATGAGGTTCATACACACATGTATGTACCTTGTTGCTCATCGTCGCCAATAAGCCCGAGCTTACATATATACTTATGTAAAGAATATATCCGTACATACATGCTATCTGCCCAATTAATCTTTATCTTACTCTATGAGTCGGCCTGAGGCTTAGCTTCAATCTAGACCACAATATTTAATGACTTCATAGATCAGACCTCTCCTCCCATTCCCTCCCCTTAACTACAGGACCTCGGAGGCCGTCCATCTAAATGTATGTTATGTTTCTTTATAGCTACAGTAACTAACTTATGGTACCTACATGTATCTACCATTCTTTTCCCGAAACAAATTGCAAGACAGCTAACGCGGGGTCGTGGGGTAGTTTCAGCGTAAGAAGCTATGTCAACAACAGCGATTAAACTTGGCTCTTTAGCCATAAAAACACTGGCCAAGCCTATGGCTGTAATTATCTCTCTTCTTCTCTTCTCTTCTATAAAATTTACTAACTATCCAAATTAAACAGAGTAAAATCAAACAACAGGCCCGCGATCACCCCCGCTTTCGCAAAATCTGCGTTTCAATCGCCCAATCAATCCATCAAGTCGATGTTCGTTTACGCCTTGGTCTCCTCCAGGACACTGCAGCATTCATAAAAGCCGAACAGGCTGATCGTGAAGCTGCTCGTCAAGCTGCGAAAAAACTATCGGAAGGAGCCGCAAATTTCCCCTCCGACCTCAGCACCGTCTCTTCGGCCAAGGCTGTCCCTCCACCGGCCGCATTTGGTTCCCCAAAGCCTGGCGCACAGAAACCGCATTCACAGAAACCGCATGCTCATTTTACCCCTACTCCTGTTGCACGTCCGCGTGTCCGACCACTCTCGGAAGCAAAAGCAATTGAGAGCGGTGCAAATTTCATTAGCGAGCTGTTTCTTTTTATTGTAGCAGGGTCACTCATTCTTGCTGAACAGATAAGGTCTAGGCGGAAGGAGGCAGGCAGGCGTGATGTGATAGCGGAACGCCTGGATCTTTTAGAAGTCAGAATGAGACAGGATGAAGAGCGCCTGGCACAACTGGAGGAACATGGTTCCCTTGATGAGAAGAGAATCATAGCATTGGAGGAAGAAATCTGGAAGCTAGGGGGTGGAAAGGGTGTCTATCCAGGACACCGTGGGGAAAGAAAAGAACGAAAGATTATTGAACCAACGCCATTATGGGAATCCGTGTCGGATACAGGGACGAGTCTCTGGGGAAAATTATGGCCTTTTGGTGTTAGCGGCGAGGAAGACACTGCCAATGCTGAGGTAGACAAGAACATCGAAGCTGGAGTGTCTACGAAAACGAGATCAATGTCAAATTCGTCGCAACTAGCTGAAATTCCTGTGAGGACACCCCCAGCTCTGTCGGAAAAAACATCATAAATTCTCTTTATACAGAATTCGGTACTATCTATCCATAAACTCTTGCTCATCCGCTCTCTAGGTTCATTTTTCCGAGGGTTTTCTTGTACTTTTTCGTTGATATCTGTGTTTTTGTATTTGGACAATAAGCGCAGGGATTTTTATTCTGTACATATCACCTGGCGCATGTGCCAGTTTTCGGAGAGTGTCTAAAGGAGAATAATTCCACTCTGTTTTTATTTTCGGGGTCGAGTGATTTTTCATGTTCCATATCATCTGAAACATGTGTAAACGCGGTAGGGACGTCATCCTCCCAGCACCCTGTATCTTCGTACCTGCACTTTGACTACATATCCACCCCATCTCATCCACACCTACATCAGTTACCACGAGATTGCCTTTTTTTTTTTTTTTTTTTTTCCCAAAGCACACAGCAGGAAGCCTAATGTCCGCTGCTCATGTCCTTAGACCCAAGACTCCTGGACCAATGGGTATGTTTACTAGCCAAATATGCCTATTCCCCTATGATGAGTTGCTCATTCTAATATTGGCCAAACATGGTAAAGAGCAGGGGAGAAGACTCGCAAACACTTTTATCTATATACCGTCTATGGAATCTATCCGCGATTCGCCAGATTTTCGTGTTTACAAGTATTCCTGTCATACTTGCAATTTCCATTTCCCAACAGAGATACGCTTTGAAAAACACATCCTTGAAAGCGATGTTCATAAATCTTTCAAACTTACCTCTGAAACTGCCGATGATCTCGGTTATCTTTCTATCTCGGATACCGAGACTCGACCGGATATTCACCAAAGATATTCTAGTCATCAGCCCCGAGCCACCGAATTCTATCAATGTATAAAGTTCGATTGCACATGCCCACAGTTCGAGTTTTTCAACCCAACGCAACGTCCACTCGCCTCTACTACAGGTGAACTTTCTGAATATCTTCTTCTCGATGGCTCTGCCGGAAGTTCGCTGAAGGCGGAAGCGATAGACGACGGTGGAGAAGAAGAAAATCTCAGAATCGTGTTTCCCGCTGCAAACTGGCCTCGTTCCCCCAGCGAAGAAGACGATGGGCCTTCTAGCCTTCCTCCCGACCGTGGTAACGAACAAGGGGGGGTAGCTGCAGGCCGAGAGCGGAGAGATGAGGCCGCTGCTGTTGCTGAGGCCCAGAGACGCCTTAAGATACAGGATGAAATCAATCAAAAGAAACGCTTTAACAAGGGGAAGACCCGTAAAACTGCTCGGATAATGAGGGAGGCGGCCAATCGTGCGAGGTTTGAGGAGATTTTGGCGCAAAAGGTCCCCAACCAAATCAAAGAAGAAGTCAAAGAGGACATCAAAATAAAACTCACCAAACCAACCCCTTTAGAAATTGCACAGGTTGTGAGACGGGAGAAAGAGAGTGTTGCAAATTGGCGTAGGAAAATGGGTATAAGTGATTATAAGGTTGAGGAGAAAAAGCGCTTGAACGAACTAGCTAAGCAAATCCATGCTCTCATCAGAAACACCTTACTCGAGATTGCTTTGCAACGAAAAAATGTACAGCGCGAAAAGGAAGACATCCGGTATAAGAATGCGCTATTTTTCGAGGATGAATACGAAAATGTCGCCATCGACCACGAGTTCAGCGTTGAGGACAGGGCCCTAGAGCACCTCCGGAGGATCAGGGGGAAAGAGTCAGTAAAGTTGCGAAACATCGAAAAAATGGATGATAAAGTGGATGATCTGGCTTTGGATCATGTTCAGGACATTGGAGAAAGGGGAGAAGAAAGATACCGGCAGATGGTAGGAAAGAAACAGACAAAGTTTTTGAATTGTCTGAAGATTGATGACACTGTTGATGATGTCGCTTTAGACCACCACCAAGAGATCGGTGAAAGGAAAGAGGAAACCCATAGAAGAGCCATGGGAAGATCTCAGACGAAAAAAATAGCCGAACTTCACATGGACGATACAGTCGACAATATTGCACTGGATCACGGCCAGGAATTAGGGGAAAGGGGAGAGGAGCAGTATCGGAGGACCATTGGTAGAGTACAAACCAAGAGGATCAATGACCTACAGATGGATGATACAGTCGACAACATTGCACTGGATCACGGCCAAGAACTGGAGGAAAGGGGAGGAGAACGGTATCGAAGGACCATTGGTAGAATACAAACCAAGGAGGTCAATGATTTACAGATGGACGATACAGTTGATAATCTGGCACTGGACCATGGCCAGGAGCTGGGAGAGAGGGAAGGAGAACAGTATCGAAGGATCACTGGTAGAATCCAGACCAAGAAAATCAATAACCTACAGATGGATGATACAGTTGACAATATTGCGCTGGATCACAACCAGGAATTAGGAAATATGGTTGAGGAGCAATGTCGACGGACCGTTGGTAAAGCCCAAACGAAAAACCTACTTGACCTTCCAGCTCGAATGGATGACATAGTTGACAGCATGGTAATGGACCATGACCAGGAATTAGGGGAAAGGGGAGAGGATGTATCTCGGAGGACCATTGGTAAAACCCAAACCAGGAGAATCAATGATCTCCGGAGGGATGATATGGTTGATGAAATGGCAATCGATCACAATCAGGAAATAGGAGAAATGGTTGAAGAGCAAGGTCGAAGGGCTATTGGCAAAGTCCAAACCAAAAATCTGTCTGATCGGCCTGCCCGAATGAATGAAATTGTCGACAACCTGGCAATGGACTATGACCAAGAGCTGGAAGAGAGAGGGAAAGAGCAGCTTCGGAGGTCTGCTGGCATGGCTCTATCCAAGAAGAGGGCCGATGTTGCGGCAGACGACACGGTTGATAATATGGTGGTAGATCATGGTCAAGAGCTAGGGGAAAGAGGAGAAGAGCGGCGTCGGGTTCTCTGCGGCAGGGCTCAGAACAAGGAGCTGACAGGAGTCCTCGTAAACGATGCAGTTGATCACATCGCGCTTGATCATCACCAAGAGCTGGGAGAAAAGGGGGACGAGCAGCGCCGAAAGGCCACAGGAAAGGCTCAGAACAACAAGATACAAGCCTTGAAGAGAGACGATGTCGTTACTAACGTTTCACTAACCCACGATCAAGAAATCACCGAAAGATCTCAAGAGCACGTACGAAAAGCCGATAGCCAAAGAAGCAACAAGAGGCTAAAGGTGATGGAGGGGTATGAGGAGCGCGCCATAGTCGACATCGCAATGGGCCACTTGCAAGAGGTCGGCGAGAAGACAACTCAAAGCCAGCGGAGAACCCTCGGCTTGCAGCAAAGCACACAACTCAGCGCCTCCCGAAACAACGATGTGGTGGAAGACCTCGCCATGGACTACAACCACGGCCTTGGCGAGAGGGACCAGCAGCACTTGAGAAAGGCCATTGGCAGGCAGCAGACCAGAACCCTGGGGGCAGCAGGCTTCCTGGCGAAGTATACGTCTTTTAGCCAAAACTTGAACACCAATACCTCCGCCACCGCCGCCGATAGGGCGGTAACCCCGTCTGGGAACGTTGGAGAAAACGAGGACGGTGGTGTGAGAGACCAAAGAGAGCCGGCTGACAATAGTGATGGTGAGAGCACTGTCATCGCCACTCCTCAGTTGACGATCCAGCAGAAGCGCGCAGCGGCGCAGGCAAGGTATGATGCGATTGTGAATGAGATGGTGGGGTCTGTGGCGCTGTGAAGGACAGTTGACCCGCAATAATACTGGGCGACATATGTTAGTTGAATTTTAGGTATTACTACAAGGAAGTATCATGGTAATTTGTAGCAATAAATTACTCGTCAGAGCCCATAGATAAATAAGCAAGTACTGCGTTCTAAGCCATTACTTCTCTTCCTTTTTCTTCCCGCCATCCTCCAAGACCCGCAATGGCTTCATGTATGTAACTATCTCGCCCGTCCCATCCCTCCTCTACGCTCTACCCCCCTCCTCCTCCAAAAAACAAACACGAACGTAGCAACAGCCTCCACATGCCCCAAGGATCCCCTACACCATACCCGCCCATTCTCCTTAATTAAACCAAACGAACGCCAAGCCACAAATCACTCGAGTGATAACCCATGACTACAATTCCATTAACGCCCGCCAGCCGGCAAATCCAATACCACACGTAACCACCCAGAGTGTGTGATAAGCTTTTGTGTGTGTATTTCCACTTGCAATAGAGACTTGTTCGTCTTCCTTCTGTGGGGCACGGTAGGAGGTGTGATTGGTGGATGGATGGGATCACTGCCGTATATGCATGCATGTACCGGGGGTTAAGGGTAAGTACTGAGAACCCCATTTTGGGCTGTAAGGGCCAGTGGGCGTCTGCTATTGGTCGATTCAAAAAAAAAGGACACTTGGCGGGCAAGAGGTTATTTGAATTGTGTGTGTTGCAGCTTTTGCAACGCAACCTCCATCCCCTCTTTTCCACTGATGCTCTTTCCGAACTCCACGAAAAACATGTTTGAAAGTTTAGGATTGCTATTAAGGTGATGGCCAGAGCAAGGGCTATCATTTGGTTATTTTTTTTTTATTTTTAGGAAAATATTTAGATTTTTGAGTGAGTATATATGAAGTGTCTTCATACTTTTTTCCCCCACACAAATTTCAGGGCCAAGACCAAAATTCATTGGCTGCTTTTTGGTTGCCATGGGCGGTTCCCATACAAAAATCCAAGGCGTCTCGGTATTTAAGGTGAACCCCCGGTACATACAGAGAGTAACGCTCCGGCCCTGCACAAACACATCCAGAGCTCCAACTCCAACTCTCCCTTGATCTAGCAGCAGTTTTTCAGTATACTTATAGCCATAAGCTTCAATCCCAGTCTACAACCCCGGAAATTCACCTTATCTTGGCACGAACCACGCACATCACAGCTTCTCACTCGCCCCCCCCCCCCCCCCCCCCGGACAACAAAAAAAAAGAGGACTACCATTTCCATTTCACGCCACGCCACGCCACGGATGTAATGTAACAGACCAGACACAGACTCAGACACGGAAAATCACAGACACGCCTAATGCTTGGTAATAGAAGACATAAACAATAAAGAATAGAGAATAGAGGAATAAAGAATAAAAAGGGTTGTAAGAGGAGCGGGAGAGGAGAAGGAAGGAGTATTTTTGGTAGGTGGGGTGGGTTGGGTAGACGTATAGTATGAACTGCTCTGGCCAAGAAGCGGCATGCAGTAGCAGTATGCGCTGTGGGTGGTCGGCCATGCAGCTGCTATAAAAAGAGCTCGATGTATACGAGCTTCCAAATAAAAATAACCAGAAGAAAAGAAGAGAGAAAAAACGAGGAAAGAAAAGAAGGAAAAACTACAAACACAAAAAACACCACATGACGCAATCACAAACAAAAAAAAAAAAAAAACCAATTCATCCACAAGAAAAACAAGAAAACAAGAGAACAAAAAAAACGCATCCCAAATTATCCGGCCTCCCTCTTCACATTATCACACACTCCTTCTCCTCGCCGTCATGGTGCTGCTTCTTCTCCAGCACCCTCGGCCTCTCCCTGTCCCTGTCCCTGTCCCTGTCACTCTCCCTCTCCCTGTCCTTCTCCTTCTCCTTCTCCTTCTCCTTGCCCTTATCCTTCTTCTTCCCCTTCTTCGCCGGCGACGCCCCACTGCCGCCTGATGCGGCCTCATGGATAACCTTCAGCCGCGCCACGGCGCGCTGGTCGCCGTGTTCGGCCGCCTTGACGTACCAGACATTTGCCTCGAGGGGGTCGCGCCGGCAGCCGATCCCCATCTCGGTGAAGTATCCGACTGCATACTCTGCTTTCGGGAGCCCTATATCACAATCCACGCATTAGCCATCATCACCACCACCACCACCACCACCACCACCACCACCACCACCATCACCGCCTCTCCGTTCCCCGGGGGGGGGGGAAGACAAACCACTCTCCGAAGCCTTAAACGCCCACTGATACGCCTCATCCTCATTCTTCTCCAGCACGGGCTCGGCGCCCACCAGATACCACGCACACAGCGCCATCATCGCCACCGGCAGCCCCCTCTGCGCAGCCCCCGTATAGAAATGCACACTCAGCGCCGCATCCCGCGGACACCCGAGCTTCCCATGCTCATACGCATCGCCCATCCTCCAGTACGCCTGCGCATGCCCCAGCTCGGCCGCCATCGTGAACAGCTGCGCGGCGTACGCCCCGTCCTGGAAGACGTCGTCGCCGTACCCCGTCTCGTGCAGACACGCGAGCTCGTACGGCGCGTTCGGGTACTGCTCGTCGGCCACGTCCGTCGCGCGCTTCAGCCACTTGACGCCCTCCTTGTAGCGGCCGGTGAGGCCGAGGTCGCTGCGCAGGCAGGCCATCCCCAGCCGGGTCATGGCGCCGGGGTGGTTCTTGCTCGCGCTCTGCCGGTAGAATTGGACGGATTTGGCGGGGTCTTTGCGGCAGCCCCAGCCAAACTCGTAGCAGAGGGCGGCGCGGTAGCCAGCCTCAGCGTGCCCGTGCTTGGAGGCGGCGACGAAGAGAGGGAACGCCTTGTCGTTCTCTTCTTTCCCGCGTGTGAACAGGCCTGAGGCGTAGGCGTCGGCCAGGTAGTATTGGGCTTGCGCCATCTTGCCGGACAGGCGCTCGAGGATTGAGCGTGCCTCGCGGAGGAGCTCGTTGCGCGATGCGTGGCTGTCGCTGCCGCTGCCGCTGCTGGCGGTGTAGGGACTCTCTCGGCCCGCGGACCCGCCGGAGCCCCGTGGAGACGGGGACGGCGCGGCATCTTGCAGCTGCGCGGCCTGGATCATGAACACGGCGAGCTCGTACTGGAGGCGCGGGTCCTGCGACTTCTTGGCGTTTGTACGGTACATCTCGAGGGTCTGGCGGTTCGTGAGCAGCGAGGCATTGACGCCGACCTGGCCGCGCAGGTGCGAGTTGTCGAGCGACGCCACGGGGGCGGGTGTCTGGTGGTGCGCGGGCTGCGTGAGGTCCGTGTAGGATGAGAGGCGGCTGTCATAGGAATTGCTGCTGACGGCGCGCTGGTGCGGCGAGCCCGAGCCGGGTGTGCGCAGGCGCCCGTCGGTCGAGAGCGTTGAGTACATTGAGGAGGGCCGCGAGACGCCGAGGTACTGCTGCGCGGAGGGCGCCTGGAGGTGCCGGCTGCTGCTGGAGCGGTGCCCGCTGTTGTCGTAGAGGACCGGGGAGGCGGAGTTGCGGCGGGTGTACTGTGGCTGTCCAGCGGCGGTGGTGGTGAGGAGGGGCCCGCTGGCGTTGCGTTCCTGGTAGACGGGTGCTCCGAGGAGCGGGCCGCTGCTGTTGCGCTCGGCGTAGTAGTGGTTATGCGGCACGCTGGCGTTGCGCTCCCTGAACAGTGAAGGCCCGCTGCCATTGCGCTCGCGGTACTGGTGCTCGTTCTGGGCGTAGCCGCCGTAGCTGCCGTTCTGGTGCGGGTTCTGGTTCTGACCGCCATAATACTGTCCCGGATTCACTCTGCCACCGCTGGAGGACCCAGACGACGGGCTGATGGGGCTCTGCAGGCTGCTGCAGCTGTTGTTGGGCTCGTAGTCGGACGACGAGCACAGGCTCTCGCCCGAGCTGATGACGGCGGTGTGGGGCTGCGGCATGGGCCCGTTCTGGTGGTGCGTGCTCTGCGAGCGCGTGATTGGCGATGCGAGCGGCGGGTGGATGGGCGGATCGAGCTCGCGGCGGCGGAGGTCGAGGTCGGGAGAGGGCGTTTGCAGGTCGCGGGTGGAGGAGGAGTCGAGGGACTGGACGGATTGCACGCGGCCGTGGAAGGTGGGGAGGCGCTGCTGGTAGTGGTGGGCGGGCCCTTGCGTGGGGTTTGGGGTTGTGGTGGTGGTGATATGTGAGGGGGAGGAGGCAGAGGGGGAGAGGAGAGAGGGATGCTTCTTGTCTCCTGCTGATGATGATGATGCCTGGTGGTGGTGGTGGTGGTGATGTTTGGGAGGGTCATTGTGAGGATATGTAGAGGAGGGAGAAGAGGAGGAGGTCGTGCCTGTCCCTGTGGGTTTCCGTGAGCTGTAGACACTGCTAGGAGACGCCGGTGTCGAAAGGGGCGCGCCCATGGCGGGCATTCCGCTGTGCGAGAGTGCTGCGGTCGCCATTCTTGGGGTCTTCTTCTTATTTCTCTCCCCCTCTTATTGTTCTCCTTAAGTCTTAAGATCTTCTCTGCTCCCCTTCTTCTTCTTCTTCTTCCTAATTCTGCAGACCTTGCGTTAATACTCCAATATTATATTCCTATCTCGATCCTTTCTTTCTTTCTTTCTTTCTTCCCAAACAAACCACAAAAAAAAGCAAGAAAAATAAAAGCCAATAAGCACTCCCACACCGCGATGAGCAAAGCTGTATGTAAGTAGGCCGGTTGTGACAGTGCAGTGCAGCGCGGTCACTCACTCAAACTGTTACCACAGGACGCCGTGTCTCAGTACTGCTGCAAAGGGAGGGCAGGCGCGTGTAATTGGCTGTCCCCGACTGCAACTAACGAACTGCAACGGAACCCTGGGGGACTCGGGGGACTGGGGGGAGGGTTCAATGTCAGCTAGTCTGGCCGTTATAACGTTCGTTCTTAGACAGACAGACAGACAGAGCAGAGCAGAGTAACGTACCGGCGGTGGTTACTTGTAGTTATGTAGGTGGTAGTAATAATGTGACAGTGGGTAGGTAGGTGTCAGCTCAACCTAAAAAACTGGACTGAACTGGACTGGAAGGCGAATCAAGGCGAATCAAAGATAACTGTAGCTGCTGGGAGGTGCGTAGCTAGTAGCCGAAATACTCTCTGTACGTAGGTCTGTCTGTCTGTCTGTATATACCCCCCCCGCAAAAGGTACAGTACAGTACGTAGGTAGTCTGGATAGAACACCCAATCGAGCCGTGCAAACCGTGCAAACCCTCTTCACACGTACTACTCCACTTACTCCACAATCGCAGCGCAGCCGGCCTGAGGGGGAACAATATCTACACCCCCCCGACTTATCCCTCCTTCCTGACTGTATACTACCCTACTACCCTCGTCCTCGTCAAAGCCCAAGTAGCACCAGGTAGGGGACCCCCCAACCAAATCAACTTCCCCAGACCGCTAAAAAAAAAAAAAAAAAAAAAAAAAAAAAGCAACAACAACCCGGCAAGTTACGTGCGCGATTCGATTCGATTGATCGTGTAACTGACTAATAAGCTCAGGCGTGCAAAAACGAACGAACGGACGAACGAACGAACGTGGATCAGCGAGCGAGTGCAATAACTTGGTGAGCGAGCGAGCGAGCGAGTCCGTCCGTAGGTGCAGGCAGTGATAGCAGCAACACCTTTTTTAGTTTTTCCAGATCCTCCTCCCAAAGCGAATGTATAATAACAATAATAATAATAAATATGGGAAACCTCAAACGAGCGGATATTTCCAGGACATACGTGGAAGAGAGAGAGAAAGAGAGAGAGAGAGAAAGAGAGAGAGAGAGAGGAAAAGAAACAGGAGGATCCGGAGGAGCCGGAGGGAAAAAAACGAATACCACCGCACAGACAGACTACTAACTAATTACCTGGTCTACGTACAGCAGCAGGTCAGATGGTTTTCACACCCTCACAGTGTTCGCTCCCACTCTCACCCCACCCCCTAGTCTAGACTCTAGATGTATGTAAAGTAGCCGAGAGAACCTCCCTCCCTCCCTCACACTGAACACTACATGTAGGTAGGTAACGTCGGTACAAACACGAGCCTGGAGTACATACATGCTCGAGTTACACATTTTTTTTTTCTCTCCCCCAGCTTGCATCTTCCATATGGGGGGGTGGATATGACAAAAGGGGATCCGGGTGTCGATCCGTCCATCCCATCCAGGGCTTTCCCCATATGTGCCTACTCTATGCATCCCATCCGGATCCCTTCACCAGGCCATGGACCCCCCATTGTATCATACATACATACCGCCAAACATTTAAACCCACAGATTGATATCGATATCGATATTTGAAATTGATATGCAATTGCAAACCCGGGAGTGAGGGGCCTCAATGACTCCAGGTTTTTCGTTTTTTTTTGTCTCTCCTAGCTAGGCCCCTGAATTCGGTGGATGGGCCATGGTGCACCACTCTATTTTAGGCACAACCCACAACCACCTCCAGGCAAAAACAAAAAAGCAAAACCAAAAGAGTACCCGGCAAAAAAAAGTGGGGTCTGGCAGCTCGCCGAACTCGACCGTTTCTGGGGGGAGTGAGAGTGGGAGTGAGGTTGGAATTGGACCCTGTGACATGACGCCTCACGTATGTACGAGTCAGTCAGTCAGTCAGTCAGTCTCGGGAGGGATGCGATGCGATGCGAAGGGTCTCTAGCTCGGCAGGGACAGACTGTCTTGACTAGCCCTGTTGCGGGCCTGATCTTAGCTGCGGCGGTAGTGCCAAGGACTGGGGCACCTTCAATTCAGCTTGGAGGCAACTTTTCAATTGAGGCCGGTAGTGAAAGTGAAGATATATGCATTGGGAATGAAGACTTGATACGTGTCGAGCTTCAATTAACTTAACCTTACTCTTGTTACGCAGGTAGTCGAAGAGTGTGAGACGCGGAGTATATACAGGTCTCCATACACTACCAGGTTGAAATTCCTCGTCTCGTCTCGTCTGACTACATGTATGAATGATACAATACCTATCTCCACGAATAGATAGAGACCTGCCCTTAGAATAATCCAACTGACCAGAATATAATCTCACTGACGTACGACAAACCGCACTTGCACTTGCACCTTACTCTTACCTTGCACAATCCTCGATCCGCACCAGCCAGCAGCAAAAGTAAAAGAGCAAGAATCGATCTCCCGGGTCCCGCGAGGTAGCGGTTCCGATTCGGTGCGACGGATCAAGACGGACGGACCGGGACCGTAGCGGTGGGTTTGGCTCCAACCCTATATAGATACATGTAGGATGATTCTATTATGGAGGAGGAGGACTAAAACTTATCTACACGTGGGTATTGTATATATATAAAGGTGACACGTATAATAGTCGACGTCAGGCTAGAATATGGACAGAGACCATGACCACTTTACTCTACGCTGGAGTGGAGTGCAGCTCTAATAGGGTGTCTTTTTTAACTACCTAGCCTAGACAAGTATTTACATGTATGCACTTACATACTCTACGTAAGGCATTCACAATCGATACCCTATATACCCTACATGTACCTGTATGACCTCGGCGAGAAAATAGTCCCAAAACTACGCCGCGGATTGTGCCTCTCTACTTTGTCTCTTGTGCGACTGCTACATACATGTAGGTACATACATGTAGGTACTTACATGTAGGTACTTACTTAGGCTGTACTCTAGAGATGTAGGTGCGACAGAGGACTTTTGTCCTGTTGTTGCACTCTCTCTCATACACACTTCCTTCGCACACTCACTCACTCATAGGTACTCGTAGGTACTCACGCTCTCGGAGGCCGGAATTTGGTTGTTCCAGCTACTAGCTAGAGTATGCTAAACTGGGAATACTAATCCACTCCACGGATCGCATCCGAGTGAGCGAGGTGGGGTGGGGTGACCAGTACTCTATGTAGTGAGCTTATTTTGCCCTTTTGCACACACACACTCTCTCTTTAGATACACACATGTATCTACGTGGTGGTGGCAAGTATGGATTGTATTTATTTATAGCACCCCAAAATGTGACATCTGGCTAGCCGTCGAGATGTCGAAATGGCTGTCAGATATGAAGTCAAAAAAGCATCTATGACGCGCACCGGCGCACGCACCAGAGCGAAAAAAGACCATTCCCGGGTCCTGGGGGCGTCCGAGCCTCATGGTGTGTGGTGTGCGGGGAAACATCCTCTAGCTGGGTCCATGGTCATGGAGAAACAGCTTGGTGTGTGTTTGGCGAAGAAAGAAAGGGGGAAAAAACGTGCGGGCAGCACCACATCTCATTCGACCCCGCCCTCGATCCCGCCTCGATCCCGCCCCCAAGATGACCGAAACAAAACGGCAAGCCGTCACCGTTAGCTGCCAACCCCATAGGCGAAACGGCGAAAACTTGACGTGCTGCAAATCGCGACTCAATCCCTACTCTACCACTCTTCCACTCTACTCCACTCTACAGCCAGCGCAATGACCATCCCGCGTCTCCTCATCCCTAGAGTAAGTGCCTAGCCGATGTCTAAGATTACCCAAGCAAAGCAAAGCAAATCCGCATCACGGCCCATGACTCGCACCTTCCGCATCCGCCCGCGCCCGCCCCATGCAGGGTCCTACTCTACTCTACCTCGCCTCAGGCACTAGCCGAGGGTTGTTTAACGAGGCGCTAGCCTTATTTCTCCCCGCTTAAATTGTGCTCTAGAGTACTCTAGCTTACCAGGGGGAGGGAGAGGGGGAGAGGGGTGTTCGGAGAGGAGAGGGTGTTGTTCGGAGAGGAGAGGGTGTTGTTCGGAGGAGAGCAAGATGGAAGAAGCGGTGTGCTCGGGATGCCGACCGAGTGAGAAATGTGCAGTGCAGTGCGTTCATTCCGGGGGATCTACTCTAGTGCGGCTCATCCTTGCCGAGGAAGGAAGGGACGGTTCCCGTGGCAACCATCTATAAATAGCAACACACACACGTCAAAAACCCCTTTTTACGTTCTCCAGGGTGTGGGCGGGCATGTGCGTCTAATGGGGAAGGTTGCGCTTTGAGAGGGAGGGGGAGTGTAAATGTAAAATGGGAATGGGAGGGGGAGTGTAAATGTAAAATGAGAATGAGAGGAAAAGTGCACTCGGAAGACCGCATGTTTGTGTCTGCTGATTAATATCTGGGTTGTTTGTTGATGTCGCTGTGTGTTCCTATTGACTGCTGCTTGGCTGGTGGACATGAACCTCACACTCCGACTGGCTGATTATCTACCATCCAACCCACTCCCACTCACCCCAACCTCCCAATCCTCATCCCCACCCCAGGGGCGGCATTCCATTCGCTCAACTCGCTCATCGCTTCTCACTCGCTTGCTTGTTGTTTTGGACTCGTGTTGTTTGTTTGCTCGCTCGATCGTGTAGGGGTCTGGCTATCTATCTATCTAGTGTTTTGTCTGGTACAGTCTGTGCTGTGCTGTGCCCCTGCCTGCCTGCCTGCCCCCGGGGATTAATTTCACCTCACTCACCCTCCGATCACTTACTCACCCCTCCGTGCACCTCTCTCTTTCTTTCTCTCCTCTTCCTTCTTCTCCTTGTCTTGCTTTCCTACTCTTGCTCTGAGTGACCGAGTGGGTTGTATAATTACCATTCCTGTGCAGCAGCAGCGTAAGGGTTGATTATCGCTATTACGCCATAGACCCTATCTATCTATCTCTATCTGCCTCCGGTCTGTGGGTGGATAGACACTGCTCGATCTGTCTGTTTACCTCACCTCCCGGGACCTCTTGGGCGCCCGCAACAGCCAGCTAAGCTAGTCCGTACCCCCCCCCCCCATCTGCAAGCTCTACCTACATCCACTAACACCCCCCACCCCACAGACCACAATGTCGCTCCCCCAACGCCCCACGCCAATCTCGCCCTCCCGCCGCCCGCACCGGCGCACAGCCGACATCGAAGCGCCCCTCTACCACAGCGACAACACCACCACCACCCGCCGCGCCGCGCACCCGCCCCTCCCGCCGCCGCCCCCCCCGTCGACCCCTACACCGGCAGCCCCTCGCACACGCCCAACAGCGCAGACTTTGCCCGCAAGCGCAGCCTCATCCGGCCCGAGCGCACGCGCATCAACCGCGACCACCCAAACTACCACTACCGCCAGCATGCGCAGCAGCAGCAGATGAACGTGCTCCCCTCGACCACGGGGAATGATCCCATCATCGAGGACCGCGGCGAGGCGGCCAGTCATGCGTCGACTGACTCGTCGGACTTGAAGTCGCTGACGCGGCCGTCGCGGTCGAATCCGCGGTACTCTGAGGACGAAGCCGCAGCGGGCGGGGGAGGTGGCGGGGGAGGAGGGGAGCCGCGGCGAAGGGCGAGTAAGAAGCTGGCGAGAGCGCACACGCGGCAGGCGTCGGCGGACGAGAAGGCGAGGCTCAAGAAGATGCAGGAGATGGAGACGATCAGTCCGCCGAGCTTGTGGAACGTGTACTGCGCGATCGTGACGTTCTGGTGCCCGGGGGCCGTGCTGCGGTGCTTTGGCAAGCCGGCGAAGGCGCAGCAGCGGGCGTGGCGGGAGAAGATGGGGCTGATCTCCATCATTGTGCTGATCTGCGCGTTTGTGGGCTTCTTGACGTTTGGGTTCACGGAGGCCGTGTGTGGCAGCCCGACGCCGAGGTTGAAGATTAATCAGGTGGATACGGGGTATTTGATCGTTAATGGGCGGGCGTATAACCTGCTGGGGAGTAAGCATCCGCGCGCGATTGGCATCAGGCAGGATGCGGATATCTTGTATGATCTGTCGGAGCCATATGGTGGAAAGGATGCGTCGTTCATGTTCCAGAACGTGAACGGGCAATGCAAAGGTCTCATCACGCCCTCGGACAACTCGTCGATCCCCACAGACTCCAGCGGGGGCATGGCCTACTACTTCCCGTGCAAGGCCTTCAGGCAGGACGGGTCCACAGAGCCCGACTTCACGGAGCAGTACTACGCCGGGTACGCCTGCCACACGTCCGGCACGGCCAGAGAGGCCTACTACAACCTGCACGTCGAGGGCGAGGTCTACTTCAGCTGGGACGACGTCAAGAACTCGTCGCGCAACCTGCTCGTGTACTCCAACAGCGTGCTCGACCTCGACCTGCTCAAGTGGCTCGACCCCAGCCAGGTAAAGTATCCCTCGCAGTTTGACGACTTCGGGCTCGACAGCCAGCTGCGCGGCAAGGACGTCACACACCTCTTCCAGGCGCCCGCAGAGAAGAAGCTCGCCCGCTGCCTCTCCGAGATCATCCGCGTCGGCAGCATCGACACCGAGACCGTCGGCTGCATCGCGTCAAAGGTCGTCCTCTACGTCTCGCTCGTCTTCATCGTCAGCATCGTGCTCATAAAGTTCTTCCTCGCCCTCTTCTTTGGCTGGTTCCTCAGCTGGCGCCTCGGCGCCACGCGAACAAGCGACCTCAAGGACGATGCGAAGCGCCGCAGAAACGAGATCGAGGACTGGTCGGACGATATCTACCGCCCGCCGCCAAAGCTGAAGGATGCCAGCGGCGGCGGCAGCGGCACCGGCAGCCCGTCAAAGAGGGGAAGCTTCCTCCCCACAACGAGTAGGTTCACGAGCCCGTATGCGCAGGAGAGGCCGACCAGCAAGCATAAGCCCGTGCCGACGACGATGGGGTCGCAGAGCTCCACCGCGAGGCTGCTGGCCCCGGGACAAATGTACCAGCAGGGCGCAAACAGCGGGTCGAAGGGGAGCCTGAGCGGCATGATGTCCGAGTCGACGTCGAACCCGAATCTGCTGAACCCGCATGGCCCGCCTGGGCAGCAGGAGAGGTACAGCATGTATTCCGAGGACGGCCCCGGCCCCGCCGGATTCATCCACGAGGCTGTGGTGCCGCAGCCGCCGCCGGAGTACCAGCCGTCTGGCTTCCCGCTCGCACATGCGCTCTGTCTTATCACTTGTTATTCTGAGGGCGAGCAGGGGATCCGCACGACACTGGACTCAATCGCCACTACCGACTACCCCAACTCGCACAAGCTCATGCTCATCATCTGCGACGGCATGATCAAGGGCCACGGCGAGACAAAGACCACGCCCGAGATCATCCTCTCCATGATGAAAGACCACGCGCTGCACCCCTCCGCCGTCGAGGCCTTCTCCTACGTCGCCGTCGCCTCGGGCTCCAAGCGCCACAACATGGCCAAAGTCTACGCGGGCTTCTACGACTACGGCGCCGCCAGCCAGATCCCGCCCGAGAAGCAGCAGCGCGTGCCCATGCTCGTCGTCGTCAAGTGCGGCACGCCCGACGAGCACTCTGGCGGCAAGGCCGGCAACCGCGGCAAGCGCGACTCCCAGATCATCCTCATGAGCTTCCTCCAAAAGGTCATGTTCGACGAGCGCATGACGGAGCTCGAGTTTGAGATGTTCAACGGCATCTGGAAGATCACGGGCATCTCGCCGGACTACTACGAGATTGTGCTCATGGTCGACGCGGACACAAAGGTCTTTCCAGACTCGCTGACGCACATGATTGCGGCGATGGTGCACGACCCGGACATCATGGGGCTGTGCGGCGAGACAAAGATTGCGAATAAGACGGCGTCGTGGGTGTCCATGATCCAGGTGTTTGAGTACTTCATCTCGCACCACCTCACAAAGGCGTTCGAGTCCGTCTTTGGCGGCGTTACCTGTCTCCCGGGCTGCTTCTGCATGTACCGCATCAAGACGCCGAAGGGCGGGCAGAACTACTGGGTCCCCATCCTGGCCAACCCCGACGTGGTCGAGCACTACTCGGAGAACGTGGTCGACACGCTGCACACAAAGAACCTGCTGCTGCTCGGCGAGGACCGCTATCTGAGCACGCTCATGCTCAAGACGTTTCCCAAGCGGAAGCAGATCTTTGTGCCGCAGGCGGTGTGCAAGACGGTCGTGCCCGACGAGTTTAAGGTGCTGCTGTCCCAGCGCAGACGCTGGATTAACAGTACGGTGCATAACCTGATGGAGCTGGTGCTGGTGCGCGATCTGTGCGGGACGTTCTGCTTCAGTATGCAGTTTGTGGTGTTTATTGAGCTTATTGGGACGGTGGTGCTGCCGGCGGCGATTGCGTTTACTTTCTACCTCAGTAATCCCCCCCCCCCCCCTCTTTCCTTCCTGCACTTTAGAAAAAGCTAACACTACCACCCCGCCAGTCGTAATCTCCTTCGTCAAAAAACCCGTCCCCGTGATCCCTCTCATCCTACTGGCATTAATCCTCGGTCTGCCCGCTGTTCTCATCGTGCTGACGGCGCACCGGTGGTCCTACGTGCTCTGGATGCTGATCTACCTCCTCTCGCTGCCCGTGTGGAACCTTGTTCTGCCGACGTACGCGTTCTGGAAGTTTGACGACTTTTCGTGGGGCGACACGCGCAAGGTCAGTGGCGAGGCCGTTAAGAAGGCGGGCTATGAGTATGAGGGCGAGTTTGACAGTAGCAAGATTGTCATGAAGAGGTGGGCGGACTTTGAGAGGGAGCGCAGGATGCGGCTGCCGGTGAGTGGGTGGGCGCCGCAGCCGCAGGGGGGTGGGAGGAGGAGTTGTAGTGGGGTGCTTTGGGGGGGGGGGGGGTAGTGGGTAGTGGGTAGTGGGTTCTTTGAGTTAGGAATGTGTTGAGTGGTTTTTTTTACTTCTTCTTCTTTTCTTTTCTTCGAGCTTTGAGTTTCAGGCTTCGAGCTGTGATCTTTCATCTTTGATCTTTGTGCGTGGGTTTTTATGCCGTGATGTAGTGTGGTGATGTGAGATGTAGTAGTGCCTTCGTGATATCCTCCCTTTAGTTCTCCCTTCTACCCTTTTTTTCTTTTTCAAAACTTCTTTTGGCTTTTTTTTTTTTGTATGGTTATATATTACACCTGGGGTATCTGGTTAGCTGGCCGGCTGGTGGTGGGTTAGTGGTAGTAGTAGGAGGAGGAGAAAACGGGAGGGATAGTACAAGTACAAGTACAAGTAGCTAGCTCATGTCATGTTAGTATTTACAAATAGTATAGTAGGCTAGGTAACTACATAAGCATAGGACCAGCAATGCAATGCAATCATGTGTATGTGATACGGACGTGTATGTAGTGAGTGGTATGAGTATGACGGACGGCCGGTGGGGTTGGATTGAATTGAGTTGTAGTTAAGTACGGTTTCAATGTTGATGTTGATGTGCAGTGTATGGTAGAGTGCGGTGCGGTGTATGACATCATCTACGGTCGGCATGCTAATACGAAGGAGCAAAGACACTAAGGCGCAGACCAGGGGATTAGTAATGTGGGTGGATCATGGGGTTATCACTCGGCGGTCTTTGTACTAGTAGGTGCGATTGGTTGGTTGGTTGGTGGCTGCGGGCCTGGGTGGGTGGGTGGGTGGGTGGGTAATGATTGATCGATTATTTGCTGTTAGTAGCTTCCAATTGATGAATGCACAGATATCCTCAGCGAGCCTCGGGAGCCAACTGATCAGATGCTATTTATCGGTATAGGAATTCGGAAAATGGCTTTGATTGTTATCAATCGATCAATCTGCTTGTCACAATACTAATGACGATGGCTTCGCATCTCGAGTGGTATTTCCCAGCTAGATAGCCCTGTATCTCTGTAAACCAAGCTACAAGCCCCCTACCATCTCAACCACAACACAAGCACCTAACCATCCATAAAACCCCCAAGCCACCCCTACAGGCCACACCAGCAACTACCCCAGCAGCCCTCCCCTCTCGTCCACCCACTACCCACTACCCACCAACCACAAACTCCACCTCCAAGAACTCCACCACCCCCCTCCCCTCCCCGCCCTCCAGCACCTCCAGCACCTCCACACCCGCCCCCATCGCCAGCTCCCTCAGCGACGAAAACATCGAGTGCAGCACCAGCGTCGCTATCCCTCCCCGCTTCATTAGCAACCCAGCCTCCCGTAGTATAAAAGGGGAATTGGGAGGGAGGGAGGGGGGGGGGGTAGAACGTACAATGCACCGACAACAACCCCCCATCCACCGCCATCAGCGACAGCATCCTCGCAGGCGTCCATCCATCCTATAGTACTCCACCATTATGTTACCCCACTTCCCACCACCACCACCACCACCACTGTAACAAAAGAAAGATTCCGGGGGGGGAGGGGGGGGGCAATACCTGTCGCCCCACCGGCAGCGGCACCGCAGAATACCCCTCCACCAGCCCCGCCAGTACCCCCGGCAGATCCACCACCGCAAAGAGCGGCACCACATACACCGTCTCCCTAAACGTCTGATCAAGCCTACATCCCCACCACCGCATCAGCATGCGCACTCTCAAAGCGTCCAGCATCCACTCCGCAGACAACCCACAGCAGCTGAAACCCCCACACGCCCGTCCCCAAGAACACCACCACCACTGCCGTGGCCGCTGTTTGTAGCGCCCTTTCGACCCTCCTGGCTGTGGCTGTGGGGTCGTCGTCGTCGGTGGTGAGGAGCACTGCGAGCCCGCCGGCGAATGTGATGTCGGCTGTGGTGGTGTGCGCGAGGGTGCGGGACTCGATGATGTTGTTTTGGAGGAGCGATGGGATGATGGGGGCCCATGGGGCGTGGGTGCGGAGACTTGATGAGAACATGTTTGGTGGTGGGTCATGGGCGGTCACTCGGGTGGTGGCGGTTGTGGTTTGGTGATGGCTGTCACTCTTTTGCAGTGCGCTGGTTAGTAACGCTTTTTCTTGTTGGGCGTAGGTACGTGGGCGTTGGTTTTATATTTCACTAGTGAAATAGTAATGCAGTGCGGCAGAAGGCTGGAAGCGAAACCATGGTAAGAGCATTCATGTGTTAAAAACATACATTCTTATCCGGCCGCGCATTTACACCATCTCTTTCCCCTCTGCCCGCACATACTCGCGCAGATTCTTACTCCCCCATGGCACGCTCTAAATCAGTCATTCCCGCAATTCTATATCAACACATGAAAAGAAACACGCAGCTGGATAAAATAAAATGAAAAATAAACATCGAGCGTCATCACTTTTATCTAAAGGACAAGGCAAAGCACTAGTAGAAATAAAATAAAATCAATGCGTAGAAAATCCAAGTTTACGATTACCACTCTGCATGCTTCGCACCCAACCAACAAAAAACCAAAGAAAACAACACTTCTCCAGTCTATCGTTTATCTTCTACCACTCATCATCGTCGTCCTTCTTCCCTCGCATTGCTTGCTGCCTATCCATCAACTAGAATAAACCCTAATATTAGCGGGAATCCCATAGCGAAAAGAGCAAAAGAACTTACAGCTTGGGCTAATCCTCCCGCAAAACTTGTGGTAGAGCTCCCAGCCCCACTGCTCCCACTCGCCGTACTATCCGTCAAACTCGATCTATCCGCCCCTTCTGTTACAGGTGCTGGCTTCCTCCCAACGTTTGGTCGCTTTGCCGGCGGTGCGGGAGGCGCCGGCTTTTTAGCTTTGCTGGGCGGGACAGGGCTATTTCTTCCATTTATTGGTGGCGGTGGTGGAACTGCTCTACTGACAGCTGGCGGGGGAGCTCTTGGTAACTCTTCAAGGTATGCAGCTGGTGCCCAACCTTGCTCTGTACCAGTCATTCTCTTAACGAGCCACCATCCTTCCTCTCCCTTCGAAATGATAATAACGACATCATTTTTAGCAAGGGACAGCTCCCGAGCGGATTGCCCTTGGAAGTCATACATTGCCTTGCATGTCGGTTCGTCTGAAACCGGGGGCGGCGGCGGTGGCGGTGGTGGTGCGCGGATAGAGTGGGTAGACGGCTGTCGAGTATGGCTTTCTTTGTTGCTGTTACTGATGATTGCTGCAACTGGGTGAGGTACTGGGTGAGGTACTGGATGAGGCGCCGGTTGCGAACTAGCACTGGGCTGTGGCGTGACAGTCTTTTGGGCTCGTGGGACTGATCTACCTGCGTGGGCGCCTGTCTTTGGCCCGCCAGGTTTCAGTAGCCCACCCTTTGTAATCGGTTTAGCAGCAACAGGTCTACCCTTTGGTGTAGCTTTTGAGATGCTACTTGGCGGTTCCCCAGGCCCTACGTGAATGGTACTACTCTTATACAGATCCCCTCTTTGCACGCTAGGATCCTTGACAGTCTTGACGACTGCTAATTTGCCTGGCTTTTTCGAATATTCTATCGTAGGTCCAACCCGTACATCGACACCACCGGGCATAGCGGTTCGTAAGTGAGTTACGAACTCCGTCTTGAAGATGCAGGTCAGGAGTGGATCCGCTTCTTGGGGCGAGCCGACTCCAAGTGAGAACCAGTCATCACATAGGTTTGACATGCCAACGAATTTGATGGAGCTCAAGACAATGGTCCTTTCTGCGGTAATAGACAGTTGACCATTGACCATTGCCTGGAGGATAATGTAAATGGCTCTATTCGTCTTTTTCATAAAAGGTCAGCAGGAATGATTTTGTGCATTATTCATAGTAGGCTTACCATAACAATCATCCTCGGGCTTGGTTTACTACTCCTTCCTAATTTCGAAACCAGAAGCTCGCCCCTGCAGCTGAACAAGACGAGCTCATTCGCACTGATACCAACAGAATTTCTGATCATCTCACCTGGTCCTCCTTTATTTCCAATACCTAGGTAGTCGCCCATAAATCTTCTGCTTCCCAGCAGACTCATCCTCCTCCTCTCTTTCCTCCCTGCAAGTATCCTGTGGCCTTCGTCTCTGACCTTCAAAAAAGCCTCCCCACCCCTCTTCTTCCTCCAAGCCCTTTGGATTCTCGTTGCGCACTCGGCTCTGTATCGGAGATAGTTCCTCCATGCTCGTTGAATCCTGATGGCCATATTATGCCAGTACCGGTCCCTCATGGTTTCAAGAGCAAACAGAGTTTCGGGGGTCTTGATGAATGCCTTCGTCACTCCCATTTGATACTCCTCTTTTGGAATAGAAGTGTCCTTGAGAATCTGCATCGTACCAGACTTGGCGTCGCCTGTCCATGTATAGTCACCAGCATATGAGGTCTTGGGAGACAATAGGTAGAACCGTTCAACGAATTTCTCGAATGTCTGCCTGTAAGCAAAACCTGCTCGTCGAATACGGACGTTCTCCTGTAGACCTAGATACTTGACTTGATGCAAAACAGCTGGGGTATCATACTCCGTTGGACTCTTGTTCTGGTTGGGCTTGATGGTTCGGATATAACTAGGTTGAGCTTTCATCAACGTGGTCACAAGGTCATTTGCGGATAACTTAATCTTGTCGCTTGCTGTCGGGGGCCTTCTCTTTGAGTCTCGGTCGATCTGATCAGGGAAAATTGTTTTTAGGAAGCCATTGCTACTTCCTCCTACTAGATCCAAAAGATCTTTCAACAATTGGTCCTTGTTCTTCTCGGTCATTCCGGCAACAGTGTACATGACATCTCCAGCGTAGTGCTTGATGAGGAATTGTCCTTGGCGGTTTTCAAAGTGTGCGTTGGAAGACAACGCATTGAGCCTCTGAACAAAAGTTCCGTCTGCAGCCGTAGGATCAGCATGTGCTGTTGCACAGGCGTCATTTAATGCAGCAAATACTCCGGGTGGTCGTTTCTCCTCAATCAAATCACAGACAATCTTGTTGTCAAAATACTTGATGGGGGTCCAGGTAATTTGCTCCCTTGCATATTCCTCTTGCTCTGTCCGTAGGGTGAGTTGGATAAAGATTTGTTGCAATTTCTCATTGACGTAGTTGATGCAAATCTGCTCGAACGAATTATTCTCAAAAATTTCGAATCCGTAGATATCAAGAATTCCTATCGTATGAGCAACGGGTCCGCGGGTCCTCATCGAAAGATTGACACGGTCTACAATCCATTCAAATAAGTTATTGTAGATAGCCTTTCCGAGGGCATCCCGCACAGCTGTCGCTTGAGTCACATTGAGAGGCACCTCGTAAACCGATCCTCTTCTTCCGCCCCTTCCTCCAGTTTCCATCATTCTAATAGTCAGGGCTTTATGTACGGCCGGCCCGTCTACCTCCAATAGATAGGCGACAAAATCCGTGACGCTGGAGTCCGAAATTGCCCCATTGCCTTGCTCGTCCTCAACAAACTGGATGTTGCCCAACCATAAAATAACTGAAAGCATACGGAAAATATTGTCTTGTTCTTCCTGTGAAAGTCCGATTACTCGCATAGCGTTCATGGTATCCGCAAATTCCGCAACATCGTCAATCCCGGGTACATCAAGGCACTTTGATTTAGAGGTGTATAAGTAGGTATCAGGAGTCTGAATCCCAAAAATTTCTATTCTCGGCGAGATAAAATCAGCCCCTTATTACTCTCTCACTTTGCCCCCTAGAATCCAGGTTGAACTCACCTCTGTATGTCTGAGGGGCCGCTTTTGTATATTGGTAAAAAATATGAAAATTTCTTTCATCTTTGATCTGTCCAACAACTCGATTCTTTTCTAATAAATAATTCGTAATGTTCGCTCCTACCGGCTCTCCTTGATCATTGAATTGAATCTCCAGATATTTCCCATGTCTACTAGAATTATTGTTCCGTAGAGTCTTGGCACACCCGAATGATTCCAAAAGTGGGTTGGTAGCTAAGACCATATCTTTGATCTCCTGAATAGTAGTCGATGATGTCGAAGACGCTGCAGCGATGTACTGCATAATCCGCTTTGCCGCTTCCGTCTTACCAGCACCCGATTCGCCAGAAATAATAATACACTGACTCTCCTTGTATCCATTCATGTTGTAATACGCACTCTCCGCAACAGCAAACACATGCGGCGGTACCTCAAGCCGATTCTTCCCCCTGTAGCTTGAAAGCACCTCATCGGTATAGATTCCGAGGTCTCTGAAAGGATTGACAGAGATGAGCACATGACCGATATATGTCTAATTGAATTATTAGTAAAGCTCCAATAGACCTACCCTGAAGAGCTAACTTACATAGATCTCACGATTATCGAATCTCTTCTTCAAATTCTCGTTTATGGCTTCGTTCGATATCTTTGATATGAGTGTAAGATCTGTAACCCCTACTTCCTTCTTCTTTTGAGTTTCGAAGACCGCCTTCTTGACCTTCTGTTTCCCACCGGAGGAGCCGGAAGGGGCGTCGTCCTTATTCTTAGCCTTACGGCCTGCGCGTTTAGTTACGGCCTAAACAAGAGAATATTCGTCAGTATATTCGTGAGCTTTACCTCGTCCATGGAACAAGTTGGGAATGCATACCATCAATCAGGGGGCGGGGGGGGGGGGAGACAAGCGCGGGGGAGGGATGAGGGGTTGAATTCGCGGACTTTAAGCCTGATGGAGGACGATGATAGAATGCGCGGAATGCAGACAGTAGACGTTGAAAGTGAAAGGACTGAGAAAGGGTACTTGGAGATGGAGACTTGAGCTGGTCAAGATAGAGGAGTGATTTGTGATCTGTGATGGGCGGTGATTCCGGGGATAGATGGCCGAATGGGGAGACCGGATAAGGTTACGTACCGGAGCCACTTCTGAGCTTCCATGACTCAGCCATTGCCAAGACATGCACAGCCTCAACACGTAAGATAGGATGCAGAACCAGCATTCAACGCTCTTCGAAGGACTGAAAAGAGCTTCGGGACGCGTATCTCGAGCTCTCATGCCTTGTAGAGCTATTCATCTAGGTTGTAGGCCAGAATGTCCATGTACAGGTCTATCGCTGTAGCTAGTGGTGGCCGCTCGAATTAACGCAGCATATGGATTAATTCATTATTTTACGCTTTCTCTTTGAAATCGTAGATACAGAGTGCGCCAAGCCAATTTAGGTACTGCACGGTTTCAAACTGGCATTGACAGCTCGCCTTGGCGGGAGGGTCCTAAGGGTGGGTGTCAATGACGACGACGTCGATAACCATATATCTTCTAAAGTAAGCTCCCCTCTAGCTCTTTAAATCATCTTACGTCCTCGCCATACGTATACCACCTTAAGTACAGTAGCAGCGCCACATATATCAAGTAAGCATAAATACGAAAAAACCATATCTTAACATATGACATTTAAGGATTTAAGCATTTAATTAAGCAATATTGGCCATGATGTGTGTACATCCTAGGATTAAAACTCTAAAATCACGAGCTATATTTCGTAAACTGTGACATAAGCCTGAACTCCCGTATAAGAGGCGCAGACAGATACATGTGCAAGTTACCAGTGCGCAAGTACTTACATACATGTACTTAAGTACATGATGTTCGTGAACCCTCATGAGGATTACATGTAGGTGATGAGATGTATAGTTCTAGGCCATAAATCATGGGAAGGCGCGGCGTAGCAACCTCCCGGGCCACCACGACTACCCACCCAGCAACCACAATTGATCCTTTGGAGAGCTGGTTTTTTGTATAGTTGTTAAATAGTAGCTAAATAAAAATAATTTGACATTTAATATCTTGTGTACCAACCCCTTGCCTTTATAACAGCTCTATTCTCCTAGGCATGCTCTCAACTAGCTACCAAAGTAATCATCAGGTAATAGTTCCCAGCAATGAATTAGACCTTCCTCCACGTGGGGCTTTAATACTTAAGGTGATCTAGTACCATATGCCAAATGGGGGTACTGTTGATGGTAAAGTTTCTTGAGGTGTACCCAAACATGTTCAATGGGATGGAATAGGCAAGCCAGTCCTCCAGAACATCTACCCTATTCTCCTCCAACCAGAGTTGTAAGACTCCGGTTTTTTGCCACAGCAGGGAGGCTGGTCATTTCCTCCTAGCTGTCTGGTGGGGTACATGGTCTCTGGGCGCCATTGGTGGTGGTGAAAGATTTTGTGTTCAGGCATTGCGACCTCGCGCCTTCCCATGACTTATGGCATGGCGCTGTACAAATACTTGTACGTAAGTATATTAAGCATACGTATACGTACATATAGGCTCCGCGTACTCACCCTGACTCTTAAACTCCACTAAGGAACTCGGGGTGGGCAATAAGTGCTTGCTGCATGCAAGCTACATGTACATACATGTAGCCATTAGCATCGAAAGTCATTTTCAGGTTAGTACCTACTCAGAGTATACGTGAAGCGGTTGAGTTCATGTATACATACATAGTCATCACCCTCCCACTCCGTGTACCCTCTCTCTGTCGAGCTCTACTACCTCTCAATATGTAAATCTCACCCACTTTATGATTTTTACAATAGACTGTTGATACAATGCGATGCTTATTTCTACAGATGCTCTGCTTATTAAGGTCAGGCCTTGATAACAGCTTTTTATAGCTGTACTTTCGAAAAACTAGGTTCAAGGCTTCAATCAAATTGACTTCCACCACAGCTCGCCATAACCGACCTCAACTAAAAGCGATCTCCACCAGAATAACTGGGATAATAACCTCCTAGACAGAGTTTTACCATGAGAATCTCTCGCTCAGAAGGGTCTCGAATGATAAAGAGACATCATTGGCCGTCGAGTATTCCTTTTTTTTCGGTATCACTGCACCAGCAGAATGGCATAGCTAGGTAATGTTAACCCACAAATTACCGTTCAAACCTACTCAATATAATATAATCCCTCTATTTTTGCTTGATATATAGGCAAGAGAAAAAGCGTCTACAGTTTTTTCTTTTCAAAAAAAATAAAAAATAAAAATAAACGCATAATCGTCTCGCTTTTATTCAAGGGCCAAAAGATCACAGTGATATGATTTGGTAAGCGTTACCATCAAATTCCGCGATCGATCATGGCCTATTAGACTAACAAATCATGATATCAGACACCATAACATGACCGTAAAAATACGTTATGCGCTTTGGAATTTAATAGGGTCTTATTCGAGTTTCTATGAACAAAAATCAATATACCAGGCAAACTATTCTGCTCAATGAGTTGGATTATTCGTTCCCCAAATCGGGCCCTTAATACAAACCAGGAATGAATAATTAAATCAATTAATCAACACTTACGTAACGTATGTCAAACCGAGTGATATCCTATGAATATATATATACACTGTCTGATCTAACGAATCTTGTTTCGGCTAAAGGGCGCTCAGACTCCAGGATCAATGCCGCTCCAACGATCTCGAACATTCTTATGTCAAAAAAGAATCTCCCTACAAAACGTAGACTGAGAAATCGAGATCAAAGGTCCTACCTAGTGTGGTCGACGAGACCCGTTAACTCGAGTCCTCGACCCGAGCCCAAAGCTCGAGCAGCGACCTCGAGCTCTTTCTGCTGCTCGACTTGAAACGTTCGAGCTTTTCGAGTGTTATCTCTGAATATCCACGCCTGAAAACGCCCATATTATCCTTCCGCTGCACTGAGCCCTAACCCTAACAGCATATGTTTGCACAGAGAGAGCTGGAATGACAGCTTCTAGAACTCCTATCTGGGGCCACTGAAAAGCCCGAGCTCAGTTCGAGCCACTCGAGCTTTTACAAGTCGAGACAATTCGAGACAAGTCGGGCAACTCCTATCACGTGTCAAGTCAAGCTTTTCCTCCTGCTCGTCTCGAGCCGGCTTGTCGAGCGCACTAATGATCCTACCGTTGCATGCAATAATGGCCCAAAATTCAACTAGGCAATGGCGCATTTCCTCCAACGACTCGATCAATCAGAGTATTGCACTAAGCCATTAAGATGTTATTATTTCAAGAGAACCCTGGATATTTCCCCGTATACAGCAGCTAGCGGGGGGGAGGGTATATCTTCTCTGGCTCTTTGATATATCCACCACTATTATTTCGGGCACATATTCAGACGCGGCGCCAAAAGATCGTGAAAGGAGATGCTGATACCAATAGGTTAATTAGTCCAAAGTATCTTTCATAATGCTTTAGAACTATATTCGCATCATGCATAACCGAAACTCTTATCCTCAAGCGCGATTAACATACATCTCCTAATATATAAAAAGTCAGGACGAAAAGAAATCTCGCAAATGACAGGTGATGATTGACCTAGGGCCCAATCCTACACATATGCTCCCTACATACAACGTTAAGGGTGTACCTAGAATATGCCGGAACAACCCTTCAATAAAATGATTGTTCAGTTTACTCTGCCCGGGAAAGTACTTCTAAAGGCAAAGTGATTCCGGTTGGTAACAAACGGGAGGACCTCTAGTCTATACTATCTACTATACTATAAGAGAATATGTACCGAAAAAGTTTCGCTAAAACCTAGCCCTGGATCTGGCGCCCTCAACATTAAATGGAATACAGCAGATATCAATTTCATAGCTAACAAAGAGATAGATGAGGTGGTCCTCAAATCTGATGGGAGGTTCTGCTATCTGTACTCGGGCCGTAGGAGATTAGTCATAGGTGCTAGAAGAGCCTGAGTTCTACTACATGTACCCACATACCAGTAACCCGGGGGTACCTCTAGTATCTCAATAATATATATTGCTGACATGGAAAAGTCCACCAAGAGGGCTAGGGACATATTTTCGGACCAAAGCTTAAGCTTACTACCGCCAAGACTAAAACCTTTTACTTCTACAGGATATCCCAATCTCTACTTTTCTAGTTGGAGCCGACAGAAGTAAACGCCTCATGTTCGATGGTTGACTCATAACTAAATATATGTCGATCAGCACCTTTATAAACATTTTCAAAGTATAGATACATGTACCTGTAAAGGTATTGCCAGAAACGTTTAAACACTATAAACTATACACAGTAAGACATTTCAGACCACAATATCGGCGATAGTATGGTCAGAGACTGCGTGCGGTTTGGACTGACATGAACATCAAAAACAGTAACGTCAGTTTCGGTGATAAATTCACGAGACCAGTAAATCACGTCTACGATATATTCAACTTTACTCTCACATAAAGACGAAACAACAAGCTCTACCTAACCAAGTGCATCAATTGCTAGCGTAGTAGGGTGACGTGTTTGTTTCAATAGGAATCGAGTGATACGCTATGATGAGTGCCACTATATCGCATTTTATTACGGCCCTGAAGACTGGTACGGATATCTGAATTGATACATAAGAGGGCGTCCAGAGGTTCATCAATTATGGGGCTGATTAGTACCAGGTCATAAAGACGCTAAAGCCAGTTTTGCATTATGTAGGTTGTGAGCTCTTACTCGTACACGATTCTTAGATGTTAACGCTGAGAATACGCTTGCCAAGGTGGGTGCGTAAAGGTTCCGGTACACAGACCCACGAGTTTCGTCTGAACGTCGGTAAAGTAGCGAGTACTGCTAGTATCGTGGAATGAAACCGACGGCTTTAAAACTTCATAAACAC